TATTTCTTTTAGAAAGACTACTTGGTGTCATGGTAAGACACGTCGAAATTTACGAAACAGCCATTTAATCGAATATTACAAATATTCGTAATATAGAAAAACTATATTACAGATATTCGTAATATTGATTATTACACCATTGTGTAATATAGGCCTTATATTACACAAAGCTGTAATGTTACTATTTGTCGTAATATTACAAGTTTGAGTAACATTACGAATAACAATAATCGCCTGGACTGTTATATCACAGAAAATATGTTCTGGGAGAACTTTTTTCACAGGTAATTTCTATATAATTTGTTCCATCTCTATAAAATAAGTTCCACACTTTACCTAGTGAAATAAGTACCGGGTTGGTGAAATTTGTTCCTTTCCTTACCTAGTGAAATAAGTTCCGGGTTTATGAGATTTGTTCCTCACCTGGTGAAATAAGTTCCTTGTCTTTGAAATATGTTCCACTGGTTAAACAAGTTTTCTTATATACTGAGCATTTGTCATCAGTGAGTTTAAAGTTATCATTCAAGTGCATTATAAAAATAAGTATTATATTAATAATATAATAGATAAAAAGTGTAAATCATCCAGTTTGGATCCTATGGAGTATAGCAAATGTTTAATTATATACTCTGTAAAAAATATTGAAATGACACTTTTGAACCAGAAAAGATTAGAATAAGAAAAATCATTCAGAAAAAAAGTATAGTTTAAGAGGAACATATGTACTAATTTGAAAAGGACAAAGTGACTTGATCATTTATAAATATCAAAAGACATGTAGAAAAAAAAGACACACTCTTTTGAAACTGTGCCATGTCCTAAGTACATGTATGACTAGAACACGGGGCCATGACAGTTAACAGGAACCAAGGAGGAATACCGCATAAAACATAAATACAAATTATAATACATTACCATCGCTTTTATTTCTCATCTTCATCCTATAGTTACAGTCATGCCTTCCATTGCAAATGTATCCCATGCAAGTACACTCAGTACAGCATTTAGCTTGCATTATAACTTAAGTGTAACAAGAAAATGTTTTGGTGTGCAATAATGATTGAGCGGAACTTATTCATTAGTTTCTATGAAATATTTACATGTTTGTTTAAAACTAATGTCACAGGAACTTATTTTAAACTTTTTAATATTAATTGAAACAAACTTCATGGAGCTATGTTTTTTGTTCTTATTTCTTGAACTTATTTCAAATTTGGCCAAAAATTAGTTCCGGAACAAATTTACAGTGCTGGAACATATTTTCTGTGATATAAATTCCGGTGGAACATATTTCCTATGAAATTTGTTCCAGCGGAACAAATGTCACGCCGGAACAAATTTTTTGTTACATTCTAATGAACCCATGTGATTGTTATATGTTATTGTGATTGCTGAATACTGAATGCTGATTTAATAAACATTTAAATATAGAACTTTGAATCTGTGTTACGTTTAACATGAATTCTTAAGGAAGATACCAGCTAGTTCCCCCAACCTAACAAGATGAGTAACCAGGTCAGGAATGAGCAAAGAACTGGCCTTGGTTATAAAACCTTGGTAACAGTACTTTACTAAAGTGGATCTCATCTTACATATTCAAAATGAAAGAAACCTTAGTGAGCGCGCTCACATACCCCACGTCCCCACATTGTCATTGGAGAAATAAAATAAGTGTAAGAAAAAAAAATTGTATCAGAAAAAAATTGAATCATAATTTTCTGTCAATATGCACATCTACATAGTATGTCCTTATTATCTACACAGTTTCATGAAATTCTGTTGTGTGGTTTGAGAGGAGTTGCGATGACAAAAGGTTGCAGTTGTATATTGGGCAAATAAGTTTAAAGGGGCGTAACTCCTGGGAAAAAAATTGAATCGTAATTTCCTGTCGATATGCACATCTACCTAGTATGTCCTTATTATCTGAAAAGGTTTCATGAAATTCTGTTATTTGGTTTGAGAGGAGTTGCGATGACAAAAGGTTGCAGTAGTATATTGGGCAAATAAGTTCGAAGGGGCGTAACTCCTGGAAAAAAAATTGAATCGTAATTTCCTGTCGATATGCACATCTACGTAGTATGTCCTTATTATCTGAAAAGGTTTCATGAAATTCTGTTGTGTGGTTTGAGAGGAGTTGCTATGACAAACTGTTGCAGTAGTACATTAAAGTAAATAAGTTCAAAGGGGCGTAACTCCTAGAAAAAGAATTGAATCGTAATTTCCTGGTTTGAGAGGAGTTGCGATGACAAGAAACAGGACTGATGGACTGACGGACGGACAGACGGACGGGTCAAAAACATTATACCCTCCGTAACTCATTGCGTGGGGTATAATAAACTGGCACAAATGAAAAGTGAGATATTTACAAAATTGACATAAATGTCATATTCATCATAATGATAACCGGAACTCAAAAAGTTGGACTATTAGGAATGAATAAAAAAAGCACTACCTTAGTTAATTAATATTTATTTAACACTTATAGATTAAAATCCTCACTGGTTATAAGTATTATTGAAATAACCTACTCCTGAATAAATTTACATTAGTTCCTTTTACAGGATTTGTACTTCCACTTGGCTGACAACCACTACTTACCAGTATACAACTTCATTGATATTACTTTGCTATGAATAGTGAAGTAAATGAGAGAAAGATATTCCGAGTCACTTTGACATAAGGATGGCATAAAGGGACATATAAAAGATAAAATTACCAAATAGTGATCTTGGATTCCCAATCCGTAATCTCGAATTAATAATCCTTGATCTGGGATTAATAATCTATGATCTTGGTCTCCAATCCCTGATCTCTGATTCCCATCTGCAATCTTGGATTCACAATCCATGGTCTCAGATAAATATTCAGTGACCTTGGTTTTCAATAAGTGATCATGTGTCATATCCAATGTTACGTGTCATGTTTGTTGATAGTTGAAAACTGATTATGAAAACTGATCTTGATTCTGACATTTTGTCAGAAATTGGGAATCCTTTACCCAAGTTGATTTTAGCCATGTAGTGCCAATAAATAATTAGCCCCCTACTTTTCCTTTCATGATTTTATTACATATAGTTCAAAAAGAGACAATTTTTAAAATCTTAAAAAAATAGTTGTTAATTTTTTTAACCTTTTGTAAGAATCAAAGTGCTTGTATAAGCACTGAAGGGTAAAGATTGCTTTAATTTATCAATGGTTAGTACATTTTAAAATTAAATATTGCATTGTATAAAGCATTGGTTGTAGTTGATTCAATTACAATTCTGGACAAAGGAAGATAACTCCATTTTTTAAAGATGACTTAAACAATGACATCATTGATATTTTTAGAACAGCTATTAGATTCATGCACCTTGCAAAAGTTACATAATTTCCTTGACAAGTATAACATAATTTTGTGACTTGAATATCTGAGCGTATATTTCATTGATAAATTTCTGGAAATGTTCATGGATAGGATATATAGAATGTTATGATCAACGCACTATATTTTGTGTATCTCAAAGGTAGTGATAAGTCTTGGAAGATTTAGATATCAAGTCAGTACCATAGGGTTTTGATTGCATTTCATGCAATCTTTACCAAAAAAAGTGTCAATGTTAAATGTATGAAAAATTTAGATAGAATGATTTCCCGACAAATTTTCAATGGCTTATATCTCAATTTTTAAAATCAAGAACATGTACCTTTCAATTTTTTCTGCTTTTAAGTTCTGTTTTTTATTTATTCTTAATTTATAACAGTTTTTTAAAAAGCTTTTTATTCTGAAACAGAACATCAAACATCCTTAACAATCTGTTATTATAACTTGACAAATAAAACTATATTATATAGCTGTCGGCATTGCGGGATTAATACCCTCCATACATGCAATTTAGTTGCTGCTATGAAATTCAGTATTGCCGGTAACATTTTGAAATTTTAAGCTTTCAGTCATATCAATATTAAAGCTCAAATAACGTTCTGGGGGTCAAAGGTCAAAGCCGTACTGACAAATCAACTTCCTATAATGCATCTGCACTCTTAGTGTGACAAAGTTTGGTTTACCTAAGTTCTCTAGAGTACAGTTATGCCCAAAAACAAATAACTATCCTAGGGGTCAAGCATAAAGGTCAGAGTGACCTCATTTAGGTATTTGACACATCCTGATCCGATGATTCTTCTTCATAAAAAGTTTTCAATCTTAATGCTATGGTACAAAAGCTATCCACCATACACAAATCAGACACTGTTATACTATCACAAGTCAAAGGTCATAGTCAAGGTCAGAGTCCCCAGATTTTAATATTTGACATATCCCTTTCTCATGATGCATCACCATACCAATTTTGATCAATTAAAATTCTACGGTATCATATAGTTATGCCCAGGACAGAACTCAGACAAGATTTTAGTATCATAGGGGTTAAAGTCAAGGTCAGGGTGACCTGATTTGGAATCCAAGATCACAATTTATTTTACGGATTATAAATCCAAGATTACAGATTAGGAATTCAAGATCATGGATTGGGAACTCAAAATCGCAGATTATTAATCTGAGACTGTGGATCATTAATCAGAGATCATCTTCTTGGAATTCAATATCACAGATTGGGAAACTGAGAAAACAGATTATTAATATGTGATCACTGATAAATTCTATTTTGAATGAGTTCCTTCATGGATTCCTTACTGTACTTCAAAGCTCATAGGACTTTAAATCCCAAAACTAGAGGAATTAGTAATTTAACCATTTGGCGTTTTGTATTTGTTTTTTATTGCTATTCGGTGTATTTTTGCTTTGATCTCTTTTTGTAATTATTTTTCACATTACTCGCTTGAGATAGATAGTTAACATAGAAAAACTAAGGTGTACATGCCATTGTCAATTAAAACATCAATGATGTCATAAACAGATATCAATGGTCTTGAGGATGTTTATCGCCCACATCTTATCTCAGGGCTGTCACCCTCCAATGAGATTGTCTATCATTTATATTTTACATGGACATTATACTTACCATTCGAATGAACACAAGATCTGGAGCTGCCTCTTGATTATCATGTCTCTGCAATGATTAAATGAAAACAAAATGTTTTGGAAAAATAATCATTCTAAAGGAAAACTTTCTTGATACGATCTATTTACAGAAAAATTTTAAATACTTATGTATACATATGTTTTAATGAACATTTAAAGGAAACTGGGGTGGTGGCTGATATTGGATTATCTTCGATGGAAACTTTCTAACAAGATATTGTAATTAAACATGTATGTCATTTAATATTTCTCATTTTGATTTAAATTGAGGTCTGTTTCTAATAAATTATATAAATGACATATATTTTACAAGGAAATAGTTTAAAGCTGGAATTTGACAGTTATACAGCAATTAAAAAATTACTATGACTTTACATTTGAAAATTCAGTAAGAAATAAAGCTGTACTGTGGTAGAAAATATGTAGTAGAAATCAAATCTAAAAGGATGGATCTCTCTTTTGGCTCTACTAACACTGATGACTGCACTTTCAATCACCTAGAGCAGTTTGATAAAATGTCTGACTTGGAGGAATGTGCTACATTTTTACCCATGTCAGGTTTGCTCTAATTGCTTTAGTTTTTGAACCTAAAGCTGCATTTTACCCCTATGTTATATAATCAGCAACAGTGGCCATGTTTGTTCATGCATCAAATCCTCGGATCAAAATTTCAAACTAGATACCCTAAGGAACATCTAAATAAAGTTTGGTAACATTTGGCCGAGTAGTTTCAGAGGAGAACAGGTTTTACGAAGACAGATAGACTAACAGCTGTGAATCGTCAAATTTTAGATATGATCCCTATGGCCATGTTATTATGGGGGACCTCAATATCGTTCGTTCAAGACAGAGGTTAAAAAATTTTTGAAAAAAGGACCAAAATATCGTCCTCCATCTAAAATAGATTGGAAACAGAGTCGTCGGGTCACAAAAGACGCTCTTTCATCGTATTGTAAAAAATTGGTGTAAACAGGAAAAATCTGATTAAAAATCTCTTGATTCTTATTTAAATAAATGTATGAATGATGTGAATATTCGAATATCATATTTTGAAAATAATTCAGAAATAAACTAAAGGGTCTAAAGAGCCTGTGTCGCTCAACTTGGTCTATGTGCATATCAAACAAAGGACACTCTTCAACATTGTAGACGAGAATAGACTTCATGACAAAAATCTCTATTTTGTTGATCTTCTATTACTGATCTTTAAGCCTGTTTAGTTTCTCTCTATCTTCTTTAGTTTTAGCTCAAAACACAAAAGAGGGTAAAAAAAATCCTCATTCAAGGGCAATCACTCCTATGAAGAGTGACAGTCTACTAACAATATCGACAAAATTTGACTTTTTAATAGAACTTGCCTTGCTGATCATTTTTGTGATTTAAAGTGTTTATTTATCTATTATAATTTAAATCATACAAGGCATAACGGAAAAAAAATGTTTCTCTCTAAATATCATGCATGGTTTTCATGATAATAGGCAAAAATGAAAAAAAATGATAAAATTGGTCATTTATGGGCAATAACTCCTATAAGAATTTGTCTAACAGTTTTGACGTATATGGACAATTGGTAGAGCTCATTATTCTGAACATTTTTGCTCCTTTCAGATTTTCTCTATTTATAACGGTTCAAAAAATAATAGACAAAAACTTGCATTTTACCCCTATGTTCTATTTTTAGCCATGTTGGCCATGTTGGTTGGTAGGCAGGGTCATGGGACACATTTTTTAAACTAGATACCCTTATGATGATTGTGGCCATGTTTGGTTAAATTTGTCTCTGTAGTTTCAGAGAAGATTTTTGTAAAAGATTAAATTGTTAAAAATTGACTATAAAGGGCAATAACTCCTTAAGGGGTCAATTGACCATTTTGGTCATGTTGACTTATTTGTAGATCTTACTTTGCTGAACATTATTGCTGTTTACAGTTTATCTCTATCTGTAATAATATTCAAGATAATAACCAAAAACTGCAAAATTTCCTTAAAATTACCAATTCAGGGGCAGCAACCCAACTACGGGTTGTCTGATTTGTCTGAAAATTTCAGGGCAGATAGATCTTAACCTGAGGAACATTTGCTCTAAATGCTTTGGTTTCAGAGATATAAGCCAGAATCTACATTTTACCCCTATGTTCTATTTTTAGCCATGTCGGCCATGTTGGTTGGTAGGCAGGGTCATTGGACTCATTTTTAAACTAGATACCCTAATGATGATTGTAGCCAAGTTTGGTTAAATTTGTCTAAGTAGTTTCAGAGGAGAAGATTTTTGTAAAAGATTACAAAAATTTACAAAAAATTGTTAAAAATTGACTATAAAGGGCAATAACTCCTTAAGGGGTCAATTGACCATTTTGGTCATGTTGACTTATTTGTAGATCTTACTTTGCTGCACATTATTGCTGTTTACAGCTTATCTCTATCCATAATAATATTGAATTTAATAACTCAAAACAGCAAAATTTTCTTAAATTTTCCAATTCAGGGGAAGCAACCCAACAACAGGTTGTCTGATTTGTCTGAAAATTAAGGGCAGATAGATCTTGACTGGATGAACAATTATACGCCAATCAGATTTGCTCTAAATGCTTTGGTTTCAGAGATATAAGCCAAAACTACATTTTACCCCTATGTTCGATTTTTAGCCATGGCGGCCATCTTAGTTGATGGGCCAGGTCATCGGACACATTTTTTTAACTAGATACCCCAATGATGATTGTTGCCAAGTTTGGTTAAACTTGGCCCAGTAGTTTCAGAGGAGAAGATTTTTGTAAAAGTTAACGACGACGGACGCCATGTGATGAGAAAAGCTCACTTGGCCCATTGGGCCAGGTGAGCTACTAAAAGAGTACATAATATGCCTTTTTCTAGAATAAGAAATAAACTTCAAGAACTTTCAAAGCAGTTTGTGTTTGTACCGGCCGACAAAGCAGCCAACAATGTGGTGATGGTTTTCCGTAATTACTACACGGACGTTCTTAAGAATGAAATTTTGAATTCATCTACATTCAAGTTCGTGTGCTCCACAGAGAGTCATATAATAAACAAACTTATCATAACCAAATCACAGCTTTTGGCCTCTTCTGAACATTTGAAGGTCCCTACTATGTATTGGTTACCTAAACTACATAAAAAACCAGTAAAATATTGTTTCATCTCGGCCTCTAGTAAGTGTTCTACAACTAATCTTTCAGTGCTTTTAACTAGTTCTTTAATTACTATCAAAGATCTTATCATTAACTTTTGTAAAAAAATATTTGAAAATAGTGGAATTAACTATTTTTGGAGTGTAAAAAATTCTTTGGATGTTTTAGATAAATTATGTGCTTTTGATGGTCCTTTTGATTCTGTTGACACTTTTGACTTTTCAACTCTTTACACTACACTTCCACACAATCTTATCAAACAACAGTTTTCCTATTTAATTAAATAGTTGTTTGGTAAATCTGACTGCAAATATATTTGCTGAAACTCATTTAAAGCCTTCTTCTCTAATGAGAAAGGTAAATATGCTAGATATACTTACTGGAGGTGTGATGAGATGATTGAAGCTGTTAATTTTCTCCTTGATAATATTTATGTACGTTTAGGCAACAAGGTTTATCAACAGGTTGTAGGTATTCCTATGGCAATTAATTGTGACCCTTTAATAGCAGATTTGTTCTTATACTGTTATGAATCACAGTTTATGACAAAACTCAGTAAAGACCCACCTAAACTGCGTTTAATTGATAAATTCAACAACACTTACCATTATCTTGATGATATTTTTTCTTTAAATAATCAAGAATTTTCTAAATATACTGCTGAAATTTACCCAAAGGAACTTACTTTAAATAAATCAAATATAAACGGTAATAGACTTAGATATTTCAGTCTTGCACAGGAAACTCCACACTTAAATTTACGACAAAAGGGACAATTTTTCGTTGCCTATTGTTAATTTTCCTTTTTTGGATGGTGATGTTCCTTTGGCACCATCTTACGGTGTTTATATATCACAACTCGTTCACTATGCCTGTGTCTTTTGTGACGTTTTGGATTTTAATGAACTTAATCTATGTATTACTGGTAAATTATTCAGTCAGGGATTTCGTTACCACAAATTACTTAAAACCTTTACTAAATTCTTCCATAGATATACAGATTTGGTTTTGAAGTGTGGTTGTACCTGTAGAAAACTTATTTCAAAAGGGATAGCACATCCTATTTTTTACAGAGACGTTGTTTACCGTGCGCAGAAATTTAGAAACGATCCTGGTAAACTTATCAATCCTTTAAATAAACTTATTCTAAAATGTTACCAATTCAACACTGTAATTAGATCTTTAAATATTTATTTTATTGGTATTAATGTTGATTTTGTTATCAGTAAATTAAAAGCAAACGAAATACTATTGTTATATACATATGCATATTCATGGCGCTACAATCTGTCGATACCTGTATCTTGGCATTGTTTGTTTTTCTCTGACTGTTTATGACGTCTTTACACTAAATCCATTGGATGTTGGATGTGTACTGATTGATATTTTATTCTTAGATGCATGATTTTTTTTATTAGTTGTTATTGGCTTTGAACTAGCTGTCAGTAACTGCAAGTACTATCAGATCTGTACTTAGTGTCGTTTTGTTGTTGGGATGTACAAGTACCCGGCCATGTCCACTCTGTGTTTTCGTTAGATGTATTTCTATTTGTATCCATCTGATGAGTTAAGCCTTTTACAACTGATTTTTATAGTTTGTTCTTATGTTGTACTGTTACACCACTGTCCCAGGTTAGGGGTAGGGTTGGGGGCCCGCTAACATGTTTAACCCTGGCACATTCTATATGTGCCTGTCCCAAGTCAGGAGCCTGTAATTGAGTGGTTGTTGTTTGTTGATCATATGCGTTGTTTGTTTATTGTTTTGTACAGTTATTGTATTGTTCTGTTGCACCACTGTCCCAGGATCAGGGGAGGGTTGGGCGCCCACTAACATGTTTAACCCCGCCACATTCTGTATGTGCCTGTCCCAAGTCAGGAGTCTGTAATTCAGTGGTTGTCCTTTGTTGCTGTGTTATATATTTGTTTTTCGTTCATTATTTTGTACATAAATTAGGCCGTTAGTTTTCTCATTTGAATTGTTTTACATTTGTCATTTTGGGGCCTTTTATAGCTGACTATGCAGTATGACTGCTCATTGTTGAAGGTCGTACAGTGACCTATAGTTGTTATTTTCTGTGACATTTGGTCTCTTGTGAATAGTTGTCTCATTGGCAATCATACCACATCTTTTTTTTATATAACAGACAAAAGAGAACAATGACGAACACCAAGTGAAGGCATAAATTCATATAAAAGTTAAATACATACCCTTAAATCTGACGAACAAAACCTAGGTTTCTAAAAGAAAGGCAAAATAAAAAAAAAGAAGTTATTATAATAAACTTAAAGATGTTATTGATAAAAGCCATCTATCTGATTAAATTGAAAAAAAGAAATTACTAATGTAGAAAAACAATTAGAATTTTAATACATTAATAAAACATAAGGTGCCTAAGTAAGATCTAGAATAAAATTGATAGTGCAAGGTAAGCAAACCACTTATATAAATAATTACTTCTTTAATGTTAAGAATGAATATTACAGCATTGAAATATAAAAATGGGGTAATTGTTTCTCATTTTTTCATGTAAGATTCTTTTATATAGCTGACTATACCATATGGGTTTTGCTCATTGTTAAAATCCCAACAGTAACCTACAGTTGCTTAAATCCTTGTCCTTTTGACTCTATGGAGAAAGTTTACGATACACATCATTGAAAGTGGTGTTCTAGTAGAAATAAAATGCTCCGCTGGGCGCAGCTTGATACGACCGCAGAGGTCGAACCCTGAACAGTTGGGGCAAGTATGGACACAACATTCAAGCTTGATACAGCTCTGAATTTGGATTGTGATTAAATATTTGACACAGCATAGGTTTCTGACACAGAATGAATGTGATCTAAGAACTTTAATTTTTTTAATTTACCTATTATGGTCCAATATCCAAAATCTAAATACATGGTAAGATTCAGCATATCAAAGAATCTAAAGAATTCAATTTTTGATGAAATCAAACAAAGTTTAATTTTGGACCCTTTTGACCTCAATGTGGACCAATTTGATAACGGGGCCAAAAATCAAAATACATGGTTAGATTCAGCATATCAAAGAACCCCATATATTCAATTTTTGTTGAAATCAAACAAAGTTTAATTTTGGACCCCAATTTGGACCAACTTGAAAACTGGGCCCATAATCAAAAATCTAAACACATGTTTAGATTCAGCATATCAAAGAACCCCAAGAATTTAATTTTTGTTAAAATCAAACTAAGTTTAATTTTGGACCCTTTGGACCTTAATGTAGACCAATTTAAAAAACTGTACCCAAAGTTAAAAATCTATATACACGGTTAGATTTGACATATCAAAGAACCCCAATAATTCAATTTTTGATGAAATAAAACAAAGTTTAATTTTGGACCCTTTTGACCTCAATGTGGACCAATTTGATAACGGGGCCCAAAAATCTAAATACATGGTTAGATTCAGCATATCAAAGAACCCCATATATTTAATTTTTGTTGAAATCAAACAAAGTTTAATTTTGGACCCCAATTTGGACCAACTTGAAAACTGGGCCTGAAATAAAAAATCTAAACACATGTTTAGACTCAGCATATCAAAGAACCCCAAGAATTCAATTTTTGTTAAAATCAAACTAAGTTTAATTTTGGACCCTTTGGACCTTAATGTAGACCAATTTAAAAAACTGGACCCAAAATTAAAAATCTAAATACACAGTTAGATTTGGCATATCAAAGAACCCCAATAATTCAATTTTTGATGAAATAAAACAAAGTTTAATTTTGGACCCTTTTGACCTCAATATGAACCAATTTGATAGCAGGGCCCACAAATAAAAAATCAAAATACATGGTTAGATTCAGCATATCAAAGAACCCCATATATATTCAATTTTTGTGGAAATCAAACAAAGTTTAATTTTGGACCCCAATTTGGACCAACTTGAAAACTGGGCCCGAAATCAAAAATCTAAATACATGTTTAGATTCAGCATATCAAAGAACCCCAAGAATTCAATTTTTGTTAAAATTAAACTAAGTTTAATTTTGGACCCTTTGGACCTTAATGTAGACTAATTTGAAAACTGGACCCTAAATTAAAAATCTAAATACGCGGTTAGATTTGGCATATCAAAGAACCCCAATAATTCAATTTTTGATGAAATAAAACAAAGTTTAATTTTGGACCCTTTTGACCTCAATATGAACCAATTTGATAGCGGGGCCCACAAATAAAAAATCTAAATACATGGTTAGATTCAGCATATCAAAGAACCCCATATATTCAATTTTAGTCGAAATCAAACAAAGTTTAATTTTGGACCCCAATTTGGACCAACTTGAAAAATGGGCCCGAAATCAAAAATCTAAATACATGTTTAGAATCAGCATATCAAAGAACCCCATATATTCAATTTTTGTTAAAATCAAACTATGTTTAATTTTGGACCCTTTGGACCTTAATGTAGACCAATTTGAAAACTGGACCCAAAATGAAAAATCTAAATTCATGGTTAGATTCAGCATATCAAAGAACCCCATATATTCAATTTATGTTGAAATCAAACAAAGTTTAATTTTGGACCCCAATTTGGACCAACTTGAAAACTGGGCCCGAAATCAAATATCTAAATACATGTATAGATTCAGCATATCAAAGAACCCCAAGAATTCAATTTTTGTTAAAATCAAACTAAGTTTAATTTTGGACCCTTTGGACCTTAATGTAGACCAATTTGAAAACTGGACCCCAAAATTAAAAATCTGAATACACAGTCAGATTTGGCATAACAAATAAATAAATGTGGTCAAAGATTTTACAAATCTAATGAGCCATACTGTGCAATTAAAGATTACTTCTTGAAATTTTTCAATATTTGAAATTTGAAAAAAAAATAATATTTGAAGAATAATTCGTTTTAATTTCTGAAATCTGAAATGAAAAAAATTGACCCCCCACAATTTCTTTTTACCCCTCCCCCCCCCCCCCCCCTTGCCTTTTCCCCCAAAAAATTCTTTCCCTCAAGATATGGTCATAATCTCAATTCAAATTTCCAATGGAATTTGCAACCATAATTATCCATTCAAATTTACCATAGTGCTATCTTGATCTATTTTATAATAGAATTTAAAATATGGTGTCAAATCTTTCATATGGATTTTTTTGTAAAAAAAAAAAGATGCAACATTTGCAGATATTTTTACTGGTCTTCCTTTATAAATATGCATTTCTTTAAACATAATTTAAAAGCAGTGCAAGGGAAGTAATCAAAACGTTGTACGTGGATTACCTCCCTTACACTGTTTTAAATTGTCTTAATTGTTCATAAACCATTACTTTATACATAATTTAAAAGCAGTGTAAGGGAGGTAATTCTAATGATGAATTTGATTTATCTCCCTTACACTGCTTTAAATTATGTTTTGTACTAAAGTATTTGTCCATATAAAAATGCTTGTTTTTTGCCCCTTTTTTGGCCCCTAATTCCTAAAATTTTGAGGCAATTACCCCCAAAATCAATCCCAGCATTCCCTTTGTGATATGGAACCTTGTGGTACAATGTCAGAGAGATCCATACACTAACACACAAGTTATGTCTGGAAGTTACAAAAATGCTTATTTTTGGCCCCTTTTGGCCCCTAATTCCTTAACTGTTGGTACCATTACCCCCAAAATCAATCCCCACCTTCCTTTTGTGGTATTGCACCTTATGGTAAAATTTCATTGAGATCCATTCACTTAAACTAAAGTTAGAGTGTGAAAACTAATGTGTCTTCGGACGACGACGCCAACGTCATACCAATATACGACCACAAAAATATTTTTGCGGTCGTATAAAAATACTAGAAAATTTTGAAATAAGCTTAACGTCATCGCGTTGTAACTGTACAACATTGATTTTTGACATTTTTCACTACCAACTAGGTAACAGATTGGTTAATAAATATTGTTCATTTTAATCACAAGAGTGCACACCCTAAAATGTCTCATCTGCTTTACTGACCATTGATTTTATGTTGAAAGTCTTAAAGATAAAGGTTTTACTACTAGTATCGCATAAACTTTTAACATTTTTAAAGATTCAAGACAATGAGATCAAGGTTGGATAAATCCTGTCAGACAGATACACCTTACAATTATTCCATACACCCAATATAGTTGACCTATCGCTCATGGTTATTGAAAACAGACCAAAACACAAAAACTAGATGACCTACTGCTTAAAGTACTTTAAAAACAGACCAAAACACAAAAACTTAACATTGACCAATGAACCATGAAAATGAGGTCAAGGTCATATGAAACCTGCAAGATTGACATATACCCTTACAATCATTCCATACACCACATATAATTGACTTACTGCTTATAGAGTGTGAGAAACAGACCTAATCACGTAACTTTAACCTTGAAAAGAGGTGGGGTCAGGTGAACCCTGTCTGACGGACATGAAGACATTGCAAGGAACCCATATACCAAATATAGTTTACCTATTACTCATAATAAGTGAGAAATTCACACAACAAAAAAACTACAATTTTTTCTGAAGCAGTCACTGAACCATGAAAATGAGGTCAAGGAAAATGGACATATGACAGATGGAAACTTCGTAACATAAGGTATCTGCATACAAGGTATGAAGCATCTAGGTCTTCTACCTTCTGAAATATAATGCTTTATACAAATAGTTTACGCTGCTGCAACTGGCAGATAGTAAACCCAAGTCTCGCATACTGTGACTTTCGTCGCAGGTGAGACAATAATGACCCTATGATTATTTTATATCAATCATAAAGAAATTTATATATTAAAAACAATTTAATTTTGAAGAAAAACCTATGGACTTGTAATTGGAAATTTGATGATTTAAGAAAAATTTAAGAATGTTTTCTTTGCCATTTTTATGTTCATTCTATACAAATATTCACCTATTTTGAAAGAATTCAGTATTTAATATTTAAAAACAAGAATGTGTCCATAGTACACAGATGCCCCACTCGCACTATCATTTTCTATGTTCAGTGGACCGTGAAATTGGAGTCAAAAATCTAATTTGGCATTTAAATTAGAAAGATCATATCATAGGGAACATGTGTACTAAGTTTCAAGTTGATTGGACTTCAACTTCATCAAAAACTACCTTGACCAAAAAAATTAACCTGAAGCAGGACAGACAGACAAACGGACGGACGCAGAGACCAAAAAACATAATGCCCCTAGGTGGGCCATAAAAATAAAAGAGATAAACGCATTGTTTTTCTATTTTCAGTTATAGTTCACTGAGCCAAAGTTTGACCAAAATCTGTGACATAGCTCATTTACTATACCTTGACCTTACCAGGCAAATAATACCTAAATCCTAAAAACAAGTCATCCAAAGGTCTCAGTCATTGTGGCATTTTTGTGGATCTTGTAATGCTGATCATTTTGCCGTTCATAAAACATATAATTTTCAGCAATTTTTGAGAATTTTTTAAACAAAGTTATTTTCTTTACAAATTAATTTGCAAATTTTCACTAAAAATAATATGCACAACTACCGTTCCTACTCGCTTATTAGTCGGAAAATTGGGAGTAAAATTCATAATCCAGAGAGGGGGGCCGACTAATAGACGAGATCTAGCGACCAGAGGAAAAATCCAAGCTTGAGAAAAGTGGTCAGGAGTGAATTTCCTGGTCAAAACTACGTTTTTGATTGCCAAACCTACATAAATCAATAAATAAAAAGTTTTTGTTGAAAATAAATGACTTCAATACTGTCTTTGTGTTTTATTTGTTCTTTGGTAAACATTTTCTGCAAATTCGTGTTGAAATTCTACTGTTTCCGGTTTGTGTATTGATTTTCATGGTCACATGGTTTTCCTATAAACCCAAAAGAAAGCCAAGAACCAAAAATGAAAAGGAGATAACAATGTACCAAATATGTGAAAGGATGTTTTCAGCGGAGTTATTGTGTCATTATTGTGATATCATGATATCAATTCAATGCTTATAAATCATATAATAATCAAAAAATAATTTTAAGATTCATTCCCAAAATCAAAATATTATTCATTATAGTGTCTCAGGTAAACAAAAATTACAAAATTGATTGACAAGCCAATATAATCCATTGATAACCCCAATTAAGAGACAAAGAGTTGTATTCACTAAAGGTGTGAAAACTATCAGTGATAGGTAAACAGATGACACTAATGAGTTGGAGTTAGTTATTTTAATATATTGATTAGCTTCACTTAATTTTTTTAATCCTTTAATCATCACAATATAATAAGAATTATGAAGTGTTCATGCTCATTTAACACCGAGTTATGTATGCTGTGAAAAATATTTTCATCAAGTGTTGATTGACTTTAAATTTTTCAGGTTCATATTGGTTTATATTCGCTTTTCTCAAACAATAGGTTGTTAGTCATACCCTACAAAATCATTGATGCATTACGTAAACAACACATGGCTAATCTGACATTTGAACAGTGAACAAAACAAGAGAAATGAATACATCTTTATTATTAACAGCAATATAAATTATCATGATGAGCATCAACTAAATTCAAACCAAACAAACATTAATGCAGAAATGAATATTATTCCTGGATTTGCATTGGTTTTACCGGCGTTCAGTTACTGTCAGCTGAAAAAAAAAATGCCCAAATTTTGTCCGACTTATACGAGGGTCAAGACTAAATCCTTAGAATTTGGAGCTGAAAAGGGACCCCGACTTATAGTAGGATCGACTATTAAGCGAGTATCTACGGTATACAAAATTTTGCACACATACTTCTCATGTGAAAAATAAGGCCCCATGCGGCCAGCATCCTTGATGATTGGCACTAATTGTTTATTCTGAGATGGACCTAATCAGAGAAATTATCATTAGTCATTGAAAACGACACTGCCACTGAAAAAGTATTACATCTTTTGTCTCACATATGCAAGATTCTTTGCAGTAAGACAAAACTCTTAACAAGTATATATATATATAATTACCGAAGAGCGACTCTGATGAGTTGTATCCGGAGGTTCATATCCATTTCTACAATAGATTGAAGTAACAATCTTTAGTATTTTACAATAACTTTTTTAAAGGTGTGATGATAAATGCCATTAGTTATTCTTAGACTGCACATTCAAAACATGTGCACTACATTGATATACATTATAAAGCACAATCTTTGTAGGTAAGACAAAGCACAATCTTTCAAGGTAAGACAAAGCAGTCTTTGAAGGTAAGACAAAGCACAGTCTATGAAGGTAAGACAACCAGTCTTTGAAGGTAAGACAAAGCAGTCTTTGAAGGTAAGACAAAGCACAGTCTTTTAAGGTTAGACAAAGCACAGTCTTTGAAGGTAAGACAAAGCAGTCTTTGAAGGTTAGACAAAGCACAGTCTTTGAAGGAGAGACAACCAGTCTTTGAAGGAAAGACAAAGCACAGTCTTTGAAGGTTAAACAAAGCACAGTCTTTGAAGGTTAGACAAAGCACAGTCTTTGAAGGTTAGACAAAGCACAGTCTTTGAAGGTAAGACAAAGCAGTCTTTGAAGGTAAGACAAAGCAGTCTTTGAAGGTAAGACAAAGCACAGTCTTTGAAGGTAAGACAAAGCACAGTCTTTGAAGGTAAGACAAAGTACAGTCTTTGAAGGTAAGACTAAGCACAGTCTTTGATGGTTAGACAAAGCACAGTCTTTGAAGGTAAGAAAAGCACAGTCTTTAATGGTAAGACAAACTACAAAAGGAACGTGTTTGTGAATTACAAATTATTAAAGTAAACATGTCATACTTCATATAAAAAGTATCAACAATTAAAAATAGTAAGAAATTAGCACTTTAAACAGATATTCTCTGTGTGCACATTTATTGAAAGAAAGCAAAACTAAGTGTGATGTATTTGTTGTCTTGTATTTCAGGGGTGAAAAACAGTGTGTTTATTACATAATTTTCCACGCATAGGAAATGTGTTCCCCTCTATTTCATTTTGAAAAGTATTTCAAAATTGTATGAACAAGGCTCATATGATAATCAAGTAATATGATATTTGAAAAACTTGCAATTAAATAAAACAAATTAACAACAATTATTTTTATTACTATAAGGCATTAAATCAATAGCGTTCTAGTAAATACAATCCATGCCATACCTGATCATCCAAAAGGACCAGAACTAAGTAAGGACTATATGCTTTCAAAATATTTTTGGGAGAACTATAAACATTCAGATATCTAGATACAAAATTACTGTAAATACTTGAGGGTAGGAATGCTCTTTACCGTCAGGGTCAAACTGTCAATTTCTACTACCGTTAGCATCAAATTGGTTAAAATTTTATTGTGATTCGTCAAAATATCCTTATCGAGATTTGTCAGAGGTCTCAAATAATTATCGTTACCATTATTTTTTGGAAAAAATTTAACGTGATTCGTCAAAATCAGTTTTTTAAAAAATTTTCATAAAGAAAGTGTATTATATCGTCATGCACCAAAAATTACCATTAATGTCATTTGGCAATTTTTTTTTACCGCTATTCGTCATGAAGGTACCCCCATTACTACCCATATACTTTATCCAGAGTTTAAATATACAGAATCCTTTATTTAAGGCACACTTTTGAAAAAAATGAGCAGAGGTTTTGCACACCTTGGCTATTACATGCCCCAAACTAGAGGCTCTCAAGAGCCTGTGTCGCTCACCTGTATTTACTGATGCTTTGGAAATCATGTAAAATAAGGTTAAAATCATAATTAATAGTATTAGATATTAGATATTATAATGATATCTAAGATAATAACAAAAAACTGCAAAATTTTTGTAAAATTACTAACTCAGGGGCAGCAACCCAACAACGGGTTGTCGGATTCGTCTGAAAATTTTAGGGCAGATAAATCTAAATCTGATGAACATTTTTGCCACCTCTCAGATTTGCTCTAAATGCTTTAGTTTCAGAGATATAAACCAAAAACTGCATTTTACCCTTATGTTCTATTTTTAACTAAGTTGGCCATGATGGTTGGAAGGTAGAGTCATCGGACAAATTTTTTAAACTAGATACCCTGATAATGATTATGGCCAAGTATGGTTAAATTTGTCTCAGTAGTTTCAGAGAAGAAGATTTTTGTAAAAGATTACAAAAATTTACGAAAAATTGTTAAAAATTGACTATTAAGGGCAATAACTCCTAAAGGGGTCGACTGACAATTTTGGTCATGGCAACTTATTTGTAGATCTTACTTTGCTGAACATAATTGCTGTTTACAGTTTATCTCTATCTATAATAATATTCAAGATAATAACCAAAAACTGCAAAATTTCCTTAAAATTACCAATTCAGGGGCAGCAACCCAACAACAGGTTGTCAGATTTGTCTGAAAATTTAAAGGCAGATAGATCTTGACCTTATAATCAGTTTAACCCTGTCAGATTTACTCTAAATGCTTTGGTTTCAGAGATATAAGCCAAAATCTACATTTTACCCCTATGTTCTATTTTTAGCCATAGGGGCCATCTTAATTGGTTGGCGGGGTCATCAGACACATTTTTTAAACAAGATACCCTAATGATGATTGTGGCCAAGTTTGGTTAAATTTGGCCCAGTGGTTTCAGAGGAGAAGATTTTTGTAAAAAGCTAATGACGACGGACGACGACGATGACAACGACGACGGACGCCGGACGCCAAGTGATGAGAAAAGCTAATTTGGCCCTTTGGGCCAGGTGAGCTAAAAAATGGACTCAAAAAGCAGTGAAATTTTATTAACCCTTTTAAAATTGGTAAGGGGGTTCTCAAAACTCCATTCAGTTAATGAGAATTGAGAATAAGCCTGAACTATCAATGTCAAATATAATACTTATAATTACCTGTTTCTCTTCCTGTAATTTACTTTACAGACAATGCTAACGATAATAATGATTATGATTACTAATATACAGCCTATAATCATTCCAATAATAGAAACCAAATTCAAAGCTTCAGTGGTTTCCTTGGATTCACAATCAGGATTATCTATTGGACATCTACATTCATATTTATTATCGCCATCTATACATTCCAATGTATCTAAACAGGGTGAACTTAAGCATTCATCAATATTTTCTTCACAGTATACACCAGAATATCCAGGTAAACAGACACAGTCATAAAACAAGTCAAAACTTTCTGCTCTATGGGTACTGGTACATGGGTAGTTACTGCCATTCTTAGCTATAACATAAACAATCAAGGCAGAATATGAGTGAACATAACAAATGTTGCATAGAAGAGAAACAGTAATATCCATTAAATATATGTATTGGAAGAACCATTTTGGCAATTTGTAAATCAAATAAAAATTAATAAAATGAGACAACCAAATGACACAAATATTATAAACCAAAAGACACCTAGCAGGTAACATGTGACTGGTCCCCGTACGAAATTATAAGGCGTATTACGCCTGGAAATCTAGCGTAAACCAGGCGTAAGTGGTAGTTACGTGTCCAGATCCAGGCGTAAGGGAACAGGAAACGTAAATTTGTAGTCCTTACGGGCGTAGAAAATATGGTAAACCTGGCGTGAATTGAAATAAGCAAGGCGTAAATTTTCCTAGGGGCGTAAAACTGTTGGTATGGCGTAAATCATAATACCCATAATGCTTTGTTGATAAAGGATCATGGGATTTTTTTTTCAAAATTTGGCTCTTTGGTATTATTTTGCAAGAGTTGGACTTATGGCAGCTTTATATATTCAGGGATAATTTGTAAGAATTTGAAATTGGAATTATGGAAACAAATTGATTAATGAAAATTGTGAAATAAAAGGAAAGTAATATACATGGTAAAAGATAATTATGTGAGTAACTAAGTTTTATTTTTTTTAACAGTAATTTTGAATTCTGAAAACCTTCATCCTTGGATGATGACATTAAAATCTTTCACATTAAGTTAAATTGCAGTATTATCATTGATATTTTGGTTCAAATGACATTAATTTTCAAAAAAAAACTTAGTTAATCAGTTTAACCCTGTCAGATTTACTCTAAATGCTTTGGTTTCAGAGATATAAGCCAAAATCTACATTTTACCCCTATGTTCTATTTTTAGCCATGTCAGCCATCTTGGTTGGCAGGCGGGGTCATCAGATACATTTTTAAAACTAGATACCCGAATGATGATTGTGGCCAAGTTTGGTTAAATTTGGCCCAGTAGTTTCAGAGGAAAAGATTTTTGTAAAAGTTAATGAAGACTACAACGACAGCAAGGTGAGCTAACCAAATTAGATATTGCATCCTAAATATGTATAAAATATTTGCCACTGAACACTAATAAAACATCAATAAATCTTTTTTATTCATAATTTAGGTTTCCACTTACGCTGGCATAATCCACCATTATGACAAGGTGACTCCATTAATATGAACTGTATTGTCACAACAGTTGATGATATAGTCATTGAATCTGAGAAGTACACTTTCAGCAGGTCAAATCCAGAAGAATTCATACTTTGATTATAGAACAAAGTGTTGTAAAGCCAATATACTGCATCCTTGTTGTATGGTAAAGTTTTGCTAAAATTACCACACGGTTCACTGACTACCTGCAAAAAAAATGTAAGGAGTACAAATTAGCAACTGAGTTCTCATAATCGAAGTGACCTTTTATTTATGATATCAACCATGCAAACAAACCAATACAAGGTCGTGTGGTATCCATTTTTGAGAATTTGTTCTACCTATATATTAAGTTTTGTTAAAACCTAAGAAGTAGAGAATTTATACAAGTATCAGATTTGTTAACAATAATCAACGTGTGAGGAAATCATTATTTGTATATGTATTTTCACCACTAGTTTATTTTTTTTGTACAGCCAAATTAATCAGTGAATTATTGATTTTTTCAAGAGAAATTCAAAGTTCCCATTGTCAGAACTCTTCAAAGAGCAAATTTTTTAGCTAGTGTATTTATTCATTGGAAGAGTCCCCTTTGCAAACATTTAAATAGCCAGGTAACCACCAACTAATTCTTGGGAAAGGTTTTATTTCCTTCGCAATAACAGACAAAATTAATTTCTAAAATTTTATTTTCTACAAAACAAAATTCTCATTACAATTTTTTTCCAATTTTCACTCACATAGGGAATCAATTAGGAATAGATCATTGTACCTTGTTGTTGAAATTCAAGCACAAAGAAAAGTTTCTCGAAATTAGTAATTTTTTTAAAAAGATTTTACATAATTTTTTCCCCTTCAGTTTATTCAAAAATAAATTTTTCCCTGAAATTATAGCAGTGAAAAACTTATTTTATACACAATGATCTGTACAAAAACACCCTATTTCTATTCACAAGGGCAGAATCTTACATTTACAGCAGTTTCACATTTCAGTGTCATGGGTGCTGTTGTTTTTTCATCTGTAAACATAAGTGTACCATGCAGAGGTTTTTGTACATTCATAGAGAGATCTTGTTGTTCCATATCAAATGCTCCTATTACAGCAGTGAATTCCTCTGTCCATTTATTCAGGTTAAATATGTTTTTCTGTTCTAGATATACCTGAAATATGTCAATGAACAGTAATGCTGTGCTTAAACTTCATGCTGATGTACATAATGTAGGTCAGTATTGGATAAACCACCAAAAAAAAAATCACACAGAATCAAAGCTTTGTAAGATTTAAAACAATGACAAAAAGCTGTCAAAATGACAGCAAACCTGTCTTTCGTACAATTAAGGGCCATAACTCCTTAACAGCAAACATGAAAGTTGCCCACTCTTGACATCCATGTTGTCATGAGACACAATATATTACAATCTGAAAAGAATTGGATTAAGTGTCTCAAGTTGTTACAAAGAATCAACCTAAAGTAACATTTTCCAAAAAATCAAGTACCATAACTCCTGAATGATAACAGTAAAATTTTCAATATAGAACTTAATCACCATTTGGTCATCAGGAACAACAGTAACTAACTCTCTGACTTTCTGTTAAACAAACACATATTTTTCTATTTTAAAGAACCATTGTCCTGTTATTTCTTTATTATATACTAATAAAAATGTACAATGATGTGGGTATTGAAAAAATTAAGATATAGAAAAGTATGCTTTACAAAAAAATACTAGATGTGTCAGAACGACACAAATGGCCCCATCTCAAAAAGTTGAAAAATCTGCAATTTCAACAACACATGTGGACACAAACCTGTGTTTAAAGTTATTGCCAATGGCTGATATTTTTGTTCGAGCATATTGTTTTTCTTAAATTGTTTAACATTTCATAGCGGTATAACATGTTACTTTTATTATTCTTCCCTGAGTTTATTTACTTTGTATTTACATTGTATCATAGGTCAAATTTATTTGTTCAGTGTATGTTCACTGGTGTTAATATGTCCTTTGATTGAATTTCAGTTGATATTTTATAGTGTCTTTCTATGTTGTGATGTTACACTATTGTTTCAGAAAAAGGGTGAAGGTTTGGTACCATTAAAAAGTTTAAACCCGCTCCTAAGTCAGGAATCTGATGTTCAGTAATTGTCGTTTGTTGATGTGGATCATAAGTGTTTCTCGTTTCTCGTTTTTTATATAGATTAGACCGTTGGTTTTCCCGTTTGAATGGTTTTACACTAGTAATTTTTGGGGCCCTTTATAGCTTGCTGTTCGGTGTGAGCCAAGGCTTCGTGTTGAAGACCGTACTTAGACCTATAATGGTTTACTTTTATAAATTTTGACTTGGATGGAGAGTTGTCTCATTGGCACTCATACCACATCTTCTTATATCTATCTACAAACATGCATGGATAGTATCAAGCTCTCAAGACCAATACTAGTTTGATGAAAAATTTCCTTGATCAATGAATAAATAAATTTCAAACTATCAGCAACAGAAAGTAGATGTACTGCAGATCTAACAAGATGTGTTGAAACGACATGAAAATCAGCATAGCAGAACGTAACATAAACTTGATCTGTAACTCATCATGGTAGTCACACATATAAAAAATCAGCGCAAAATCTGAAGGCATATAGAAAAAGTCTGTATAACTGTGATTTTCAACAATTTTCAAAGTCCAAAGCTCGTAATTTCGGCAAAAATTAGCAGAGCGGAAGGAACCTAAACTTGATCTGTAACTCATCATGGTTAACTCACATACCAAAAATTAGCCCAATATCTGAAGGCATTTAGAAAAAAAGTCTGTATAACTGTAATTTTCAACAATTTATCAAAGTCCAAAGCCCGTAATTTCGGCAAAAATTAGTGGAGCGGAACGAAACTTAAACTTGATCTGTAACTCATCATGGTTAACTTACATACCAAAAATCAGTCCAATATCTGAAGGTGTTTAGAAAAAAAAAACGTATAATGGTTTGTTGCAGAATGACGGAATGACGGAATGACAGAATGATGGAATGAGGGAATGACAGAATGACGGAATGACAACTTTGTTGCGGGGTCATAAAAATAATAATTCTATATACGGCATGTAGCAATGTGTCTTTCTTCTTAAGCTGGTCAGGCATGTGACCTAAAAATTATTTATTGAAGTGTTCAATTTCCTTTTGTACAAGAGATCAAATATTATTTATATTATTCATTAAATAAAAAAGATGAAAAAGAAGTAAGTTCCAAGCTTAAGGAATCCATTATATACAATTAGAAGTTTGTTGGGCTCATATTAGGTCTAAAAGAGGTTCATACCAAAACTGGTTCTGTTGGATCAGATGATAAAATAGATTGACCATACTGGATTAGGAATATTTCTGGTGGGTCATTAGAATCTATAATGGTAATGACAAGGGTTGATTCACTGCTGGATGGGGGTATATCATCATTGGTCTGTAGTTCTTGAAGGATGATTGCTATGGTCTCAACACCTGAACAGTCTGTGCATGGAGTATAAAGCAGTCTACAAAATAAAACTTTCATTTATGTCTGAATCTTTAACTAGTCAGCTAATTTATTAGTCTTTTTTTCAGTCATGAGGTGGTTGACTTTGAATAACAATGCCTCACTAACCTGATAATAATACATGTAATTTAATTATCGCCCAGAAGGATCAGAAATCAATAAAGACAACTTGCTTTGTGTAATAAATTTTAGATGTATGTCAGGAATATATAAACCATCAATAAACAAGATTCTCTCAAGAGCCTGAATCGCTCAACTGCAATTTTTTGTTTAAACGTTTCATCAATTATTATTTTTGCTTTTCAATATATATTAATGAGTGGCTTAAAAATGCCATTTAAATGTTCTTTGTATCTGTCATATTTTCTTCAAAAGCAAAAAAATGCATTTTACCCCTATGTTCCATTTTAGCCATAGTGGCTATGTTTCTTGACGTACAAAGAAATAAAATAAAAAATTTATACTAGATACTCTGAAACTCATTCAGCCAAAGTTTGGCTGAAATTGATTTATCAGTTTCAAAGGAGAAGATTTTTTAAAGTAAGCAAACTAGATGAACAAATTGTGAAAAATTGTCTTTAAAGGACAATAACTCCTTAAGGGGTCAATTGACAATTTTGGTCATACAAAAACTTATTTGTAGATCTTACTTTGCTGAACATTTTTGCTGTTTACAGTTTATCTTTATCTATAATAATATTCAAGATAATAACTGAAAACTGCAAAATTTCCTTAAAATCACCAATTCTGGGGCAATAACCTAAAAATCAGATACCCAATTTGGCTGATAATTTCAGGGCAGGTAGTACTTGACCTAATGAATACTTTAACTTCTTGTCTGATTTGCTCTAAATGCTTTAGTTTTTGAGATATAAGTAAAAAACTGCATTTTACCCTATGATCTATTTTTAGCCATGGCGGCCATGTTTTCTGAGAAAACAGATAATAAAACACAAACTTTATTCTAGATAACCTAAGAATCATTCAGCTTAAGTTTGGTTTAATTTGGTTCAGTAGTTTCAGAGGAGAAGATGTTTGAAATAATTTTTTAAAGTTAGAAAACATGATAAACAAATTGTGTAAAATTGTCCTTAAAGGGCAATAACTCCTTAAGGGGTCAATTGACAATTTTGGTCATATGAAACTTATTTGTAGATCTTACTTTACTGTTTACAGATTATCTTTATCTATAATATTCAAGATAATAACTGAAAACTGCAAAATTTCCTTAAAATTATCAATTTAGTGGCAACAACCCAACAATGGGTTGTTAGATTCATCTGAAAATTTAAGGGCTGATAGAACTTGACCTAATGAACATTTTTAACCCCCATGTCAGATTTGCTCTAAATGCTTTAGTTTTTGAGATATAAGTCAAAAACTGCATTTTACCCCTATGTTCTATTTTTAGCCATGGCAGCCATGTTTTTTGACGAAACAGATAATAAAACACAAACTTTGTTCTAGATACCCTGAGGATCATTCAGCTTAAGTTTGGTTGGAATTGGTTCAGTAGTTTCAGAGGAGATGTTTGAAATAGTTTACTCCAGATGGACGACGACGGACGCCAAGTGTTGGCAAAAGCTCACATTTCGTAAGAACTAAGAAAGGTGAGCTAAAAATGAGAATGGGACAAACAAACAAACAAATGAACAAACTACTATATCCCCTTCTCAATTTCATTGGGGCTGGGTATTGAGAATTTGCTAATACTACTTACATTCCATCCTCAAAAAGCAGTGGTTTACCAAGTTTATATGTCTGACTTGCCAGACTGAATTTGATTACATCACCTTCTTCATCAGTTGCCTCCAACTGGTATTGTAATGTACCTGAGAAATGACATAAACATATACCGGTAGCTATTCAATTATCAATAACATTTACATAATAAAAAAAAGAATTAAATAATTGTACTATCATTGGTAGTTCGGGAGTCAAATAATGGCTCATATCTTAATTATCTTATTTTTTGTTCTATTTAGATGTAAACAATAGACAATTTTTGAAATGAAAAACTCTTGGTCTCTATTGGATAGTTTTCTCATTGGCAATCATATCACATCATCTTATTTTTATATCTTATGACAGACACAGAGTTGTAAGGACAAACGGCAAGAGAGACATAATAGTTCTATATATCTTAATAGAAATAAGATGATGTGGTATGAGTACCAATGAGACAACTCTCCATCCAAGTCACAATGTGTAAAAATTAATCAATTATAGGTCAAAGTACGGCCTTCAACAAGGAGCCTTGGCTCACACCAAACAGCAAGCTATAAAGGGCCCCAAAATGACTAGTGTAAAACAATTAAAACTGCATTAAAATGTTGCAATAGCATATATATATTTACACCCATTATATATGCCTTCTGTATCTGATTTTGATACCCTGTTTCAAATTGCCATCAAATTGTAATTTTCTTCTATATCTAGTGTTTGAACTTGATCTTTTGTGTTTTTGCCACAATACAAGATATTTTAACTGTAAACAAGTATATCTTACAATACTTTTGCATGAAAAATTTTGATATTTCCTTAACCTGTATTTTAATTACCTTCATCTTCTTTGATGGATATGAACCTGTCACTGGTCAGTATTGGTGGAGAATTATACACTTTATTTGAAATAATAAATACAGCAAATTGTGTTTCTCCAGAGAAATATGAGACAGATTTGTCAGTTTGATTGATTTCATCTACTTCATCTCCCCATGTTTTGCAAACCTTCAAAATAAATAAGAGCATATATCAATTATGGTAATTCAGTATACACTTTTAAATATGATATAAAAGAAACATACATTTAGAAGCTCCAACACACCTTACATTTATGAATGCCACTGAAACTGAGCACCAGTAATAGCATCAAAACAAGAAGGTGTATGCAATATCATGCAAAGTATGTCCCAATATTTATTAGACATAGAGCTCAGTATTTATAATTGAACTTTAAGTGACTTCAAACAGGACTGGCTGCCCAGCAGATAAGAAAATAGCTAACACTCTTACATTATAAAGTTCAAGACCAAATATTGCAATATGGAAAATTAGTAATATGTAACTATAAATTAAAAAAGACACATTTTCATCATATAGCAAAGCCTTAATTATTCTAATTTAAATATATCACTAAAAATTAGGTAGCAAGAAAAGTTTTAACATTGCTGTACTGTCTAGCGCTGTCATCCATCTAGGGACCTGTCAAGACTATTTACAAAATGATGATAATGTAATAGTCTGGATAAGTCCCTAGATGAGAAAAGCGCTAGACAATACAGCAATGTCAAAACTTTCCTTGATTTATAATTTTGAGTTATATATATAGAAACCAAAACATACCTCAACACTCTTTGTTTCATCTCCATTATCAATTTCCAATGCTTTACCACATGTCATACTACTCAACTGCCATTGCTGTAGAGCTGTAATGGGAGAAAAATACACAAAATTTGTACTTTCATTCTTAATCACAGTAAATCCAAATTATTGCTTGCATTTATTTACAAAACAAAAATGTGAGATTATATCTATAAACGAGACTACAGTAAAGCTGCATGCTTCATATAAATAATGCAAAGCTGCATGCTTCATATAAATAATGCAATCAGATGCAAGTTCTAGTTTATGTATAAATGATAAGAAATTTTGTTAATTAAAATCAATCATACTTATCGTAACTAGAGATTCATTCTTGAGCTTCTTAAGAATAGGGTTGATAGCACTACAATTTTTTAAAGATTCCCTAGTAACAATTATGCTGCTTTCACTATACATATGACATATTCTAACCTTTGAACACATGACTTTAACACTATTAAAGTTCATTATTTTACAACAACACTAACTTTGTTCCCTAACTTTGTTCCAAGTTAATTAATACAAGACAAATAAAATAAATAAAACACAAGATCATGTGGTTGTTTTTTAGACACAAATGATTGAAAAAAAAGAACTTTTTGGGGAAATGGGTGCCTGAATTTTCTTCAAGACTTCAAAATCTATTGGAAAACAATATTTAAATTAAACAAATGCCACTGGACATTAAGCAAGCAATAATCAATCAATATTTTGTCAGAAGAATATTTGACAGATATACTTTAAAAAAAACATTTTGGTCTGGATTCACTGGGATTTTTTTTAATGCAATGCCTAGGAAAAAGTTTAGACGGGTTAAAAAATATTAAGGGAAAGTTAAATGTCAATAGCAACCATTCAGTCAGCTCATTATGTAACTTTTTCAGAATCACATGAAAAATAGAAATGTGTATGCCCATTCGTCCTACGTATTGGATATGATTGCTACAGTGTAGAGAAAATGGTTTTCGCTACTTTGCTACTCAATTCGAAGTATTGTCGTTCATCATTTTTGCTTTGGTGTTTGGGACTTAAAGTACTTACATCACCTACTGTTTTACATTTAAAAACAGTATAGTATGTAGGAACATACCAGTATTCCAGTGAGCTAGGGCAGTTCTGGTATCTTCATTCTTGCCAACAGTATCTGGATATGTGATATTTATTGGTCCTGGCATAGACAGGTGACCAACTGGTATCACAGAAAATGTCATTTCAAAGGAATGTATTCTGTAAAGTATCAAGGAAAAAAAAACTATTGATTGCATATCATAACCTTTATATCAATTTGTGTTGAAATTCCAGCACAAACAGATGTTTCACAAAAAAACAAAGGAAACCTTCTTTTCATAGATATTTTAAAACATTGTACAAACAATATCGGAAATTGGTTGTTGCAGTCTTAACTTACGGTACGATATAGTAGTGCTGACAGGTTCAAGCTGAGTAGTTGGAGGAGCCATTATCAGTATAAACTCATTTATCATTGGAAGTCTACCAAAATATCCTTCTCTTGTAAGAAAATAAAATCACATGGGACCCTACTACCAACAAGTTGAATTGTGAGCTCTTGTTCACTAATGATACACCATTACAGTTCCATAGCTGTCCATTAATAGATATTTCAATAAATCATACTAAAATCACAGTACCTCTTGTACAATAATCTTTCTACCATATCCAGGGTAGTTTCTGGGTTGACTATATATGGCTGAAAATCAGTTGAAGAATCAGATCTGTATTCTGTTGTTAGATCTTTTTCAGATATTGGCTGAAGTACAATTGCCTGTCCTGGTATCAACCCTATATAAATGTGAAAGTATTATAAAGCAATGCTAGTTCACATATTGCGTCAAAGTATAAAAGAGACAGTGAAAGAAGCAAAGGACCATATGACTCAAAACAAAGTGCTTATGTAGGGTAGGCTGCTTCTGCTATGCAAGCTTCACCTGTAATGCACCACTGATTTTTTTTAAAAGTCATATATATAGCTAATTTAATTATGAACAATTACAGCCTACAAAATTATTTAAGTAATTTAAGCAAAATTCACATGTTAAATAAATCTGCCACTCCTAAACAGCTTAAATTAAATTCTGATACTCTTAGCAGTAGTTGTTACAAATGGTACTATACTTTACTATACAAATACAGGTGTGCAGATATTATGAAGCAATATATGTATAGTATACATATGTATTCACATGGTATCCTGCTTCTGTTGCTAGTTTATGGTTACATTCAAATTGAAGTTATCTTCTAAGTAACTTTTGGTGTCTTCTTATTGGCATTTTCTTAACTGAACAACTGAGAATTTTAAAAAGTACAAGGACTGGTGGATTGGAGGCACTTTTTTAAAACCCCAACCACCCATAATACAAAATTTTCATTTTACTTCTATTTTTTCCAAAATTCTAAAGAAACCATTGATTGCTTTCATTCTGTCCCCCTTCCCATTCATTAAGTCTGGAACAGATAGCATTTCCAATTTGTGCTTCACATGTTTCTGAATTGAACTACAAGAAAACTCTGGTGCAGTTTTGTTGTACGCATTCTGTAGCTTACTTGAATTTTATAGAAATTTTACCTTCTGGAGTTGTTACAACGATTGTTTCTACATTTCTCTTTCTCCTTGTAGAGTCTGTCGAAACATATTCTACAATTTCAATAGATTCTCCATGTTCTGATCTTTTTATTATTGATTCTGTATTGGTTATCAGTACACTTCCTAATGACTTGTTAGTACAGAGTTCTGCTTCATTACAAACTCTCATAGTCAGAAACAATGTCCTTCCAGGTTCCATATGGAATACACTTGTTTTGTTCTGTCTTTGCTGCTCAGATACATTCCAAAATCTGTTCTGCAGTTCTGACAGAGCTCTTACTCTAATATCATCAATTAACAAATACCCATCTTTGATAGAAGCAGATCCTGATATGTTATACCCAACCCATGCACAGGGGAAAATATCATCTTTATTTACATCTGTTCCAATACACAAATCTGAAGAAAAAATACAATGAACTATAATGTATTATTACTGTTTACTTTTATTAAAGTATCTGAAAAATTCTTTCTGAGATTGGTACAAGGTGTTTTACATGTCAAATTGTTTTTTTCATAAGATTTATTAAGATTGTTTATTCTTATCCAAAAACCTCAAAAAATGTTCAGATTGACATTAAAATAAGACTGATTTATTGTTGGTTGTTAATGCCTCTTTCAGCACTATTAGCTATATTGTAGCTGTTGTTTTTTTTATTGTTCGAGAAAGCTGGAGTGCCTGGAGAGAACCACAGACCTTCAGTAGAAAATCTGACAATAATACATGAAGTAATTTAAGATTGGAATCTAAGGCACCTGCCAAGTTACGGGTTTTACCTCACAACCTTAGTGTCAACAGGCTAGTAATGCCATCAAATTGAGATGTCCTTACCAAGTTAACCAAGAATCTAGAACAGTCAAACTTTATTGTGTTTCAAACACCGAACAACAGTTGTGGTAAACTTAAACAAAAAAAGTGTCCATAGGACATCATGCATGGAACACATTTTGAAATGTGGGACCAACCCTTAATTTTCCATATATTATAAAACAAGAGTGCACACACTGAAATGTCTCGCCTTCTTTACTAACCATTGATTTTATGTTGATAATCCTAAATATAAAGCTTTTCTACAATAACACATAAACTTAACATGATCCAAGAAAATGAGGTCAAGGTCAGATAAACCAAACGAGAAAAACATGTACACCTTTAAACAATCATTCAATAAACCAAACATAGTTGACCTATTGCTTATAGTTTCTAAGAAACAGTCTTAACCAAGAAAACTTAACATTGACCAATGAACCATGAAAATGAGGTCAAGGTCAGAAGAACCATGCCAGACAGACATGTACACCTTACAATCAATTTATGCATTAAATATAGTTGACCTATTGCTTATAGGATCTAAGAAACAAACTTAACATTGACCAATGAACCATGAAAATGAGGTCAAGGTCAGATGATACCTGCCAGACAGACATATACACCTTACAATCTTTCCATACAACAAATATAGTTGATCTATTGCTTATTGTTGAAGAAAATCAGACCAAAACACAAAAACTTAACACTGAGAAATGAACCGTGAAAATGAGGTCAAGGTCAAATAAAACCTGGGAGACTGACATATACATCATAAAATATTTCCATACACCAAATGTAGTTGACCTATTGCATATAGTATTAGAAAAAAAGACCAAAACTCAAAAACTTAACTTTGACCACTGAACCATGAAAATTAGGTCAAGGTCAGATGACACCTACCAGTTGGACATGTACACCTTACAATCATTCCATATACCAAATATAGTAGACCTACTGCTTATAGTATCTGATATATGGACTTGACCAAGAAAACTTAATCTTGTTCACTTATCCATGAAATGAGGTCGAGGTCAAATGAAAATTGTCTGACGGGCATGAGGACCTTGCAAGGTACGCACATACTAAATATAGTTATCCTATTACTCATAATAAGAAAGAAATTAACATTACAAAAAATGTTGACTTTTTTTTCAAGTAGTCAATGAACCATGAAAATGAGGTCAAGGACAATGGACATATGACAGACGGAAACTTCTTAACATAAGGCATCTATATACAAAGAATGAAGCATCCAGGTCTTCTAGCTTCTAAAATATAAAGCTTTTAAGAAGATAGCTAACGATGTCGCCGCCAGATCACTATCCCTATGTCGAGCTTTCTGCGACAAAAAATCACATCATAATGAAGATGTGTACAAAAATTTATGCACAAATTCATGGTAATCTACTAAACTAAAACTTTAACCTAATACAGGACAGACCAAAAGAGGCATGGATCACACACAAGACGAAAAATATAATGCCCACCTCTACTTTTTGGGCAGGGTATAAAGATTCTATATAACACAGTTTGGCCACAACTAAGTTTCATATAGAGAAAATTAAAGGAGAGGGTCATTGTTGGCCATTTCTGTTTTTTTTATTTTTTTATTTTTTTTTAATTGAGTTGTTTTTATTACCTGACAAATATTTACTAGTATATTAAACAACCAATGTGATCTGAATTATTAAAATAAATCTTTATCATATAAACTTACCATATTTGTTAATGGTTTTATCTTCACTAACAGTAAATGTAAATCCTATACTATCAGGATCTGAACTCTCCATGGCATCTAGAGGTATCACTGGTTCATCAAATGGTTTAACTTCTCCTAGGACAGTATTGTTTAAATCATCCACTTCTGGTAGTTTTAACAAAGGAACAACACCTACAATATTAAAAACATATGTCAGTACACACCTAAAAAAATTCTTGATAGCATGGTAAGGTAAAGATTAACAATTGTCCCATTTCAATGCTAAAATAGTAATTAAGATTTATTTCAAAATAATATTCTGTATTAAAATCTAATTTTGTATACCATGTAAATAATTTGTTGTTTTAAAATTACAAAAACTAACTACTAAATTCGTTTCAAATGGGGAGTTTCTGCATTTTTGAGACCCTTGCTTTAAACTTCGAAATGACCATGTTGTTTTGAGACCCAACAGAAACATAAGTCTTCATGTGCCAGAATGTGTATGTTGAAGTTCGGAAAATATTGGATGCCACATAAATGTACAAGATAAAATAATGGTAAATATGAAGTAACATATTAAACATACCATAATTATCATTCCATTGTGTAGGTTTCCCACCTCCATTGATACAGATAATAGACACATAATATGTATGGTTATGTTGGAGAATGCCTTCAAATGATGAATTAATGCCAGTTACATTGAGGCCAACTGATTGAAATTCTTGAAGTTCTGTTCCACCAGGGGTTTTACCAATTGCCCAAAAGTTTTCCTGAAAAAGATGTCATGCCAGGTGTTCAAAATTGTGTTCAATTTAATTCATTTATTATATAATATATATTTCAAGCTAAACTTCAATGACTCTTATCATAATAATAATGTAAGTTACCTTAATTTGACTTTCATCATCAGTACATCTCCAAAAAGCTTTAATGGTGCTGTTTGATGCTTGGAATCGGACTGGCTGAAACTCTCCTCGGGTTTCATCAATATAAATTGGGGACTTCAGCATAATGTCAAGGTCAAACAGGGGACCTGTGATATCAATATAAAATCCTGAAGATGAGGATACAGCACTATCTCCAGATCCAGTCATAGCCCTTCCTGAAAAAAAAAAACCCACCCAAATAAGCCATTTGCAATTAGCCTTATAGTACAGACTTGTAAAGTTTATCTTTATTAACAAATGAGACAAGTATTAATATCCAATTTTTAACAATGGCAATCTCAAATGAGCCTAGTATATTTTTCTTTTATTTTATTAATAAAATTTGCACATACCAGACATCTAAATTGCAAGAACTGCAGAAACGGAGGGTCATTTAAAAAGAAATAAATGTGGATAGTGTCCACATGTGGACACAGATGAAGCCCCCGCTTGCATATCATATAGTTATAAAGGAACATAACTGAAGAACGGTAAAAGTGACGCTACCCAAATTTGAACTTGATCTGAGTTTTGTGGTAATAAGCATTGTGTGTAAGTCTCATAACAATTGGTTGAGGCTAACTAAAGTAGAGAACAGAAACTAAAAATTCAGCAATTTTTCTATTTGTAAACATGCATAACTCTAGAACGGTTGTGTATAAGTTTTATAACATTTGGTTGAGACAAACTAAAGTTAGAGAATGGAACATAAAATTTAGCAATTTTTATGTTTATAAAGGGACATAACTCAAGAATGGTAAAAGTGTTGCCATCAAATTTCGTACTTAATCTGTATTATGTAGTAATAAGCATTGTGTATAAGTTTCATAACATTTGGTTGAGGCAAACTAAAGTTAGAAAACGGAAACAAAAAATTTGTACTTGATCTTAGTTTTGTGGTAATGAATATTGTGTATAGGTTTCATGATAATGTTTGGTTGGGGCAAACTTAAGTTACAGAATGGAAACTAAAAATTTCGCAATCTTTCGATTTATAAAGGGGCATAACTCAATAATGATTAAAGTGACACTACCCAAATTCAACTTGATCTGTGTTTTATCAGTGGAAGTCAAAATTAAACATTGCATTGTATAAAGCATTGATTGTAGTTGATTTAACTATAATCATGGACAAAGGAAGATAACTCAAATTTTAATAAAATTACTTGATATTTAGAAGAAAATAAAAATTTGGCAATTTTTCCATTTCTAAAGCCTCTAGCCTTTGTTAGTCTTGTATTATTTTTAATTTTAGTTTCTTGTGTACAATTTGGAGTTTAGTATGGCGTTCATTATCACTGAACTAGTATATATATTTGTTTAGGGGCCAGCTGAAGGACGCCTCCGGGTGCGGGAATTTCTCGCTGCATTGAAGACCTGTTGGTGACCTTCTGCTGTTGTCTGTTCTATGGTCGGGTTGTTGTCTCTTTGACACATTCCCCATTTCCATTCTCAATTTTATAACTCTAGAATGGTTAAAGTGACGCCACCAAAATTCTAACTTGATCTGTGTTTTGTGGTAATAAGCATTGTGTATAAGTTTCATAACATTTGGTTGAGGCAAACTTAAGTAAGAGATTGGAAACGAAAAATTCAGCATTTTTTCCATTTGTAAAGGGACATAACTCTAGAACAGTAAAAGTGACGCCACCAAAATTCAAACTTGATCTGTGTTTTGTGGTAATAAGCATTGTGTATAAGTTTCATAACATTTAGTTGAGGCAAACTAAAGTTAGAGAATGGAAACGATAAATTCAGCAATTTTCCATTTGTAAAGGGGCATAACTCTAGAACGGTAAAAGTGATGCCACCAAAATTCAAACTTGATCTGTGTTTTGTGGTAATAAGCATTGTGTATAAGTTTCATAACATTTAGTTGAGGCAAACTAAAGTTAGAGAATGGAAACGATAAATTCAGCAACTTTCCATTTGTAAAGGGGCATAACTCTAGAACGGTAAAAGTGATGCCACCAAAATTCAAACTTGATCTTTGTTTTGTGGTAATAAGCATTGTGTATAAGTTTCATAACATTTGGTTGAGGCAAACTAAAGTTAGAGAACGGAAACCAATTTTGGGACATACGTACATACTGACGGACAAGGGTAAAACTTAATGCCCCCTCCGCTACGGCGGGGGCATAAAAAAAGATTTTAAGAAAAAAACGGCACCTGAGCATGGAAATTGATCTGTATTCTTACACAGACTTTATATCCTGTAATTCTTACCTGTGAGATAGTATATTATAGTTTTATTATATGAATGTCCTGTTTCATTCATATCAATGACATATGGTTTTAGGTTCAAGTTTGTCAAAGTAAAACTGTAGTCCATAACTTTATCCAGGTTGCACTTCTGGTCACAGTTGTATTTTGAACATTCCCCAAAGCAAGGGATACATGGTTCTATAACTTTCCTAAAGGGTTCAATATCTGTAAACAACTTGTCGCTCCCAATACCAACTTCATATTTTATTATAGGGTTAGTTTCACCTCTGAATGGATCACCATAGCGACAAAGTGCACCAGTTTGTGGTGGTAGTATAAGCTTTTTGAAAATTGCCCTCGTAGAGAATACATTGAATATATCTGTAATCTTTGGTACATAATTGTCACGATTGAAAACATGCAGCACCAGTTTTGTTGTTTCACTCATACGAGGAATTCCACAGAGCTCATTTATTTCCTCATCATTAATAAAAACCACAAGACATAAAGAAATCTGAAATAAATAATTCATGACAAATATAATTATTTCTTTCTTAAAGCAATAAAAAGGGGGACAATTCCACCCGATACAACATTAAAAAAGAAGTCCCAACTTTGTATGTGTACCCATGGCTCTTCCACTTATCATCCCAATTAAAAAATTTGTAATAAATCTCAAGACACTAAATATTGATCTGCAAAAGTTCCTGTTTTCAGTGTATTTCGATATTTTGGAGTTGTTGGGTTGACTTATATCAACATGTTTTATTTATATGAAAAATTATAAAAAAACAGCATATTAAAAAAAAATTTTAAAAAGCCTACAGTAATTATTTAGACGTTTTTTATCATTGAACTTCTGCTCTTGTTATTTTTCTACTTATAAAGGAACATTCCAAAATCTAATAAAGCTATATCGAACATGATAAAATCTATCTTACATCAACTGCATTATCCATCTCTGGTTTAAATATTAGTTTAAGGTTGAGAAATTCTCCAGTGATGTTGTAATCAACAGCTGTCTTCATAACTGGGAAAATACCATTGGAGAACCGACACCAAGTCACAATTTTTGAATTTTGATCTAAAAATAGAAAAACAAAAATACATGAATTTGTTTTAAAAGGTTCAACACCAGATCAAATACAATTTGTATATTTTCATTGGATCATCTTATTATTAAAGCAATTTCACATTATCATAGATGCCAACCCTCTTTTGGTGCATTCAGTAAAAAGGTATAAAGATTTCTGTAATTTGAGTCTTTCTTCAGTAATAATATTTTCTTCGTTAAATTTTGTAATAATCATATAAACAACTAGGCACAGTGAAATGATTGATTGATTATTATTTGCTTAGCATCCAGTGGCAAATATTTCATGCATGTTCAGGACGAAAACAAATTAACAATAAATACACAAGGAAGATCCTTTATAAGAAGCCGTCCAGGATGAGGTTGCGGAAATTTAGACTGCCACTGGAAAATGAGGGTATATTGGATGCGAGACAGAAATTAAGCATTACAACAGTCCACCTACGAACCCCTCAAAGAGTTGTTTCAACGGTTCTTAACATGCAGCGAGAGTGGCACTCTTACTAATTTAACGTCCCCAACATGACTGGACATGGCTGCGTACTTGTACATCCAGCACAGCCAAAAGAATGCCCAACTTTGGCAAAAGTTTTACTGCCTATTGGAAGAAAACCTGTAGTGACCATATTTCTATTCCCGTTTGGGTGGCACTCAGTGACAAAATGATTTCCTTTATTTATCAGAACTACGATTCAAAGTTGATGAGCAAATGAGAATCACTGACCATCGCGCTAAATGGAAATCTTTTTCATAATATATGCAAAAGGTATAATGGTCCGGACTTTGTTTTTTTTCTTTGCTTCAGATATTTAAATTGTTCCACTAGACATTGTCAAATTGAAAACAAAGACTTGTTTCGTTCACTAATTATTCAGAATGGAACATGAAATAGAGAGATCGTTTTATACTGGTAGTCCCGATTGAATATTGATTGGTTGTTGGTCGCTTAACTACTAGTGGAAAATAATATGTATGTTCAGGACGAGAACATGTTGACATTAATTCAATAGGTAGGTCTTACAATAGAGGATGTCCGGGATGAAGGTCCGGGAAAGTTTGGTCTACCACGAGAAAATGAGGGTTTATTGGATAGGGTCATAAATTTAGCCTTGCTACATGCCACTTACGGACCCTTCAAAGAGTTGTTGCAAGGGTTCTTAACGTACAAACTCTGTCTACACCAGGCATTGGATTTAATGTCCTCATTCTGACTGGACGTGGCTGCATACTTGATACATCCCGAACAGCCAAACGGACGCTCCACTTTGGCAAGGGTTCTACTGCCAGTTGGAGGAACAGTGGTGACCATATTTCTATTCCCCAGTCACCCTTGAGGTTTAGTCCCGAGAAACCCAATAAAAAATAACAGTCTGAACCATTCAAGCGCTTAAGGTAGATTCATGGTATACCGCCATCTTGGATTGTACAATCTCAATACAAAATTGGTCTAGTTATTTGCCCAAATCTGCAAATTTGGAGACAGATTTGCAATTTAATGGTTAGATTGTTTATTTATATAAAGAAAACTTGGTTATTTATTGTATTATTCAAAATATTTAAACAAATATCAAATTTTTATGATTTTAGAATAATTTTTTTCAAATAAGCCATTTAAGGGGAGATAACTCTTTTAGTAAAAATTATATACTGGACTGATAGGGAAATTTTAAATTTTTACTTGTAGCAAGAAAACAAGTTCGGTGACACCATTTTTTCTTTTTATTTTCTTAAAACATATTATGAAACCTATCTTCTTACAATTTATTTCAAAATTCTATCTCATAGAATTTTTTTTATGCACACAAATGTGTTTTTTCATGAACAATCTAACCAAATTTAGGCAATTTTCAACGACTCATAGCTTGGAAAATAGCACGGTGACCCATACTTTCTATTATATTTTTGAAAAAAGCATAGTAAACTCTTCCTTTTGGCAAAGTATGAGAAAATTCTATCTCAAAAAGTATATACTTATGAACTATACCTTAATGTTACACGATTCTAACCAAACATTTAGCGTCCAATGATGAAAATGATTTATAAAGGGAGAACTGTTCTGGACTGCTAATGAACATTAATCCGTAACAAATAGACTGTTAATAGTAACACTGTAATTTTGGTCCAAAATTTGTAACAATTACGGGAAAATCGTAAAATAGTTTCCTTCTAAAACTTGAAATCAAATATATCTTGGCAACCTTTTTTAAATCCATTTTGAAGAATTATTTTCTTGAGGCTCTTTCTTTTAGTAAGGCTAAGTAGGAATCCTGGTTATAAGATAATATAAAAAGTCTCTTCCATTTTTGCTTATCAGGTATGTGCCACAAAGGTTCCCTTTAGAAGCCAAATTGCTTACCAATAGACAATAAGCATATAAGTGATTTATAAGAACCTCAAAAACAAATTTTTTACAAGTTTTCAAGTAATCTTGTGTTTTTTTCTATATATTTTCCTAAGGATCCAATCTAAAACTAAGTCTCACTGATTGCATTAAAAAATAACAACGCTCAGTAAGAGCCACACAAGAAATCTTTCTGTCATACATAATTCAATAATTTGAAGGGATTACTCTCAAGAAAGATATATCAATAGTTCTCCTAGACTCAGTTGTAAAATAAAGTTTCACTTTATTTTATTACTGTTTGCATTGCAATGATAAATGAACTGAAGAAATGATCACTAAACACCAAAATTAAAACCAAGTTTTATGGAATGATTGCAAATGATACTAATTTCTCCTATTTGGTAAAAGTTAAAAACAAGACAAGACAAGATTATTTTTTTTTTGCAACCAATACATTACTTCAGTAGTTGTTGTTGGTTGTTGTCGAGCATATTTGTTTTTACTTTTATTGTTTTGTCAGCAATCATTGAAGGCCGTACAGTAACCTATTGTATACCTCCACGTCTTTTTAGAAAAAAATTTATCAATGCACTTCCTTTTTGTAGTAAAATTCACCAAAAAGAATCTGAATGCAAATCATTAACAATATAATAGGTATATATCATTTTGTGAAATTTATTTATCTATGGAATTAAATGCTTTCTTTTCTGATGAAAAAACAAACATGAATACATCACCTTATTGTAAGAAAAAACAATTTACCAAACAGAATCTGAATGCCACAGGACTTTTGAGCCAACGGTGTACTAGTATCTACAGGTTTTGAAACATCACTGTCAGACGGATTATTGACTATGTCATATGGTGCTGGAGTTGTGGTTGTCTGATCTGTTGTAGCTACTGTTGTACTGGGTACTGAAGGCAGTGTGCTGTTTCCGTATTTATCAGATAAATATCTGGAGCAATTGCAGTAGTTGCAATCCTGGAAAATGAACACATGTGTTTCTCTGAACTGTTTTTTTTTTTCCAGATGTAATATAAAATTTGTCATTAAATAAAATAACTTTTTATGAAACATTTATTTCTATTTTTGAATATGACAGACTATTAAGTATTTTTAAGGTTTTAATGAGTAGGGACAATAAACCCCAAATCTAAAATTAACCTTACCTTAAAAATCTTAAACTTAACCTCACATGACACAGTAAAAATAGTTCAGAAAATAAAAACAAATTTCACATTTGATGAGTGACAATGGCAACAAATTTTGACAAAATAAGTGCATTTTGGAAATTTTGTATTTTTCTTGTTTAGCATAAACTTTTTAGTATATCTTGATTTGGAAAAGTATGGGGACACCAAAACATTAAACAACTTTATTTTTGGTAGGAAATAGCTATTAGAAATCTTCTCTAAAACTATTTTATTGCTATTTTCATGTGAATGATGTTTCACAAGCAAAATAAGTACGGAAAAATGAAAAATTACAATTATAAACTATAATGATAATAATACAGTTAAATATTTTGTTTACCATTGATATTCAATTTTTAAATTCAAATTAAAACAAAGGTTAAATACATAACTTTTTTTCTTATTTTAAAATATATCTATGGACATTTTGAAGAGTTGTCAATCTTGATGACATTTATAATGTTTTTTATGAAAAAGAATGTAAGATATGAAATATATTTTCAATTCCCCCCTATACCTCAGGCACTGGCTCTATTAAACAACACTGGCAAACAGATGAAGCCCAGTCAATGTCTTCATTATATTCATAAGTAGAAATAACAGTATCTGGTCCATCCCAAAACAAAATTTCTGTCACTGCAATGCCATGTCCTCTTGCTGGTTTCACAGAAATCTGACAGATAAAAACACATAGGTTTTAGAAAGATTGCCAATTCAAAATAAAACAATTCCACAAATAGGGCACATTAAACAGTTTATCATTTGAGACTTGTATATTTTTTGCCACTAAAATATCTGACATAAAAAAAACAAAGTTAACTATAGTTGTTAATTTCTGTGTCATTTGGTCTCTTGTGAAGAGTTGTCTCATTGGCAATTATACCACATCTTCTTTTTTTATATTAAACAGCCTTAATAAAATACACTGTCAATCCTTGAAATATATAAGAGCTTACATGATATGTGCCTCCATTTTTGAAACTAGCAGGTCTGAAATATGCTCCAGTCAACATCTGGTGTTTTTTCTGGTCTCTTGCAAGCTTTATTGACACTGTATCATCATAAATATCCTGATTTATGTTTGCTGGTTGATACTGAAGAGACCATTTCTTGCCACTTAGATCCTTAAGATCAATAATTTCCAGTTTTTGCCAGTCAGTGTCATTGCTCATTGAAATCAACCTTGTTGGACATGCTGAACCAACTGGATTAGCAAAGTGCAAAAATGAACCTTAAATAATAAGGAAAAATTTAGTCAGAGAATGAGCATTTCCACATCTGTTGCATATACAGGTACAAACTTAAAGATGAAGGAATAAGTGTTGATGTATTTGAAACAATAAATTCTATATTAAGGAAGCAAATTACTGAATTCAAAATAGTCTTTTTATAAAGATTTTATTCTTGAAGTTGTCAGTTTCTGATAAACCAAAACCTTGTATATCAACCTTACAGCAATATTGAAATATTGAACATTTTGTAAAGAAATTTTTACACAGGTGTCTTCCATCACGGATATCAAAATTGCAGAAACAACAAGTGAAACTGTGAGCTACTGCTCACTGATGAAACTCCTGCCGCAAGTGGATAATTTTAATAGTGTAAAAATATGTAAGTGTTCGGTAAACAGGAAGTTGTTGAGTGATGAATCTGAAAATGCATCACACGGTATAGCTGACTTATATAAACCCTGAAACCAAATTTCAGAAATCCTTGTATTGTAGTTCCTGAGAAAAATGTGACGAAAATTTTCAACTTGGCTATCATGTGTAAAATGATACAAGCGTTAGGTAAACAGGAAGTTGTTGAGGGATGAATCTGAAAACGCATCACATGGTATAGCTGACTTATATAAACCCTGACACCAAATTTCAGAAATCCTTGTAATGTAGTTCCTGAGAAAGATGCGACGAAAAATATTCATTGGACGGAAGGACAGACTGAAGGACTGACGGATGGACAGGCGGACAGATGGACAGAGCTAAAAAAGTATAACCCCGCTTTCTTAAAGCGGGGGTATAATAATTAGTCTATTTCTTTCATGAAATATTCAACTTTTACAGAGTAATGCAATTAAATGAAGAAAATTATGATTTCATCATATTATTATGACTGTTTTTACAAGCACATAAAATTTTCTGTTTGATTCAATTTTCTTTCTTATGAACCTTCAAGTACCAAAATACATTTAAGGGGGAAATATCTCAGAAAATCTTATTTTATAAAGGAATGTATACTGTATTTACCTTTTTTGTTTTGTAACAAAAAATAAAGTTTCAAGACCCAAATTTCTTATTTATTTTCTGAAAGCACATTATAAAAGCTATTATCTCATAATTGATTTTAAAATTCTATTGCTTAGTGTTTATTCTTTTAAAACAAAAAATTTTTACTGGTATAATCATTAAAAATTTGAAAAATTGTGCACTACCTGTAGCTTGCAAAAAAGCTCATTGACCCCTTTTATTATATTTTTCACAATAGCACATTATAAAGAATATTTTGGCAAAATATTACAAGATTCAATCTTTGGGTTAATTTAGACCCCTCCCCCATCTTCCTTTATAATTAAATTACTACAAACACAGTACATACCTGTTATTGTCTCTGTTGAACTAAACCAAACTTGTCCTGCTTCAAAATTTGGACCATCAACTATAGTACCAGATACAGGTTTGGAAGGGTCATATAAAATTGGTGATGATTTCTCAATAATTGAAAGTCCTGCTTCATTTGTGACTTGTATTTGAACTGTATACGGAATGTTCATCTGAAAGAATAAATGTCAACTGATTACAATATCAGATATGGGTTTGGGATAGAAAAAAAATGCATTAAATTTGGTTGGAAAAAGAATAGGTTCTGCTATTTGGTCGTTTGGAATAGTTTACCTCAGTGTTTACCATAACTAGCCTGTCAACACTGATGTGGAATGTGCCTTCTATTTGATCTTAATTGTCTATGATTGCCAGTTTTCATACCTAAGGTCATGGTTCTCTCCTGCTACCTCCATCCATAAAAACTGGCCGCCATGATACAGCCATTTCACCGCAATTTCTTTTCTCAATTTTGTTACTTTATTGATGTATTCATAATACTAAATAAGAAAATGCCAGAACAGAATCAAATTGTGCCATTCATTTGGTCAGACAGTCAGAAAAGTATTTTTTTTCAGTAAGATTATATATATTGCTACATACTGTAAGATTTAAATTGACAAAGCTGTATTCTGTATAGTTGCTGGTCAGTTCTATCAAATTAACTACCAATATCTCTTCTGCACTGAAATAACATGAGGTGTTCTTCCATAATGAAACTTCATATGTTGCTAGACCCGACTCAGGATCACTGTAATTAGTCCATTGAACTCGAATAGTTGAATTGTCTGAGGTGTATGCCAAATCCTAATAATCAACAATACAGAATCAGGTTTTTTTTTCAAAATATATTTATAATATCAGCAGCCACATCAAGACTTTGTTTTTGTGACTACACCATAAGGCAGATGAACCTTTTATAGTATTAAAAGCAATATTTCAACACAGTTTTCTCAAAGGATTTAAATATTTTTCTCAAATGGATTTCTTATTTGTTGATTGTACTTTTACCTCTATTTGAAATTGTCTAATTAGTATAACTGTAATGAAAAATCAAAATTAATCTCAAACAAAATTTAAAACATTAATGTTCTGTGATACGTCAAATTTAAGTTTGTTTTAGCTACATAAAAAAAATTGCATTTAAAATAGTCAAATAAATAAATAAAAAAGTTATTGATCTGATAATGTTGAGAATACCGTGTTTGGCAACTTTACACTTCATTGTAAACTCTATGACTATCTGCTTTTTTAACAATTCTTTTTGTTCCTTATTGTGTTTGTCATATCAAACTTATTTACTTTAAGAGAAATTATATTTTAATTTACCATGTTATAAAATGGTCCAGCAGTCAAAGCACCATACAATGGAGGTGTTGTGTCAACTGTGAATTTGTGATTTATCATTCCACAGTCTCCCGATTCATCTGTTGCTGTAATGTAGAAAACAATGAATTCTATGATTGGCCATTGTCTATAACTATAAATAAGATTTGATTTAAAACTTCTTTCTTTTCTTTTTATAACTTTGAAACACAGAAAGCTGTAATGACCTATAACTGCTTAAATCCATGTCATTTGGATAGTTGTCTCATTGGCAATAATACCAACTCCTTATTTTAAACAACTTTAAAATGATGCAAATGAAATAAATAAGTAAACCTTACTATTAAGGAATTTTTCTGATTGGTCTAAATTGTGATCCTGTGTTGAAAATTGGAATGTTCACTTCGACAACTTCATAAAATCACCTACCAAGGGAGACAACCAAAAATGTCCTCCTTCAGTAAATTTATACTGGAAGTCATCAGCATTTGATTGAAAATTCATTGTCACTTGATTGGTTGTGGCTTTAAAACAACTTCTCATAATGCAGATATCTCATAGCTGCCATATATATGGTTGGTTCTCTTGATTTTCTTAATTTCTAGTCATGGTTTGTTCGGTTTAAATAAACAATTATAGCGAACTTCATTGATGAACATCCAGAACTATCAACTTGTGAGAACTGTTCCACTTGGCTTGTAAAAAAATATCTTACAAGTAGAAAATTTAGGGAATAATCGTATATAATTTTTAAACAAAATAAGGATTTGAAAAGGGCTGTAGCAATAGTATACTCTGGTTACTTTTTTTAATTTGCTTCGTTGGAGTGCTGTCTCAGGGACATATACTCACATCTCCCTTTATCTATATCTTACCTATAACCCAGGCATAGTAGGTTCCTCCAGGTTGTAAGTGCAATGATGTCAGACTGTAGAATGTATTCTTATTTATGTTAAGCAGTGGTACAACATTAAATGTATTTTTCTCATTGATATCACTTTTTTGTCCATCAATCTGAAACACATGACCAAAAAAAAAAGAAAGAAAGAAAAAAACCATGAAAGTTTTTAATAGCATTATAGTTGTTTGCACTAAAAATCACCAAAGACATCTGTCATTGAACTAGAAAAGATCTAAGTAAGGAATTAACACCAAACTACATCTATAAAAAACTTTAAAATAAAACAAAATTCTTTGGCTCTAAACGCTGTTAAAAATCTCTAAAAGATTACAACTATTGACTCTGAATTGTTAAAAGTTGAGGAAAATACACATTTGGATTGAAAAAAAAAATTATCTGACTAGGATTTAAATAATTCAAAAAGCAGTAAAAGCTCATCTTTAACATTAATGGTATGCCATTTCCCTTTCCACAACTTGAAAATAAAACATGACTTACATATTGTTTACAATCTGTTCCTACTGCTCCTGTGTTGTTCGATATTCCCACATAATACATCATTATTTCTAGCTTAGATGTAAAACCTTCAAACTGTATGTCTACATAGGTATCATTGTTGATGAAGTCTCCCATGATGATGGATCCACCTAGGGTAAGAGGAGAATAGTGTAAGAATACAAATTAAACAAATAATTATACTCTCACAACTCACTGAATTGTCAATTTTATAAGAAAGTTAAGTTATTTCTTACAATATTGTTGATTTAAGACATGAATTTCAACATGTGTTATGAACTTCTGGTGATATATAAAACACTAGAACAAAAACTGTAACAGATATATATGGTTTACAATGCAGCCTTCAACAATGGACAGACACCTAAACCTTATAACAAGCTGTAGGTAATTTCAATCATGACTTCTTTGACAACATAATTTGAAAATGACACTGGTTTTCTTTTCTATTTAGCAAAGCATAAAATTTCATAAATATGATCTTTCTGATGAAACATTAATATTTAAATTTGAATTGCTTGTTTTTCTTTATCTATAACAGCAACTACAGAAGTTTTTTTTCTATTGCATTAATCAAAGAAGTTTTGCTTGTTTTAGTTAATATTGATTTCTATCCCTATAGTTAATTCTGTCATTCTCAAAATGCACTTTCAAATGAAAAATCTTACCTTCAACACCACCATCATACCCAACATGGAAACCATTAGATGTAACGGTAGCAATAGAATACGATATGCTGTAGGCTTTCACAGTGAAATAATACATTGCCGTTCCTGATGCTAGGTTAAGATCATAAAACGTAACAGATTTGTTCAAACCAACATTGGTAAAAGGTACAATATTATTTCTGGTTATAGGAAATCTTCTATCTGTTCCAACAGCTACTTCGTAATACATTATTTCCTGAGCATTGGGTTGGTCTGCTGTTTTTGAGTCATTAGTTTGATATCCTGGATTGCCTATAATGAAAAGATAGGCAATTCATGTACCTTCACAAAATTCTACTCCTCATTTTAATATTTAATATTATCTTTGGTTACAAGTACCTGTCATAACGCTAATTTATTCTATAACAATGCACAAAAACTATTCATTGGAATACAAACGATAAGACAAGGATGGACTTAAAACAGATACCATTCGACATAACAGGAAAAACTAAACCATATGAACAAAGCTCTTTAACTGTTTTTTTCATCATGATAGTTCATTGTTTTTGTAGCTGTTTTAATGAGCTCCTTTGATGGTAATGGATGAATGTCTTGGAATAAAAATCTTTTTGTACAAAGGCAGATGGAAGGGTAGAATGTGAAGCGGAGAGTATAACCTGTAATATTTTGTATACAGATAATATTTTAACACAGACAATATAGGGTTATTCTTCTGATGATGCTTTGCTTGAAAACATTCCGAGTTTAAAATTCCTGAATTTTGATGTTTTACAGGTCAATTAACAAGGTCATTTATGGAAAGGGAAATTTTCGTATTTTCCCTTTCTTTGAACAGATCATGATGTATGTTGTAATGTACAAACAAAAAAGAAAGAATAGCAACTTTTAAAAGCAGATAAATAAAAACAATTTCAATGAAAATTTACGTTTTTTTGCAAAAGTATTGATAAGAAAAGTAGTGCTGTTTTATTGTCAAGGGGAATGAAATTTGTCCAATTCTGCTTTTATTTGTTTAGTATTTGGAATTATTCATAACTCTGCTTTCTCTCTCTCTTACAAAAGTTTATGATACTGAAATCAGCATACCTTCAACATCTGCCTGAAAATAAGCAGATGCTGGTAAACCAAAACCATCCCAGTTAGCTGATATTTTACGTCTAGAGGGTTGAACGTTCAAATCAAACCCAGGAATATATCCATCAAACACTCTGCCCGGAATTAGTGGATCTTCTTCAATAGTAACTCCATTGGATCTTATGATGTAAGTATAGTTTAATGCATTTGTCACTCGTAACAAAGAATAATATAATTCACCACCTCTAAGACTAAGTCCATCTAACATTGCATTTTCTGCAACTGAAAGAATAAAGCAATCATAAAAATTACTGTTTTATTCTAAAAATTTCACTCTGTTTTCTTACGTTTATATATATCTCCTTTTTTCATTGATCCTATATTCAAAGGCTTATCACCTATGTGAGACAATTTATACAGCAATTATAAACACTTCCTTTTTTTATTTTGATAACAAACCATGTTTAATATGTTCAAATTTTAGAATTTTTTCATGCTCAACTTTTGCTGTATCTTAAAGGTTAATTTTAAATATATTTGTATAGTTTGATAATGACATCTCATGATGATACCTTCACCAAAATCTTCATGCCACTGGATGATATTAATGCTTTAGAAATTTATTGGTAGTATTTATTAATTTAATCTTTTACTTTTAAAACCCATAACAAGAAATTCAATTTTTAAAATACAGTAAATATTAAATAAAGTGAACTTACCACCCATGTCAAGCCATTCAGAAACAACTTTTCCATCCAACTTTTTTATAAGCCATTCATTTCTTACTGATGGACATGGGTCACCTGACAAATCCCATGATGCTTCCAGTGTGTCATAACTTTCCTGAAAATCTCTATTCACAAAAAAAAAATAAATAAATTTGTACTTTGACTAAGTTTTGTGGTAATAAACATTGTGTAAAAGTTTCATAACATTTGGTTGTGGCAAACTGAAGTTAGAGAACAGAAAAAAAAAAAAAATAAATGTTTCCATTTGTAAAGGGGCATAACTATAAAACAGTAAAACTGACACCACGAAAATTCAAACTTGATCTGTGTTTTGTGGTGATAAGAATGTTGTATACGATTCATAACATTTTATTGAGGCAAATTTAAGTTATTGAATGGAAACGAAAAATCAGCAATGTTTCCATTTGTAAAGAGCCATAACTCTAGAAAGGTGTAAGTGACTCCACCCAAATTCAAACTTGATCTATAGTTTGTGGTAATAAGCATTGTGTATAAGATTCATAACATTTTGGTTGAGGCAAACAAAAGTTAGAGAACGGAAACAAATTTTGGGATGTACGGATAGATGGACGGTCCGACCGACCGACTTACAGACAGACGAGGGTAAAACTTGATTGAATGTATTGTATTTTCACAAACATCATTAAGAAAGTTTCAATTGAAATGACATGAAAATAATGTGCCTCTTAAAACTGCAATAACAAAAGAATTGAACTGTCAAATGGTTGAATTTATTTAAACCTTAAACAAAGCAATCAGACATCTAAAGCAATCCCTCTTTTCAAGAGTTTGGCCAAATGAATTAGAAAATAATTCTTTGCTCTTGTTGCACTTTTTGAGTAATACTACAAGCAGAAATACAAATTGAAAATTAACTAAGTGACCTAAGTGCGACTGTTTATGATAAATACATTAAAAGAAAGTATGATTTTCTATTTTTTTTAGAGGGGTCCAGCATTGGTGGTTGATGTGGTCAGTGCTGTATATATTTTGAAGGTTACTGTTATTTTTTATAGCAAAAAGTTTAAAACATTTGAGAGCATAAACCAGAATGGCCTAAAAAGAGCAGCCAAAACAGTCTTAGGTCAACTTTGCCTGTCAGAGTTGCCACCTTAGCTTCTGTGCAATTTAATGAACAACATAGAATTCTTACACATCATGATCAGAGTTGTCTAGTACATCATTGATGCCAATATGTGATAGTGGTTGTAGACCCTGACTTAGGTATGAGATATAAACACCATTGGAAGTGGCTACACTAGATAACCCAGCTCCATTTGTTCCTCTGATAGAGACATAAACCTACAATACAAGCAAATACTGCAAAAACTTTCAAATGTTTTCAAATTTTAATCTAAATTTTCTACCTTCTTGTAATTTCCATTTGTATATTTACTCATAGTTCTCAGTTACATGAAAGTATCTACATGAGTAATAATATTCTAAATGTTGTTTTTTTTTTTGAAAAAGTAATTTTTCTTATTTGGTTCATATAAGAAGTTCACATTATGCTGTTGGCACTTTATACAGTAACTGTTGCATTCAATTCAAGGCAGATCCCATTCAGTCATGGATATTTCAGTGACCCTATATTTCACCTCATTCATTTGGTAAATTTCTCATTCCTGGAGTAAAAAGATCATACCATAGTTTATTGCTTTTCCATTAAGCTGTTGATATATAGTGCTTTATATAAAAATAAGGAGATGTGGTATGATAGAAAATGAGACAACTATCCACCAAAGTTCAAATGAAGTGGATTTTTTTTATATTAGTTTCAATTGGGAGCAAGCTCCTGTAATTCTTGTAAATGAATAATAAAGCCAATGTTCAAAGACAGAGTGACCTACATAAGTAGACCAGCTATCTACAGATCACTTATTTTAGTGTTCACCTTTCTATATCCCATCAGACTAAGACCAGACACTGTGTAATATCTAGCATCTTGTGGAACATCAAAGAAAGCTTTAATCTGTGCACCACCTGGTGTTGTACCTACTGCTATCTGATACCTGTTAATATAAAACATAAAACTAGAGGCTCTCAAGAGCCTGTGTCGCTCACCTGTATCTACTGTGTTTTTGGAAATCATGTAAAATAAGGTAAAAATCATAATAAATAGTATTAGATATCCTAATAATGATTGAGGCCAAGTTTGGTTTAATTTAGTTTTCAAGTTGTGACCATTTGAAAATGTTTTTTTACAATTTTCCATAAGACTTCTATAGTAAACCCCAATGTTCTATTTTTAGCCATGGTGGCCATGTTGATTGGATGACAGGGTCATCGGATATATTTTTCAATCAAGATACCCTATTGAAAATTGTGGCTAAGTTTAATTCTATTTGGCCCATTAGATTAAGTGGAGAAGATTTTTGTAAAAGATTACAAAAATTTACAAAAAATTTACTCTATAAAGGGCAATCACTCCTTAAGGGGTCAATTGACAATTTTGGTTATATTGACTTATTTGTAGATCATACTTTGCTGAACATTATTGCTTTTTTACAGTTTATCTCTATCTATAATAATATTTAAGATAATAACCAAAAACTTCAAAATTTCCTTAAAATTACCAATTCAGGGGCAGCAACCCAACAAGGAGTTGTCTGATTCATCTGAAAATTTCAGGGCAGATAGATCTAAACCTCATGAACATTTTTTGCTCTTAATGCTTTAGTTTCAGAGATATAAGTCAAAAACTGCATTTTACCCCTATGTTCTATTTTTAGCCATGTCAGCCATGTTGGTTGGCAGGCAGGGTCATAGGACACATTTTTTAAACTAGATACCCTAATGATGATTGAGGCAAAGTTTGGTTAACTTTAGCCCCGTAGTTTCAGAGGAGAAGAGTTTTGTAAAAGATTACAAAAATTTACGAAAAATTGTTAAAAATTGACTATAAAGGGCAATAACTCCTTCAGGGGTAAATTGACAATTTTGGTCATGTTGACTTATTTGTAGATCTTACTTTGCTGAACATTATTGCTGTTTACAGTTTATTTCTATCTTTAATAATATTCAAGATAATAACCAAAAACTGCAAAATTTCCTTAAAATTAACAATTCAGGGGCAGCAACCCAACAACGGGTTGTCTGATTTGTCTGAAAATTTCAGGGCGGACAGATCTGAACCTGATAAACATTTTAACCCCAGTCAGATTTGCTCTTAATGCTTTAGTTTCAGAGATATAAGCCAAAAACTGCATTTTACCCCTCTGTTCTATTTTTAGCCATGTCAGCCATGTTGTCTGGCAGATGGGGTCATAGGACACATTTTTAAAACTAGATACCCTTATGATGATTGTGGCAAAGTTTGGTTAAATTTGGCCCTGTAGTTTCAGAGAAGATTTTTGTAAAAGTTAACGGACGACGACAACGAAGAGGGACGCCAAGTGATGAGAAAAGCTCACTTGGCCTATTGGGTTCTGAGTGTTCTGAGTATGACAAATAGAAATAAATGTACCCAAAGGCCAAATAGTTTCAGCTGAGATTTATAACAAACTTCCTTTCAGATTCAATCTTACATTTTCCCTGCTACCTCATGTATATCAAATAAAATACATACCCAGTAATTCCTGACTCATCATCAGTAAACAGCTGCCATGTGGCTGATACAGATGTGAGGGACTCTGAACATACAGCATCTAATGCATCACATTCTACAATTTATAAAAATATTGCACTGAAGGAGGTTGTTTAAATCTTTAATAGAAAAAACACATACCGGTAGATCAAATAATCTCAAATGTTTCTAAATGTAAGTTTTCCATATCTAACATTTAATATTACCCATTCATATCAAAAATGCATGTAATCAGTTGAAAATGCTTTGTTCGAGAATTTTTTATAATTTTCATAAAATTCATTAATCATCTTTAAAGGTGCAAGTGCTAAATTAAAGAACTTGCATTCCATCTATCTAAAACAAATTATCATTATTTTTTTCATTCTTCAGAAAGAGAAGTCTTAAAAATAAAAAATAATATATAGAAACTTCTCACCTTCATCTGTACTGCAGATTTTAGCATTCATTGCCACAGTTTCACTATTGTCATTGACATTGATTCTGTAGACTGTATGTAGGTCCACCACTTTACCATGTTTAGGTGGTGTTGTATCAATGGAGATGGATCCAGAAAAGGCATATGTTTCCATGTCAACTGAATTCGCTGCTGTAACTGTAGCATGGTATGATCTGCCATGATCTAATCTATAATTAACTCCTAAAAATATGTCAAAATAGAATGTTTTACCTCTACTTTAATGCAAAAGAAAGAAAAAAAAGTATGTTGCAAGTACACTAAAGCAATAACACCTGAAATGTTTGTATATAATTTGAATAGTTAAATTTATCATTGGGGCAAAATGCTAAAATAACTAACAAACATACCTTTAATGATATATGAAGATAAAAATCCGCTGAGAGTTGTTTCAAAAATATCTGATGATCCTTGTTCTGATCCAAGAGTGATCATGAATTTCTGTATAGGACTCTCTTCATCTAGAAATCCTGACCAGGAACACAATATTGGACTCTCCATCTAAAAATTGTCAGAAAACTATTGCACATGACAGTTAAACACTTTAGTCTTTATTCAATTCAAAACCGTTTAAATTTCTATACATTTACTGAAAGCACTGACCCCTCATTGATTTGCCCAAACTCAATAAAGAAATTTCATTATTCATTATGATGTATATTATAGGATGGCAAATCTTTGACAGTCTGTTAAATCCTTTCATAACTATTTCTAGAGCTTAACATATGATATGCCTATTTTCTAAGACCTTCAGTTGACCTTAAGTTCAGATGTTTGGTTTTTTGTTTTGTAATGTTGATGTCTCTTGGACATTTATCACATTTCATCATTTGAAAAAAAGAATCATGTTCCCAAATGTGTGCAATCACATGTAGATGAATAGAAAAATTACTATAATGATTTTTTATTTAAAAAATGTAAGATATCTTTGAAGCATGTGATGGTCATTATTCCTTTAAGGATGTTCGCTACTCTGTATTAAAATAACAAGCTTTTTAAAAAACTGTTATAAATTGATAGTATATAAACAAAGGAATTTAAAAAGCAGAAAAAAATTAAGGGTCCGTGTGCTTGTTTTCGAGATATAAGCCATTGAAAATTTGGCGGGATATAATTCTCTCTAGACTTTTCATACATTTAACATTGGCACTCTTTTTCTATTAAAAGTTATGAAAAAGTAACAAGGATTTTATAGGATTTTCAAATATGGCTTTTTAAACTATGTGTAATAAAATTATGAAAAGAAAAGTAGTGGTTAACGGGCAAAATTTTTTAAGGCATTCAAATGGATAAAATCAGAGGATTCCGAAAATCTGACAAAAATTCCAAAACATGACAAGCGAACATCCTTAAGTCAAATATATTGTAATAAATTTCTATGCACTACACAATTCTTTAAATATTCATGTTTTAATTAAATTGAAAATACAAATTTGAGGGTTCTTCTTAATTTTTTTCATACACTTTCAAAATGTATTTCTTTATAATTTACGCATAAAATATTAAGTAAGGGGATGTGTTATTATGGTGTATGACAATTTCCAAAAACTAACCCCAATGTATTCTGGACAAGATACATATCCAGTTCCTGGTTTACTGGTATCAATGATAATTGAACCAAACATAGTTTTACTAATCATGCCAGCATTGTCTTCTGCCCAGATACTGATTATATTAGGTTTGCCTACAATGAAAAAGCATACAAATTACTCTTATTGAAAGATTGATTCAACTCTTTCACCTGGAAGCAATGGGAACTTATATGTGGCATCATTGCTACTTTGTATATTACTCAATACAGGATAAGTCAATCAGGATGCTCCAACAAGCTGTCAAAGTTTTGAACAGCCAAAAGATACTCCAAACACACTGACAGAAAAACAAAAGTGATCAACCTGTATGTATAAGTGCAAGTATAACAAGACTAATACTGGGTCTTGGCTTTGTATTGCTGCATGCAACTCACTGAAGGGTAATAAAAGAAAAGTTTGACAAAAACTCTCATTGTTCAATGTGAATTGTAAAATTTGCAAACTATCAGCAAACAGGATGTGGCTGCATGTGTAGGATTTAATAATGCCCCCCTCCCCCCCCCCCCATGAAATGATGTCCACCCGACATTATTTCATAGTAAATACTGTCCATGGACAATATTTACTTATTTAAATGTGTTCCAGACACAATTTTCCTATGAAAAAATGTCCTTAGGTATGAAAAAGTGTCCAGTTGACATTATGTCCGCCAGGACATTTTTTGATATGATTAAAGTAATAAATAATAACCATTGCCATGTTATTACTGGACGTATTTTCACCTATAATTGCTAACTTTTAATACATTGTTACTTTTACAGATGGTTGTCTCATTGGCACTCATACCATCCTTATCTTCTTATTTATATTTTTTTAATATATATACTAGAAAAATGCTTGTTTATTGCCCCTTTTTTGGCCCCTAATTCCGAAAATTTGAGGCAATTACCCCCAAAATCAATCCCAGCATTCCCTTTGTGATATGGAACCTTGTGGTACAATGTCAGAGAGATCCATACACTAACACACAAGTTATGTCTGGAAGTTCCCCTAATTCCTTAACTGTTGGTACCATAACCCCCAAAATCAATCCCAACCTTCCTTTTGTGGTATTGAACCTTATGGTAAAATTTCATAGAGATCCATATATACTTAAACTAAAGTTAGAGTGTGAAAACCAATGTGTCTTTGGACGACGACGACGTCAACGTCATATCAATATACGACTGCAAAATATTTTTGCGTCGTATAAAAAGGGGTGTTTCGACCTCCGGAATCCCCTGTCGGAGTGTCCCCCTTGATCCGCCACTGACTAGAGTCTTAATGTGTACAAACCTGACGTCAAATTATGTACTATAGATAAAACAAAAAATATCACATTACATCCAAAAATCAATTACTGTTACTTCACATTACATTAATCCCCAAATTCAATTATATTACGATATCAATGGAAGAAGTTCCCGCGCAAATGTCATGTGGTAAACGGGATACACTAAAAAAGAATTTTAGGTGTACGTTAGCATTTGCATTCCGATCAATTTACACAGTTCAATAAAATATATATGTTCACTATATTTATATTGGAATTGAATTTAGATACTTTATCAGAGAAATGGTTTGTTTCTTGCAGACAACGCTAAATAATATACATTAACTCAACATTGAATCTGAACACCCCTAAAACAAAATGGTATATGCAATCGACCAAACAGATTTTCCTAATATTGATAAAGGTGAAATACGTAGAATAAGAATAGTGCACACTGAAATAAAATCAGAGATAAAGCCCTATGTAAAGTGAAAACCAAATAAAAAACATATATAAAATCATTGTTTATTAAATTTTCTTGCATAATAACCTTGAAGTTGTAACTAAAAACTATTACGTGTATCCTGTCAACCGGCCCTGAAAAAAATATTATACGGTCTCCTTGACTACTTCCGCGCGCCACGGACTTATAAAATGATATATTGTGATAGTGTATGTTAATAATGATTTAAAATCAAATAAGTTACAGATACAGTAAACACATATCATGTTTTCATTTTCTAAAGTTCATGTCAAACATTCAATAATTTAATTACAAACATTATCAAATCAATAGAAATATTCATACCTGTACGAACTGTGACGCCCGTATATGACACGGAAACCAGGCGTAAATCATACTTTATCCGGGCGTCATTGCAGTGTTTAAGGAATGCATGTCCAGGCGTCAACCAGGCGTAAACCAGGCGGAAACCAAGCGTAACTGAGGCGGAAACCAGGCGTAAAATTAGGCGTAATATTTAAATGAGTACGCTTGGTCCAGAGAAAACCAGGTGTAATATGCAAATGAGTACGCCTGGTCAATAAATAAACCAGGCGTAATATCCTTACATAATACTACACTTATTTCAAATCAGTGTACTACCCTAGCTGTGTTCTTTTGTGTATTTAATACAAACTTCTGTACTGTTGCTTTAATTTCTCATTGTTTGACATAAAACTGGAAATATTAACCATTGAAGAAGCTAATATATAAATAAATACATTTTAGACAGACACTGCCACTGGCTCAAATAAGTTTAAAGTTTAAATAAGAATTATGACAATTAATTTTTCTTGAAATAAAACTTAAGCATTTTAATTAACTAAGTTTTTTATAAATTAATGTCCTTTAAAATATAATGATAATACTGCAATTTAACTTCATGTAAAAGATTTTAATGTTATTATCCAAGGTTAAAGGTTTTGGGATTTTAAAATTACTGTTAAAACTTAAAACTTAATAACTAAGGTTATACTCACATAATTATTATTTACTATGTTTTACTTTCCATTTTTTCACAATTTTTATTAATCAATTTGATTCCATATTTCCAATTTCAAATTCTTTCAAAAAGCACAAAACAAGCTAATTATCCCTGAACATATGAAGCTGCCATAAGTCCAACTCTTGCAAACTAAAACCAAAGAGCCAAATTTTGAAAAAAATTCCCATGATCCTTTAAACAAAGCATTATGGGTATTATGATTTACGCCATACCAACAGTTTTACGCCCGTAAGAAAATTTACGCCTTGCTTATTTCAATTTACGCCAGGTTTACCACTTTTTTCTACGCCCGTAAGGACTACAAATTTACGTTTCCTGCTCCCTTACGCCTGGATCTAGACACGTAAGTACCACTTACGCCTGGTTTACGCCTTATTTCCAGGCGTAATACGCCTTATAATTTCATACGGGTAGAGACTGTTTTGCCTCCATTTAAATTTCTCTATATTCACTTTCATCCATTATTTGTTTGTTTATTTTAATCAATTTCTAATCAATCTTTCTTATTTGATAAAAAATTCAAGTATAATAAAACATTTTAATGACCTTTGTATTACTTCAATTGGAGGACACAATTTAATAACAATTTGTAGGATTTAATAATGTTCCCCATGAAATGATGTCCACTATTTCATAACATTTTGCTATAAAATGTCCATTATTTTATAACTTTTGCTGTAAAATTCTGTCCACTTAGGGAACAATATTTCATGGCAATAGACATTATCTAATACCTAAATTCTATGAAAAAATGTCCAGGTGGACACTTTTTCACAAGACACTATTACGTCTTACACATGGCAGATGTAATAATTGCTACACACTATGACTCAACATTTATATAAAGCTTTAGACCAAATATAAAATTATTCGCTTCCAAAGAAGCCAAGAAAAGATAAATGGAAATTTTCCGTGTACACAGTGTTGTAAAAATTCAAACAATCAGCAAAAAGAGTATGTGGAGGGACAATTCATCAACACTAGCTACTAGTACTAAACATGGATTCAACATGTGCATAAGTCTCACATTCATCAGTCCTATAAAGTCTTATAAGATTTGGACTTAGATATTTACAGCAAAACAATTTCTTACCTGAAATGTCAGGTTTGACAGAGCCAGCTTCTAAGTAACTGCTCAGTGTAGAAGATATATTCACTTTAGTTCTAGGTGATATGTCCTCGGCGTATGGATATGTCCCAACAGATAACCAGGCTCTTATTACTTCACTATCTGTGTCATTGTAGTGCCATATGGCAGACAGGGAGTCAGCTGTACTTTTATACATCGAAGAACTTGGTCCTATGTCACCATCAACTGCACTTTTATCTGACAGTCTAGATTGAAGAATAAACAAGATTTTTTTTTTTAATTTCTTCCTTAAATACTAATTTTATTTCTACAAAGTGTTGGTACAAAGATACAGAAATCTAAAAACTCTGAATATTTCCAAAATAAAGAGCATTGGTGTCAACATTGGATGTAATACTGTATTTTAATTGGTACCAATTTAATTGACTAAAAATAAATAATTTCATGGATAGTATATTCTGTATCTTTGACAAATTCTGCATAAATGTAATTTCATGGATAGTTTATTCTGTATCTTTGACAAATTTTGCATACAAGACTATAGAATATATCCTCATTTAAGGGCAATCCCCCTAAAAAGAGTGACAGTTTACTAACTATATCGGCAAAATTTGACTTGTTTGTAGATCTTACCTTGCTAATCGTTTTTGTGATTTAAATTGTCTTTTTATTTATTATAATTTTTAGCATACAAGGCAAAACGCCAAAAAAAAAAGAAGGTAAAAATTGTTATTTTAGGGCAATAACTCCAATAAGGAGTCGTCAGACAATTTCCTACATATTGTCTTAATTGTAGATCTTGTCTTGCTGATCGTACATTTTTGCCTACTTAAGTTTCTATCTATCTATTTTAATTTTTAAGATATACGGCAAAAACAAAAGGCCAATAACTCTAATAAGGAGTCGACTGATGATTTGACCATGAGACTTTTTTTTAGAACTTCGTCTTGCTGATCATTTTTGTATTTTAAAATTCCTCTCTATCTATTATAGTTTTCAAGATATTAGGCAAAAAAGAAAAAAAAAAAAATTGTCATTTAAGGGCAATAACTCCTATAAGAAGTTGTCTGACAGTTTTGACATATATAGACAATTGGTAGAGCTCAACATTCTGAACATTATTGTTCGTGTCGGTTTTTCTCTAATTATAACAGTTTAGTTTAGATGACAAGTGATGAGAAGGTGAGCTAAAAAGTGGTTGAACATAACGCTAAAAGAGTTTCTGTTTGTTAATCATATTTACCTATCTAAAATAATGTTTAGTGGTAGTACATCTACAGTTATTCCATCTGATACAGACTCAATAATATTTCCAGCATTAGTGATACCTCTGATGGTAGAATAATAAGTCTTTCCAGGTTCTAGCTGAGCATTTACTTGTGCATATCCAGAGCTTGAAATGCCTACAAATATACAATAGAGTAATTTGGATATCCAATTTAAGCTTCAAACAATTGATTATAATGTTCAAGTTGTTGAGGTATTAATATTGATAATGAATGGGGAAAATTTACTATGTTACATTAATTTTAGATAATGCAAAACTCCTAACACATTTAAGAAGTCTCAAATCATCTATTGGTGACTCAAGTTTTACATTTTTTCCAAAATTAAATTTGATGCAAGTATCAACTTCTTCTATATTAGCTATATATATAGGTCATTGAATCTTTTTTAATTGTGAAAGTCAAAATGTTATTTTATCAGATAAATTGTGTTCATATTTCCTGTAATGCTGCATGCTTGTGTACTATTTAAATTTTGTAATAATTTGAATAAGAAATATTTCATGGATAGTATTTCACAGTAAAATATTGTCATGGACAGAATTTCACAGTGAAATAATGTCATAATAGACAGTAAGTATTTCATAATGAAATATTGTCATGGACAGAATTTCACAGTGAAATAATGTCATAATAGACAGCATTTCATAATGAAATATTGTCATGGACATATAATTTCATACTTAAATTTTGTTCTGGACAGTATTTCATTATGAAATAGTGTCCGGGGACAATATTTATATGAAATTTTGTCCAACTGACAATATTTCATGGAGGACAATATTTTATGTTACAGTAGTTACCAGTAACCTTCTGTAAATCCCTCCTCTATCAGGAGAACCTTGAATTCTTCCAGTAGTTGTTTTATGTCTATGTTACACTATAGTACACTTTTTAACAAGTCTGCTTTCTTCCACCTCAATACCACTACTTTGGTAATTTACCCGTAGTAAAAAAATTAAATTGAGTTTATAGTAAGTTGATTGTAGTAAGAAAACTAGGACGGGTTCAAACAGAAAGATTTTGAAAGCAGAGAAAACAGTGCACCGTCCAATCAGCATGACTATCAGATGACAATAGGAATACAGCATAGATTCTTTAATTCAGTAACAGACCCGCAATGTCGCGGGTGTGTTCTATAATCTATTAAAAAATTCATAAAGAAGGTACTTTTCCAAGTTCAAGATTATCATAAGTTTTTTCTAGTTTTTTCATTAGCCATATTTCTTTAAATTCTATTTATTGCAAATAGTATCCTACCATCTCCAGCAATAGTTTGCTCTTCAACATGTAAAATTCCATCAGATGAAAATGTGGTGACATCTTGTCCACCTGGAGTTGTTCCTACAGCCCATTCATAGTCCATGACACCATGGAGATGGCTCTCAAAGCCTGTGTACTGTACGCTGAGGGTAGAAATGTCAGACTGGTAATCCATGTCAACACCAATGTCAAATACAGGATCATGGTCTGTTCCATCTGTACCGTCAATAACTATGCCTACAAAACAAAGTAAAGGGCAAACTCTGTACACTACACTGAGGGTGGAAATATCTAACTGATAATCAAAGTTAACTCCGATGTCAGATACAGGATCATGGTCTGTTCCATCTGTACTGTCAATAACAAAACAAAGTAAGTATGTACCCTCGAAATATGTTTGATACACAGCTGACATTTTATAGTTTGTTTTTTTTTGTTTAACACAAACTTTTTTAGCATCTTCGCTATATCTTGGTGGCCAGTTTTTACTGGTAGAGGAAGCTGGAGTGCCTAGAGAAAACCAAAAACCTTCAGCAGGAAAACTGGCAATCCTTTTCAATTAAGATAGACATCAAACACACCTCACCACCAGCAGAAAAAAAAAGAGCTGAAAGCTAGTAATAACTGTAGATGAACTACTTAGACCACTATGCCACGGAGGCCCTGACATTTTACAGAAAAATCTGAATGTTTTAGAAAGGTAATAATGAGGCAGGTATCATACAATCTAAAATTTGCTGGAATCAGAAACTATCAATGACAATGTTCCTGACTGAGACATGTTCATGAACATGTTTTGAAATAAGCTAGTTTCATGATATATCTACCTTTCCCTTGTTAAATTTTTTTTTTTTTTTTTTTTTTTTTTTATCTAAAATCTGATTTATTGCACTATTGCTGTTATAATGAATACCATGTCTACAGCATTTGACAGGGCACCCCTGTAGGATTAGTTTTACTAAACAAACAGGGAGATTGCTCAGTACATTAATAATAATAAATTGTTAGATTTACATTCTATGTATCAATACAACAGATTACTTCAGAAATTAATTTCCGGAAAAATTACAATCGTGGACCGCTTTGACTCTGTATATGTTAGTTGACCTGGTCATGACCTGTTGATCAACGATCATACGATGGAGGCAAGCTAACTGGCGAAGCTGCTTGTACTTATTATTAATTATGTAGGTATACATACTTGGCTGCGAATTGATGTGTTTATATCAGTTTAGTTATTTGTGAATATGTGATTTAAATAAAAGTAAGGATGCTTTTAGGATGATTGGGGTTTAATGTTTTATCACTGATCATGATCATGACGAAGTCCACAACACGTGGTCTAAAGATTAAATAATGGTGAGACACATGTATTGCTGAATAAATATAGCATATAACATATATTCATAAAATAATAATTATATGTACAAGCTTATTTCTTTCAAAATGTTACCATGTTTAACTCCTGTTAGTGTCGAAATATTTTAATAGTTCAAAAAATCTTTTTTGAACATGGCATATACATCAAGATTTGTAGTTTTATAATTTGAAATGTGAGTACACTTGTGGATGGAAAATGTAATGAGTGTTACCAAAAGATTTATGTCATAATAATTGATGTCACAGATTTTATATCCTACTATGAGATTTCTGTAGTTTAGGATATGATGACCAATTTAACCATATTAAGCAAAGATACTACTGATGGAGGTCTTAAGATGACAGATATAGACAATTATATAACTGCACTACAAATAGCATGGATTAAAAGACTAACTGCAGATAATTTTGCTAACTGGAAAGTGATTCCGACATTTTACTTTAATAAATTTGGTGCTAATTTCATGTTACTTTACATGAATCCAGATAACATTTACTCCATACAAAACCTACATAAAACTTTACCAAAATTCTACTTAGAAATTGTAAAATCCTGGTTCAAAGTACAAAATTTAAATAACACCAAACTCACGATGAATTTTAAAAACATTAGACAACAAATCTTATGGGGAAATAAAATGATAAAGTTTCAAGGAAAGTGTTTAGTTTTTATAAAATGGATAAAAGAAGGTATTATGTATGTTAATGATATTATTGACCAGAATGGTAACATCTCTCAAGATATAATATCTAATAAAATACCCTCAAAATCCAATTTAATGTTTGAAATTTCAAAAATTAAATATGCTATACCAAATGAATGGCTCAAGACACTTAAATCAGATCAATCAATAAAATCAAAAGTAAAAAATAAACTTAACCTTTGTATTAAGACAAAAGAAAAAAATAAGATAACAAATTTACAAGCAATGGAAACAAAACAGATATACACACACATTAATAGTAGAAATGAAGACATACCTCTAGGTTTCTTAAAATGGAAACGTGTACTAAATTTAGATTCTTTAATCCCAATTAAATCAATGCTAAATTTTGTATTTACTTATTTAAAAGATAACAGATTAAAACTATTTAAATGGAAATTGTTGCATCATATCCTTCCTTGTAAACAACTGCTCTTTCAATGGAAGATAAAAGAAGACAGTAAATGTGACTTATGTAATGAAACAGAAGATTATAAACATTTTTTTCTGGAATGTCAATACTTTGAAGCTTTTTGGGAAAAGATCAAAATACTATTAAATAAAGTTAAAATTGGTCATCATATCCTAAACTACAGAATTGTTAAATTTTTATCAGCAAAATTTGTAATGGTAATTATCATTTGAGTGAACATGACACAATACTAAATCTGGTGAAATTAAAATTGTTCACTTACAGGATTTTAAAACTGCCTTTGGAAATTATCCAACTCAATATTGTATAATATGATTGTTTTTGTATTATTGCAGTGCAGGGTCACACTCTCAGTTAATAAGATTTACTATAATATAAATATCAAACATTATTTTGTCATCCATTAATACCTGGTCTATCCGATTCAACTACCACTATAGGTGAAGACACCACTGGTGAACTCTCCAGGCCTGCTCCATTTATTGCCACTAAACTGACATAATATACTGGGGTCTTGGTGTCAATATCACTTACTACTAGTGACAATCCATCTATATATGTATCTTTCTTTAATCCTATATCTGTCCATGACTTCACTTCAATTCCACCTTATAACAAGAAATTATATACATAGATTTAATAATAAACCAACATTTTGAGGTTGAATAAAATAAAAATAACAAGTGAATCTGTGGGCTACTGCTCACTAATGATACCCCTGCCCCGCTAAAAGTATAAGGTAAACAAGAAGTTGTTGAGTGATGAATCTGAAAACACATCACACGGTATAGCTGACTTATATAAACCCTGATACCAAATTTCAGAAATCCTTGTAATGTAGTTCCTGAGAAAGATGCGACGAAATATATTTATGGGACGTTCGGACTGACGGATGGACTGATGAATGGATGGACGGACAGACAGATCGAGATAAAACAGTATACATTTTTAAAGCGGGGGTATAAAAATAAAAATGTATACATGCATTGCAGTAGTATTTATAAAGTATAACACTACTTAATGCAAACTCTTTTACTTTCTGAAAATCAGCTGTTACTGCATTCAAGGTTTTGAGTTGTCTAAATAAGAGTCAATATTCATTTGGTAAAAAATTCTAACGTTTAAGTGAACAAACTCACAAGTATAATCTTTTGATAATAGCCTAGAAACACTACACATTTGAGCAGCAAATATACAATAGTTTTATAAATTACCTGGTGTTGTTCCAACAGCTATTTTGAAACTGATAATTCCTGACTGATGATCTAAAGCTTGCCATGTCGCCTTTATACCACTTGTATCAGCTTGCCACACATAGTCATCTACAATTTCTTCTTCATCATCAGACAAAGTGTTCACATGAAGCCAGTTAACCTGTTAATAAAATTTCTACAAGTTTACAAGAAGTCAAGAAATAGATCAACCATTATCAGATAATATACCAAAAGAAATAGCTTAAAAATGTATACTTTTCATATGGTTTTTTAATGGTGATTGATTCATTGATTAGTGTTTAACGCCACTTTTAGAACTATTGGCTGTTACCTGGTGGTCAATTTTCATTGATCCAGGAAGCCAGAGTGCCAGGAGAGAACCATGACCTTCAGCAGGAAAACTGACAATCCTTGTTGGAGTTGAGTGCACTTACCACATGTTGGATTAGAACTCATAACCTCAGTGTTGACAGGGTAGTAAAACAGTAGTTGAAGTAATAAAACCCAGGCCATCCAGGCCTATCTTTTTTTTAAAAAGTGAATTAATTATGCAGAAATTTACAAGTTCTCCGCCCCATTGTTTCTGTGGGATAAAGAATCAGTTATTTGGTTATTTCACCTCAACAGAAATTAAATTCAGTTAGTTTTTACAAGTGTTTCACTTCCCTGTTTTTGAACAATGAAGTCAAGAAAATAAATAGTACTTAATTTTTCTCAAAAAAAAAGAAGAAAAAAACACCTGCTAGAAATGGCACAGAAATCAGTAGTTAAAAGCCTAATTTTTTATATCAATAATGTCATATCCCATTAAATGCACTCGTGGCAACAGTGTAAACTTTTTTAAATAAAAAAAAATAAATAAGCCCTTATCCAATAATTTTATTTTTAAATCTGAATTCCTTACAATTGGAGGAGTTCTGTCTATTTTTACACCATTTGTTTCAAAAGCTGCCACAAATCCGGCTCTATTGACAGCTCCTATTCTTATACTGTATATTGCACCTTGTAGTAAATCTAGACTGGAGTCAGTGAATTCATGTATGGTCTCATCATCAAGCTGTATCCAATCGTTTCGAGTTGCTAAATATTAAAAGTAAACATGTGTCTTTGTTTAAAATGTGTGAATTGCTATCTTATTGGTGTTCATTCAAGTATTATTTAAATAAATGAGCCAGAATTTGAAAACAACCTTGCATAATTCACATGTTTAAATATAATTTTAAAGGTAAAACATGCAAATCGATTTAAATTGCATTTTAGTGTTTATTTCCAGTGCAACACATGAAGCAGGATCTGCTTACACTTCCAGAGCAAATGATATCTACCCTGCAGTTTGGTGGGGTTTGTTAAGCTCAGTCTTTAGTTTTCTGTATAGTGTTTTGTAAACTTGTTTGTCTTCATTGTTTTGGGGGATTTTTTTTCGCATCAGGTTATCAGTTTGTCCTCGACTTATGAGTTTTAAATGTGCCCTTGGTATCTTCAACTTTTTTTTAACAATGTTTGAGATACAAGTTTTCATCTTATACAAGTTTAGACAGTATGAGAGTATTTATTTGTGACAGTCATCTTCAACTTAAATTTTTGGATCTTCTGCAACTACATATTGGTATGTAAATGCATAACTTGTATTGAAATAATAAAAAGTAAAAATCACAATTTACCTGGAACAATTTGAGATCTAATACTTTGATGTTGTCTGTAAATCTGTATTTGGAAATGGTCTAAACCAGACTCTTCATCAATAAACATGAAATTACATGAAAGACCTTTGGCATCTGACTGTATAAATATAAAGAAAAAATTCTTGTTACAAATTACTATTTCACTATCCAATTATTATAACAATATGGACACTTAACTTTATGTATACACAGCAGATGCAGGTGCCATTTGCATACTGAAATTGTCTGAAAAATCAGAAGTCAGTAAAATGGTCCTTTATGGAGTAACAATTTCTGTTGCTTAACCACTATAGTTTATTAAATGTACATAGTGCAGTATTCTATAAGTGTCAACACATATTATGTCCAGCATTGAATTTTCAGTGGCTTTTCACACAATTAAGTAGTATTAATGTTCAGATGAGTATCAAGAGTCTGAATTTTCAGAATCTAGGTTTTAAAAGTTAACAATAAATAGCAGATGAAGAACAAACAAGATTTATTAGACAACTATTGCAGAATAATAAGAAAAAAGAAAATATTGCCACTTTATTTTACTTCTCATACTTCATGTTGAAATAAAGAACAATCTGACCTGGAATTCTAGATCTTTATGTTGTACAAATCCGTCTCCTAGATGCAATAGCTTTGGTGGTGTAATATCTACAACATAGCCATCAGTCGAGGTGATTATAGAGTTGTGAGCTCCATTTGTAGTACGAAGGTCAATTCTTACTTTATCTTTATGTTGAAATTGAAAATTCAACCATTTTACACTGTCTGTTGTGTTAGAAAATGGCACAAAATTTCTTATGATATTGTAGTTGTCTGTTAAATTTCTGAAAAAAATAAATACAAGTGAATACTTTGTAAATGATAAACAAGAGTGCACACGCTGAAATATCTCGCCTGTTTTACTGACCATTGATTTTATGTTGAAAGTCTTAAAGATAAAGGTTCTACTACAAGTATCACATAAACTTAACATTCTTAAAGATCCATGACAATTAATGATGTCAAGGTCAGATAAAAACTGTCACACAGACATGTACACCTTACAATTATTCCATACACCAAATATAGTTGACCCATTACTTATAGTAATCGAAAAAACAGACAAAAATACAAAACTTTAATGTTAACCAATGAACCATGGAAATGAGGTCAAGGTCAGAGGACACCAGCTAGACAGACATGTACACCTTACAATCATTCCATACACCAAATATAGTTGACCTATTGCTTACAGTACTTGAACAACAGACCAAAACACACAAAATTAACAATGACCAATGAACCATGAAAATGAGGTCAAGGTCAGATGAAACCTGCCAGTCTGACATGTACCCCTTACAATCATTCCATACACCACATATAGTTGACCTGCTGCTTGTAGTATCTGAGAAACAGACTTAATCACGTAACTTTAACCTTGATCACTGATCCATGAATTGAGATCAAGGTCAGGTTAACACTGTCTGACTGACATGTAGACGTTGCAAGGAACCCATATACCAAATATAGTTATCCTACTCATAATAAGTGAGAAATTCACATGACAAAAAAACTGTAATTTTTTTTCAAGCAGTCACTGAACCATGAAAATGAGGTCCAAGACAATAGGCATATGACAGACGGACTTCACAACAATAAGGTATCTGCATACAACGTATGAAGCATACAGGTCTTCCACCTTCTGAAATATAAAGCTTTATACAAATAATTTACGCCGCCGCCGGATAGTAATACCTATGCGAGACAAAAACATATTTCTTAAAGAAATGCTTTCAACACAATAACTTTTGCCTTTCAGAATATGTATTGGCTGAACACTTTTTCTAAATTGCAGTTTAAGAATAAGTCATGCAAACTAAGCAACAGGTGAAAATGGAAAAGGTTCACTTTAAGTTCAAATTGTCCCTAAGGTTTTTATGATTTTTTAATCTGGCCAAAAATACTACAAATTTTGCGTAGTTGTAATATAACTAGACTAGTACTATAAAAAATTATTTAATCCATATTACATTATAAATTGCAAAGTTGCAACCCCTTAATTATGCATTATTTATGTTGGAACATCAGACCAATTTTCTATAATTTATAACACATTTTTTTGCATAGACAACTCTGGCAAAAACCCCTGATCCAGAAAATTTTGTCTAGGGATTCAATATAAACATTTTGGAAACAGAAAATTTTGGACAGTAGGTGGCAGCCAAAGTTTTTCTAAAGCTTTGAGATTAAAATATTGCACAAAATCATCAGGTTTAAGCATTTTATTTTGGTCAAAAATCTGCTAGCCTTGGACATTATAACATACTCTTATGAAGAGATTAATTTAATTAGCACTAAGGCTTTCGGGTTTTGAAATAGACCCATTTCAGAACCAGACTGTAGCCTTTATTCACATTTGATGATGAACTTATTCATGGTTAATTTTTGACGAAAGTGAACAAGGTCCTTTCAACTCATTGCTTTATATAAAATGCTGTCAGTGATATAATGATGTTCCTACTAAAAATTGTTGTGATGATTGACTTTCTGATTCATATCAAAAGTGATGTGCACACAGAAATCATGTCATATATTTTTACTACAACTGGGTCAGTTCACATGCCTGTTAACTCACAAACTCAAAGAGTATAATTGCTTAGGGACTTTTCGTTTAGAATTTTCCTTGGAGTTCAGTATTTTTGTTATTTTACCTTTTCTCCCACAAACAAAAGAAATAAAACCAGTTTAAAATACAGAAAAACAGATAAAATAATTTATCAATGTTCATAGTAAAAAAATACAACAATTCTTTTAATATTTAACCTTGATGATTTTCCATGTCCTATAAAAAAAAATGAAATAAACATACAGTGCTACTTGAACTTGCACATCATACTGTCTAATAGTTGATTCAGGATCATAATAATCTCTCCATTGAACCTCCACTTTAGCTGCATTACCAGAGAACTGGATATCTTCAAAATCTGTCTTGTTTCCATCAATAACATGACCAGAAACTGGCTCTGTTAAATCTACAGTCACTGTAAAATCGATCAGACATGAATTTGCAATGAATACAAGATTCATACAATGATGTCTAAGTTGATAAAACAGCAATCTGTTCAAGTACCAATACAGCAATGTTTTGACAGGTCAGTGATAATGAAATCAGTTTTGAGGTAAAAGAAAAAAAAAAAAAAAAAAGGGCACTTGTCTGATGCACAAAAACTATGAATTCAGATACCAAATATAGTTGCCCAATTGATGAACTGTTTCTAACAAATATACCTAACTACTAACCAGGGCTTCCAAAATTATAGCCAGCCGGACATTTTATATATTATCCCGATTTTAATCCCTTTAGACTAAATAAACAAAAGGCAATTATGGTAATCAGATGCCGAGTTGGCCATTGACATTAAAAAAAAAAACGATATTAAACTTTCTTTGATTCAAATTCGAAGTTCTGATGTATACTGTTAAATTGGCAGTGCATCATTCGAAATGTGCAACATCAGCGTACTTATATCTGCCGTAGACTCTTTATTTGTGCAAAATAACGTTGTCAAAAACTTTACTTTCATTTTTAAATCTAATACCGGATGTTATCTTGACAATGGTAAAACATGGACCATGGATGTAAATTCCGTGTACATTTGCAAAGCATGAATGAGTGTAAGTAGCTCTTTCTACGTTATTTCTTCAAGAAAATATTCGAAACTAATGTGAGATAAAGGTATCAATGACAATTTAGCATTTTTTGAAGAAATTAGGGTGCATAATTAAATTTCACACCTGCGCACATGCGCACACGTGTACTAGTTCAAACAGAGACATGTCTCTGGTTCAAACAACATGGTTATGACGATTTTTCATTTTCGTCTTTTTAATTTTTCCATCAAATCATATTTGTAAATGATTTCTGATAATTTAAATCTTTTTTACTAAATTAATTAGATGCAAACTGCTGAAATGTAAGAAAATAACTTTGAATAGACCAATCAATGTCCGGTTCAAAATAGTTTACCTGTCACCTGAACAGGTAAATTTCAGCTGTTTGACAACTAATTAGCCTTGATTAAAATGAGAAGGTATTAAAGAAGGGGTTGTTTTGATAGTACTTAATGATCATGTCACTTTTATGACCGGAAATGTGTGGCTGTTAAAGGCAAAAGGTTGGGTCAAAAAGATCGCTAATTATGTTAAAATGACCGTCTTTTAAAGCCTTGAAAACTAAAAAGTAGATGACCGTTTCATGCTTTGTCCAGCCGGACTTTTACCGGACATTATACAAATGTCCGGAATATATGACCGTTTTGGAAGCCCTGCTACTAACTAAATTGAAATACCACCTCTATGTCTCCTACATCTTTTTAAGGTTTGTTAAGAGTTTTCTCCAGGCATGAATCTTTAGATATTTGTCAGGTAAGCTCAAAATAAATGTACTAAAGATACATATTGAGTGCAATTAAATAATTATTATGTTTCTTGCAGTTCTGTATAATTTTTCGCAATAAAAAAATGATACTTGTTCCAACTTAGTAGATATATAATAAATATGCACCATTTAGAAAAAGAGTCAATATATTTTTACATTTTGCGGTTACCTCCATTTGAAATAGCGGACACATTTTTCTGATTAATAGCACCATTAAATGCCCACACTGTGGTGAAGTAAGTATGTCCATGTTCTAGATAATTTTCAGGAGTTAGCTCTACACAAGCTTCATGTGTTGTCCTGCTGTACTCTGTCAAGTTAGCAATGTCTGTTACATTTATCTGTTTGACAGAACTAACACTGACCAAATACAATCCAATACCAGACTCTGGGTCATAGAAATGTAACCAATTGGCACATATCTGAAACATAAATAAACAATTTATATGTATGGTGGGTTTTATTTTGCAAATGCGTCTTCACTTAAAAAAAAAAAAATCATCTATACCACAATCAAATAAATAATAAATACATAATAGTGAAACATAATAAAAGAATATACAAGCGAAACAAAGAATGTTCTTGTAGTGTATATTCAAGAGGAATCCTTTTTTTAAATTCATAAAACCAAAAAAAAATTTCACACTTTTAATTACCTCATATGTTGTAATTACCCCCACCCCATTAGTACATAGTTGCCAACGCTTTTCAACGGTTTACACACGAGGATTTTGTCACATGGAGTGTACACGCTTTCGCCACTTTACACCCAATTACACGCTTTTTCGTTCTTTTGATTTTTTGGTCGTTAGTGATATCGCGATTCTCCGGTTTTTTTATTATTAGACAAAAAATACCGAAAATTTCGAAGTAATTGTATCGTCGCCATTGTTTATTTTTCTGTATAGACGAACAGCAAAAGCCCTTAAAGTAAATAGTTTGAGATTAGTTTTTACAATTTTGTGACTTTCTTTCTTTCAAATTTACTTTAAGGAATTGTCAATGATTGATTGATTGATTGTTGGTTGCTTAACGTCCAGTGGCAAATATTTCATGCATGTTCAGGACGAGAACAAGTTAACAATAAATACAATAGGTAGGTCCTGAAATAGAGGCCGTCCGGGATGAAGGTCGGGGAAATTTTGACTGCCACGGGAAAATTAGGGTATATTGGATAAGGACAGAAATTTAGTCTTGCAACAGGCCACCTACAGACCCCTCAAAGAGTTGTTGCAATGGTTCTTAACGTGCAAAGAGCATGGCACTCTCTTTACAAGAGGCATCGGATTTAACGTCTCCATTCTGACCGGACGTGACTGCGAACTTGTACATCCCCCACAGCCAAACGGACGCCCCACTTTAGCGAGGGTTTTACCGCCGGTCGGAGGAAGACCAATGGTGACCATATTTCTATTCCCCAGTCACCCTTGGGGGTGGGAAATGTCGACAGAAATAGTTTGCTTTCAGGACCTGTACCGTCGTCTAAAGAGCCGATTGCTAAGCGAAAACGATGTGTACGTACCAAGATAAATTTCAAGATTTACAAATTATATTTGGGAGTTCAAGTTTAAATTATCGAGAGACAAGTAACGCATTGTGCACCCTATGTTCAATCATAACAATACAGAGGAGAACTACAATGTAGCGATTTGATTAAGCATTTAACGTGCTAATGGTAATCAAATAATAAAATACTTTTCTTTTTCAGTTTCAAATCTAGCCAACAGATTCCCACAGGCCAAAGGGGATTGAAATATCAAGGAACTGTTGGATCAGTTCTCAAAGTACCAGCTGTCTTCTGATGAACTACCCAGTTTTGACCAGACAATAGCCTCAGAGACAATAGCAACATATATAGTTCGTTGGGAGCAATGGCAAAGATAATACATGAAGATGACATTTTAGATGGCAAAAAAACGTTATGACACTTGATCAAGCTATTTAAGTTCAGCCAAATATCAATTCTGACTGTGAGAGAACATTTTCAATTATAAAGAAATCTACACTGAATTCAGATCAGAACTCGACAATGATATATTGTGTGACTTGTTATCAAGTAAATGTAATCAAACTGGCAGTTTTTTGAATATGTGCCTAAGCCTAGGGTGTTGCTTTAAAAGCAGCAAAACAGACCACTGTTGAATACAATAAAAGTTTACTCTAGAATATTGTTTTTATTATATATTAACAAATTTGTATAATAATGATAATGTGAAATTATGAATATTGTTCATATAAAAAAGTCGTTTTCACACGCTTTTTGACATTTCATGTCATGTCATGACATGATTTCTCATTGTCAGAGGTTGGCAAGTATGCATTAGTACTGTATAAATTCCATTCACTTACTCTATCTGAATACTTTGTGTATAATAAGTCTTCACCATGAAAAGGTCCATCCATCACAGCTCCAGCATAGGGCGCAGTTTTGTCCACAATAATTGCTGAATCAGCAACAACAATTGTACGCAAGTCAACTGTAACAATAATTATTTTTTCTGTAAAAGCTAATATTTATAATGGTATAACAATATACTAAGAATTTCAACAATATATTCAAGTTTTTGAGACAATTTAGTTGAACACAACATGCACAAGCAGCACGATTAGCATGCATTATATCTTGTGTTTCATTACAATAGTTTCAGGTGACAGTTTTTTTTTCAAGTAAATTAATCTTATAAGCTTATTTTCTAGTGTTCTTTCATCTTTATTACAAAATTATTTCCAGTTTTCTTTTTGCAATTTTGGAATTATTTGTGACATATGAAAACTGGCTTTGATCTTAAAAAGAAATTTTTGAAAATTATACCTTTTTATGAAAATATATTTTAAACAATTGAAACTGCGAGCTACTGCTCACTGATGATACCCCCAGCCCAAATACTTGACGGTAAACAGGAAGTTGTTAAGAGATGAATCTGAAAATGCATTCACACAGTATAGCTGACTTATATAACCTCTGAAACCAAATTTCAGAAATACTTGTAATGCAGTTCCTGAGAAAGATGCAACAAATATTCATGGGACAGACGGACGAGCTGAAGGATGGATGGACAGACAGAGGTTAAACGGTATACTTCCCCTTTTTTAAAGCGGGAGTATAATTATAATTTTTTTCATTAATTATTACTTTGAAGGGGAAAACGTAATTATTATATTAATAACTTACCTTTATTGATTGCTCTGATTTTAATCCAGATTGGTACACCATCAGTTAGAATTTTAACAAGTGTAATATATGGATCAAATGAAAGTCTGGTCCATCTCATCTCAATACAATCTCTCCTTGTTCTCCCTAAACATACATCATTGTAGGCCAATCCTGAATGTGGATCACTTAAATAAGAATAAACATGTAAAAATGAGACAAAAAAAAAAAAAAAATGAAATAAGGAAGATGAAGATCCTTGGTTAAAATAAGTCCATATGTGCCCTGCTTGATAAAGAGACCTATGCTATGATGAAATTCAATATTAAGGCATTTCTAGGATTGATTTATATTAGCTAATTTTCAGTACAAATTATATTTAACTCCATAACTTAAATGGTTTGTAAAGTGAAAGCTCTACCATGGAAACAAGCATAACAAACCACAGAAAAAAAAGATCAAAGACAAGATGAGATTGTAAAAAATATTAGGCAATGATGTCACTTAACAATTTAAGAATGTCACATTTTGCATGACCATCCAAGCTACTTCAGGGCTATTCCATTAAAATGTATGTGGGAGGGTAGGAAGGGAAGTTTAATTATTGAATGTGGGTCATGGGTCTTTTTTCAGCATGTATCTATTACCATTATGCAAATTTTTAAATTATCTAAAAAATGATTCTTGGTTGTAGGGATATTTTGAAAGTTCCTTCCTACCCTCCCACATACATTTTAATGGAATAGCCCTCATCCATGAAAAGTGTAAAAAGAGTTTTCATAACTATAAATGTACTTATAGTTCTTAATGTACTTCATTTTATTTCATATTTTACATTTTATTTCATAATTGCACCCAAAAAATACATATTGATAAGACAATTAAATTGCCAATAAAAAGAATAAAAACATTTTATTTTTTTGATAAAATCTTCATCACTCTCCCCAATTTGCTTGATATTCTTGCTGCTAAAGTCATTATAAAAAAACAAAAAATTCCATCATTCTATGTGTATTGGGTAAACTTAGTTCACAAGTAACTGCAATGATTAAGTAGTTCAAATTTGAACTATTTGTTAGTTTATTTCAAATTGTTTTCCTAATTGATCTTGAAAAATACTCACTATAAACAAATGTCATCCTTTAACTCTGCGTACTGAATATCACAATGATTAGAAAATCAAAATGATTACAGTTTTAAAATATCTTTGAATGAAGAATAAGGATTATTCAACCAATTATCATAAATCATGATCTGTCTATAGATTTCCTCTTGAAAACACATGCAAGTAAAATTCAGAATTGTTTTCTAATGGGACATACCATTCCTGACCAGCTATACCTAACCTAAAATGAACTGAACTGTTATGGATTGAACCATTCCAAGGCAGATCTACTATAACATTGAACATATTTTAATGGGACATACCATTCCTGGCCTGCTATACCCAACTCAAAATGAACTGTACTTTTCTACAATAAACCATTCTGAAATAGGTCCATTTTAACATGAAATGGATTTTTATTTCCTTATCTTTAAAATATATCTCGTGTAAAAATTTGTTTAAATCGATAATTAATTTATTCCACTGCAAGTTTAACAAATTCTCAAAAGTCTATTAAAACTAAATACCCATAAGGAAAACATCATGGACTTATTGAATTTCTAACTTTAAACTTTAATTTTAATTTTTAAAATCAAATTGTATAGCAATACTGATTAGGTAAATGATTGAAATGATAAAGAATTCAGAAATAAATTAGGGTCCAAAAAAGAAGCCAGAAAAACAAAGTTTTCTAGTACTTGTTGACATCCCTAGAGAAAAAACCTATAAAGCCTAAACTGTGATTTTAATGTAGATCTTGCCTTTCTGATAATTTTTGCCGTTACAAATTCTCTCTTTTAAAAGTTTAAAAGTAATAACAAAAAATGTTAAAAAAAGGTATGAATAGTCGTTATAGAAAAAAAGGTTTATGACTACAACACACTCCTAGTGATAGCAATGGCTACTAATGATGTGAGCCAAAAAAAGGAAATTCCAAGTAAAATTTATTATAAAATAAACTTGTCTGAATTACCTCCCCTCTTCAAACAAAATAAAATCAAAAAAAGTAAATATATGACAAAAAATATTAAAGTCACATTTTATTCAAATAAATGACCTTTATATTTACTTATATTTAAATTTGCAGCTAAGTAAAAATCTATATAAAATGTTGAGCCACCACAATCTTAGACAACATAACTTGTGAAAATTGCTCCCATTGATAATAATCTGATGACCTTTAATAAAAAGGTACAGAAATCACTAACTGCTACCAACTTATCTATCATACTCTTCAGATAATCACAGGACAATATCATAGCTATGCTTTATATTTTATTGTTACATATATGCTTTCATGCACCTAAATATGAAAGCATATATGTAACAATAAAATATAAAGCATAGCTATGATATTGTCCTGTCATTATCTGAAGAGTATGATAGATAAGTTGGTAGCAGTTAGTGATTTCTTATTTACCTTTTTATTAAAGGTCATCAGATTATTATCAATGGGAGCAATTTTCACAAGTTTTTAAAATGTTGTTGGTTTGTTGAGTGTAGAATTCATGATTTTCAGATTAATAGATTCATACCCAATGCAAACCAATAATTTTGTTTAAATCTAACTATAGTGGTAGAAGGGAACATTTAAAAACCACAAAAACAGACAACCCACAAGCAATAATACTCTCAGTAGTTGAAGTAAACATTTGGCATTATATTTACCTAGAATTGTGCTTTGCTGTGATGGTGAAGGTACTTTCATTGTATCTTATATCATAAATTTCCAAGATTAAAGGAGGTGAGTTGTCTACTGTTAGTGGTATTGAATGACAAACAGTTGTAGCCAATGGACCTCCATATTTCACATTATTTAATGCTCTCACAGATATGTAATATTTGCCATCTGCAATAAATAATAATTTCTGTTAAATAAAAAGGTGTTCGACTTCTTATTACAGTATAACAAATAATAGAAATATTTTCTTTCAAAAAAAATTTGTTTCTGTTAATAAAAATACTTATTGATCATTTGATAGTCAAGTTAGTCGTACAGTGATAGGTCACCACAATGCTAAGTAATAGTCAATAACCTGATACTTAAAGTAAATAAGTGCTTTTCTAAAGTTTTATAAGTAAATAAGTGCTTTTCTAAAGTTTTATAAGTAATATTTTCCATTTTAAGCATGTTACCTGGCAGTGTTTCATATGGAGCAGGAATAGGATAAATTGTAGCAGTATGAGTCCACTGGGATACCTCAAAGAGATGTTTGTGTGGATCATGATGTTTATGTATCAAATCATCACAAACACTCTTTCCAACAAATACTGCATAACCCAACAGTCCACTCTCTCTATCTATGAATCCATCCCAGTTAGCTAGAAAAGAAAAAGTATACACAAGGACATAGGACAACATGCCCTCTATCATACAAGTGAGAGGCTTAGCTTGGTATAAAACCAGGTTTAGTCCACCATTTTCTACATAAGGAAATGCCTGTTCCAAGTCAGGAATATGACAGTTGTTTTCCATTAGTTTGACCTGTTTGAGCTTTTGATTTTGCCATTTTATGAAGGACTTTCTGTTTTGAATTTTCCTCAGAGTTCGATATTTTTGTTATTTTACTTTTCACCACACTATCACATTTTCACTTTCAGTAAACTACAAAATTTGGGTTAAAACCCAATTTTGACATATATCTCAAAAAGTAAACATCATAATGAACATATATATTAGCTTCTATGTCATTGGTCTCTGGTGGAGAATTGTCTCATTTGCAATCATACCACATCTTTTTTTAAAATGTTACTAAGTTTCAAGTTGATGTGACCACAACTTCACGGTAAATTACCTTAAACCAAATCTTTACCCTGATACTGGAAGATGAACAGACTTGCACATACAGACTTGAAAACATAACACACATGGTTATCAACTTCGTAAACCAACAACAAAATAAAGAACAAACGATAAAGTAAATATATTTATTCATAACAAAATATGCCACATGAACAATTTATCAAGTCATTGCAAGCACTTGACTATCTTCTGACGGTCTCCATAAAAAAAATCAAGATATATCTTTTTTTACACGCTTACCCTGAAACACTGAAAAAATACATACATAAAGCGCACCTGAGTACAACACGCAGGGACAAAGACAGAGAAAAAAAGCAGCGTCTTATTTAACGAATTTAACAGTACAATAGATTTGATTTAAATTTCATAGAAATAAATACCAGTAATGTATGTGTTATATCTTGTGAACAGGAGGTCTTTCATTGGCTCCATACCATTGAAAACTGCTTTGGAGCCTGGGCCATCTACTATCAATCTACAACAACAAAGTCAATACATTTTATATAAATGTGACTTGAAGCTCTATGTTTACATAATAATGCAAACTTCAAACAAATATACACTTTAATCTTACAAGGAAGCTATTGAACCAAGGGTTACAAATGGTAAAGTTGAAAATATCCTTAAGTTTCAAGGAGGCCGTTATGAATAGCATGACTGTAAGCAAATATCTTTGTCAAAGCTGACCAGGACTATACAGTTGTTGATGCCACAATCATGTCGTCTTTTCCTAAATTGTGATATCACTGAATGGGCAACTATCACCAAATTTTAACTTGTCATGATTTACAGGATGGGTGACACTAGTAGAGTAGGAACAGCTTACCCTTCTGGAGCACCTGAGATCACCCCTTGTTTTCTGTGCGGGTTGTGTTGCTCATATCTAGTTATACATGTAAAATAAACATTAGATTACAAAATGTTATGTTATGTTTCAATTCTGCTATGTAGATTGATTGATTGATGATTACCTAATATCCCATCAAGATTATAATTTCATACCTGTGATTTTTTATATCAGGATTAATCCCTTTACAACGCATAATCCAATCAGGTCTATGTTCTTCAGGTATGAGAGACAGACAGTCGGCATGCTTAAGGGTGTCTCTACTAGCATTTCTTATTTCTCCTGAAATGTTTTAAGATAGTGTATATATATATTAATTGTATATGCAGTGTTGAAAACTTTTACATCAAATAACAATAAACAGCTGCGCCATGAGCGCATGATACGCCCGTCGTCTTGTGTGTGAATTTTTATGCAATAAGCATAAATAGTTTCTGACATCAGCATGACATGCGAAAACCCCCTTTTTTTTTTTACAAAAAACTCAATATCTCTAAAATAAAATTTTGAATCAAAACCAAAAAGTATACAGATCTTTAGATTAATATAACTAAGAAGTGTGTAAAATTTTAAGCAATAATAATAAATCATTTTTGAGATACGGCGCGACATGTGAAAACCCCCCTTTTAAAAAAAAAAAATCAATATCTCAAAAATAAAATTTTGAATCAAAACCAAAAAGTATACAGATCTTTAGATTAAAATAACTAAGTAGTGTGTAAAATTTTAAGCAATAATCATAAATCGTATTTGAGATACGGCGCGACATGTGAAAAACCCCTCCCCCTTTTTTTACAAAATACTCAATAACTCAAAAATAAAATTTTGAATCATCACCAAAAAGTATACAGATCTTAAGATTAATATAACTAAGAAGTGTGTAAAGTTTTAAGCAATAATCATAAATTGTTTTTGAGATACGGCGCGACATGTGAAAAAAAACACACACCTGTTTTAGTTACTAAGTCCCGTAACTCAAAAAGTTTTAATCTTATTTTCACCAAAAAGTATACAGATCGTTTGACCATCATAAGAAACAACTATATTAAGTTTCATGAAATTTTGATAAGTCATTCTCAAGTTACGGTGCGACATGTTTACGCCTGACAGACAGACGGACAGACGGACAGACAGACAGACAGCGGACATTTGTATAACATAATACGTCCCGTCAAAAATTTGACGGCGTATAAAAAAGAAGCACTACCATTTTTATGTTTCTTTCCAAAAACAGCAAACTACATATATTGGAAATGATAAAAAAGACTCACAACTCCTACAAAATCTGTTGTAGTAATATATTTAGGCCAAGATTCTATATTGAAGTTCACAGGGGCATAACTCCTTTTTAATCCTTTTTAAAACCTTTTATTCACAATTTCCTGTCGATATGCACACCTTATTATCTATAAAGTTCATGAAATTCTGTTGTGTGGTTTCAGAGGAGTTGCGATGACAAGAACAGGACTGACAGATGTACAGGTCAAAAACATTATACCCTAGGAAACTTTGTTCAGTGGGCTATTATAACTTAAATAGCAATGCATTGGAGAATAGACATTTCATATTTTTAGTAAAGCACATTTTACTGGCTTATACCAGCAGATTAGATGAACAATTATAGTACCTGTGATTGGTGTAGTCAAATCAACAAGGACACCTTGAGTGTTGATTATGGATGTATATCCAAGATAATTCCTTACAAGGAAATTCACAAAGAAAATCTTGTTGTGTGGTAACTGTAGCTGGTCAAAGTTGAACTGTTTAGTCTTTCCTACACCTAATCTTTCATAATGAGAAAAATATCCTGATCGGGATCTTTTAAAATGGTATCCCTCGATTGCTTCAACAAGTTCACATGTTCCGTCTGCAGAATCAAAATTAAAACTCATACATTTGGTTGGAGGTAAATCAGCACATGCTCTGGCACAATCTCCAGGAGAATGTTGGGAAGAATCCTTGCCTGCTTTCGGTCCAACTAATTTTCCTGTGCGTGGGCTAGTGAACATCTCCAAAACCTTACGATTAAGAGGATCAGACTCTAAAAAAAAACCCACCAAAATATAATGAGCAAAACAAGATAAGTAGTACATTTCAATAATGATGCTTACAATAATATAATATTCCAAAAGAAAACCCCCAAAAATATTTTTCTTTATGTATAAAGCAGGAATCTTTTTCAAAACAATAAAAAAGGTGACAAAAGTGCCTGCACGACTTCCTCAGATATGGTTTTTTACTAAATGGTTTAAAGATTAATCAAATTTTTCAATTTGGTGTTTACTATCATAAAAAAAAAATATTTTGTCATTTCAACCCAGCAACTTTTTCAATTTTCCTTTCATTGTCATTTGTGATTTTTCTCAGAGGTGGTTTAAGGTTTCATCCATTCTTTTTAAAAATTTGTATGCCTTCAAGAATAATAGAATGCTTAAGTCTTTTTGTCAATAATGTAGTTTGAAGAATTTTCATGATGGAAAAAAACATGATGGATTAGTCACCTTTTTATACTGGGCACCAGGTTCTGTTGAAGGGTGTTCGTTATGAGAAATTTACTTTATTTTTATTTTAAATATTCAATATTTTTGTTTTCATATTTTTGGTTTTGTACACTTTTACCTTTTTAGTATGTGAGTGTATGTGTGTGTGTGCACTGTATATCACTGTATATAAAAAAAAGCCCTCGTAGGTTCATTAGAATGATCATTGATCAGACATTTCATATTTATATACAGTCCTTGGATGGTGTAAACTTCCCACTCACACCATACACCATTACACCATTCACCATACACCATTACACCATACACCTTGTGCCATTACACCATACACGTTACACCTTTGCACCATACACCTTACACATTACACCATACACCATTCCCCATTCTATCTACACGATCCGAAATTACCCATAATGCAATTAAATTTCAAAGAAAGCGTGCGACTACAAAATTATTTATTTGATTTAAAAAACGAATTTTGATCACAATATTGTAAATTAATGTATAAAATTAAAATCTCCGTGGTCATGCCTATGATGGTTATATAAACAATACAGATTAAATATATATACATGTATTTGTAAATAAAGTACGCATAAAACTTTGCTTGTAATGCAAATTTATCCGCGATCTGCCTATCTATAAATTAAAAACGATATTGGTTACAATGCTATCATTATCGGTTTTAACATGTATCGTAAATCTTATAAACTTGGTTTTCAGATAAAATCGACAAACAATGCCAAAAATGAATACTTCAGGATGACTGGTACATGTACAACATGTACAACAAAATTATTTTAAGCATCAACCAAAACTGACCATATTTGCACTTATAATTATAAAATTGAGAATGGAAATGGGGAGTGTGTCAATCTGTTAATTTATATAGGGTTAAAAAATTTGGAAATATTTTTGCCCTCCTTTTATTAAAAATATTGTCTTACTACAAAATTTCAGTAGTTTTGATACCTCAGGCTGACTCATATAACAAAATTATTTAACTCATCAACCAAAACTGACCATAATATTTTCACTTTATTATATAGATCTATATAGCCGCATAGTAAATCAGCAATATTTTGATGTCAGGGTGGATTGTATAATACAAATGACAGCAACATTGCAAAACAACATGTACAATGACAAAAATTTGTCCCCATCAATCTAGATTGCCAGCATGTCCTCTTTTTATTCAATATATTGTCTCGCAACAAAATTTCAGTAGTTTTGATACCTCAGGTTGACTCGTATAACAAAATTATTTTAACGCATCAACAAAAACTGACCATATTTGCACTTTATTATGTATATCTATAAAGCCAAATAGTAAATCAGCAATATCTTGTTGTCAGGATGGATTGTATAACACAAATGACAGCAACAGTGCAATACAATGACAACAAAAATTTGTCCTGATCAATCAAGATAGCCAGCATGACCTCTTTTATTCAAAATATTGTCTCGCAAGAAAATTTCAGTAGTTTTGATACCTCAGGCTGACTCGTATAACAAAATTATTTTAAAGCATCAACCAAAACTGACCATATTTGCACTTTATCATGTAAATCAAAATAGCCGCATAGTAAATCAGCAATATTTTGATGTCAGAATGGATTGTATAATACAAATGACAGCAACATTGCAACACAATGACGACAAAAAATATACCCATCAATTTAGATAGCCAGCATGTCCTCTTTTTATTCAAAATATGGTCTCGCAACAATTTTTCAGTAATTTTGATACCTAAGGCTGACTAGTATAACAAAATTATTTAAACGCATCAAGAAAAACTGACCATATTTGCACTTTATTATGTATATCTATATAGCCGCATAGTAAATCAGCAATATTTTGATGTCAGGATGGATTGTATAATACAAATGACAGCAACATTGCAATACAATGGCAACAAAAATTTGTCCCCATCAATGTAGATAGCCAGCATGTCCTCATTTCATTCAAAATATTGTCTCGTAAGAAAATTTCAGTAGTTTTGATACTTCAGGCTGACTTGTATAACAAAATTATTTTAAAGCATCAACCAAAACTGACCATATTTGCACTTTTAATATTATGTATATCTATATAGCCACATAGTAAAGCAGCTATATTTTATTGTCAGAATGGGTTGCATTATACAAATGACAGCAACATTGCAACACAATGACAACAAAAATTATCCCCATCAATTAAGATTGCCAGCATGTCCTCTTTTTATTCAAAATATTGTCTCGCAACAAAATTTCAGTAATTTTGATACCTAAGGCTGACTAGTATAACAAAATTATTTAAACGCATCAACAAAAACTGACCATATTTGCACATTATTATGTATATCTATATAGCCACATAGTAAATCAGCAATATTTTGATGTCAGGATGGATTGTATAATACAAATGACAGCAACATTGCAATACAATGACAACAAAAATTTATTCCCATCAATCTAGATAGCCAGCATGTCCTCTTTTTATTTAAAATATTGTCACGCAACAAAATTTCAGTAGTTTTGATACCTCAGGCTGACTCGTATAACAAAATTATTTAAACGAATCAACCAAAACTGACCATATTTGCATTTTATTATTATGTAAATCTATATAGCCGCATAGTAAATCAGCAATATTTTGTTGTCAGAATGGATTGCATTATACAAATGACAGCAACATTGCAACACAATGACAACAAAAATTTGTCCGCATCAATCTAGATTGCCAGCATGTCCTCTTTTTATTCAAAATATTGTGTTACAAGAAAATTTCAGTAGTTTTGATACCTCAGGCTGACTCATATAACAAAACTATTTTAAAGTATCAACCAAAACTGACCATATTTGCACTTTATTATGTAAATCTATATAGCCGCATAGTAAATCAGCAATATTTTGATGTCAGGATGGATTGTATAATACAAATGACAGCAACATTGCAATACAAATGACAACAAAAATTTGTCCCCATCAATCTAGATAGCCAGCATGTCCTCTTTTTATTCAAAATATTGTCTCTTAAGAAAATTTCAGTAGTTTTGATACCTCAGGCTGACTTGTATAACAAAATTATTTTACAGCATCAACCAAAACTGACCATATTTGCACTTTTAATATTATGTATATCTATATAGCCACATAGTAAAGCAGCTATATTTTATTGTCAGAATGGATTGTATAATACAAATGACAGCAACATTGCAACACAATGACATCAAAAATTATCCCCATCAATTTAGATTGCCAGCATGTCCTCTTTTTATTCAAAATATTGTCTCGCAACAAAATTTCAGTAATTTTGATACCTAAGGCTGACTAGTATAACAAAATTATTGAAACGCATCAACAAAAACTGACCATATTTGCACATTATTATGTATATCTATATAGCCACATAGTAAATCAGCAATATTTTGATGTCAGGATGGATTGTATAATACAAATGACAGCAAAATTGCAATACAATGACAACAAAAATTTATTCCCATCAATCTAGATAGCCAGCATGTCCTCTTTTTATTCAAAATATTGTCACGCAACAAAATTTCAGTAGTTTTGATACCTCAGGCTGACTCGTATAACAAAATTATTTAAACAAATCAACCAAAACTGACCATATTTGCATTTTATTATGTAAATCTATATAGCCGCATAGTAAATCAGCAATATTTTGTTGTCAGAATGGATTGCATAATACAAATGACAGCAACATTGCAACACAATGACAACAAAAATTTGTCCCCATCAATCTAGATTGCCAGCATGTCCTCTTTTTATTCAAAATATTGTGTCGCAAGAAAATTTCAGTAGTTTTGATACCTCAGGCTGACTCATATAACAAAACTATTTTAAAGTATCAACCAAAACTGACCATATTTGCACTTTATTATGTAAATCTATATAGCCGCATAGTAAATCAGCAATATTTTGATGTCAGGATGGATTGTATAATACAAATGACAGCAACATTGCAATACAATGACAACAAAAATTTGTCCCCATCAATCTAGATAGCAAGCATGTCCTCTTTTTATTCAAAATATTGTCTCTTAAGAAAATTTCAGTAGTTTTGATACCTCAGGCTGACTTGTATAACAAAAGTATTTTACAGCATCAACCAAAACTGACCATATTTGCACTTTTAATATTATGTATATCTATATAGCCACATAGTAAAGCAGCTATATTTTATTGTCAGAATGGATTGTATAATACAAATGACAGCAACATTGCAACACAATGACAACAAAAATTATCCCCATCAATTTAGATTGCCAGCATGTCCTCTTTTTATTCAAAATATTGTCTCGCAACAAATTTTCAGGAATTTTAATACCTAAGGCTGATTTAGTATAACAAAATTATTTAAACGCATCAACAAAAACTGACCATATTTGCACATTATTCTGTATATCTATATAGCCACATAGTAAATCAGCAATATTTTGATGTCAGGATGGATTGTATAATACAAATGACAGCAACATTGCAATACAATGACAACAACAATTTGTTCCCATCAATCTAGATAGCCAGCATGTCCTCTTTTTATTCAAAATATTGTCTCGCAACAAAATTTCAGTAGTTTTGATACCTCAGGCTGACTCGTATAACCAAATTATTTAAACGAATCAACCAAAACTGACCATATTTGCACTTTATTATGTAAATCTATATAGCCGCATAGTAAACAACAATATTTTGATGTCAGAATGGATTGCATTATACAAATTAAATGACAGCAACATTGCAACACAATGACAACAAAAATTTGTCCCCATCAATCTACATGTAGATAGCCAGCATGTCCTCTTTTTATTCAAAATATTGTCTCACATGAAAATTTTAGTAGTTTTGATACCTCAGGCTGACTTGTATAACAAAATTATTTTAAAGCATCAGCCAAAACTGATCATATTAGCACTTTATTATGTCATGTATGTAAATCTATATAGCCGTATTGTAAATCAGCATATAGCCGCAAAGTAAATCAGCAATATTTTGATGTGAGGATGGATTGTATAATACAAATGACAGCAACATTGCAATACAATGACAACAAAAATTTGTCCCCATCAATCTAAATAGCCAGCATGTCCTCTTTTTATTAAAAATATTGTCTCGCAAGAAAATTTCAGTAGTTTTGATACCTCAGGCTGACTCGTATAACAAAACTATTTTAAAGTATCAAACAAAACTGACCATATTTGCACTTTATTATGTAAATCTATATAGCGGCAGCCGCATAGTAAATCAGCAATATTTTGATGTCAGGATGGATTGTATAATACAAATGACAGCAACAATGCAATACAATGATAACAAAATCTTGTCCGCTTTAATTTAGAGTGCCAGCATTTCATCTCTGTATTCGTTATATAAAACTGTCACTAAAGTCAGTATCAGTATCTGTATTTCCCACTTCCATGGCTTCTGAATATGGACGGGTACATCACAGATTCCTTTTGGGCTATTGTGTGATGGGTTGGTCTGCGCATAAATTAGTCGTGCTTGCTGAGGTGTGATGATTTAAACTCAGTAGTTCAGGATGGTTTGTATAATAAAACTATTCCACCTCATCATCCAACAGTGTGACTGACATGACAGATCTCATTTGTACTTTATAATGAAAAGTATGAGAAGTTCTCTTCTAGGAAAAGTATACTGTTAGTATATTATGTCGGTTGGTTGATTTTGTTGGTGGCTAAATATCAAGTGGCAAATATTTCATTCCATTTCACATAAGTATATTTTTTCGGACGTTCAAGATATCATTTATAATCCGTAAAGACAAATCTAACGAAATTGACGAGATTGTTCATAATTATACAACACCTTATGTGCAATAACACTGTACAATTTTCCTTTGAACATTTTTTGGAAAACAGAATCGTAAATCCAAGGCAAACATAGTTGAATGACGATAAGATATTTATAAAGAGACTGTCAAAAGTGGGGAACGAAGCAACTTTAAAAATGATGTTGATAACCCGTGATATAAAAATACTGTTCCGATGCGTGGATAACCTTTCTATCCGCCTTCTAGTTTAAATAAAATCCTTTCTTTTATGATAACTGCATGTGATCACAAGTGTGTAATTTTAAAGCCATTGTTTAATGTAAATAAGAATATGAAAAAAAAAGATTTTTTAATATGTGTATATTAAATATATATGACATAGAGTCTAACGAGTAAAGTAATTTGCTTTACTGGGAAAAAAGAACAATAGGATTATTATTATTGTTTATGTTTACAATCCGAAAAATTAAAATAAAATGAACTTCGGTTTCAACCAATGAAATGTCGTACACCATTCATTCACACCATTCCCGATCGCACGTTACACAATCACACCATTCCTCATACACCATTACACCATTCCCCTTACACCATACACCATAGCACCATACACCTTCTACCATTGCACCATATACCATACACCATTACACCATACACGTTATTTTGGGAAGTTTACACCATCCAAGGGCTGTATCAATTACCTGCTGTAATATGATTTATAGTGCTTTGGTCAAGTTCCACATCATTCCATTGGACAATCTGTTCACCCCATATGTCCTTCCCATAACCTAATGCCACTTTAGTTTCTACAAGCTCTGAATCTTCATATACTGTCACTGAAGCTTTAATAACTGATGGGTTACTGGTTGTCTTGTAATCTTCATCAAATCTGCCACCAGGTGGTGTTATATCATATGTATATAGGTCACATGAAGCTGTTGACTTTTGACCCGAGTCATTCTCAGCAGTTACAGTAAAATACAGTGGAACACCAGTTGCTGCTAGTTTCTTTTATGATAAATAAATAAATATTTTTTTTTTATGAAAACCAACTACTATAAACTATAATTTTTACTCTGAACTATTGTCATTATTGGATATAAAAATATGATTGCCAATGAGACTACTATCCACTAGAGACCAAATAAAGTGGATTATGTAAGCATCTACAGGTCTCTGTACAATAATCTACGCTTGAAATCTTACCATACCAATTTTCAATGTTTCTTAGTTCATTAGCGTATGTGAAGCATGCACACAACTATTTTTTTGACTAGCAAATAAATTGAATATGTATTTAGCTATCATTAATGGACATATATACTCAGAGTTTCTTTTTCAATCATTTCCTGAACATATTTATTTATACATTCTACTTAAGTATAAACATACTTCTGACAATATTGTTGCAGGGCCTGCCAATTCTCTCTTGTTCAACACATCTGTTTCCCCAGGTACAGTTCCCACATCTAGGTATAACCTGACCCCACTTCTGTCATCACCAGCATGGATAGAAATTTCAAACTGAGGCTCTGTGTAATCCTGATTTGGAATTTGTCTTACCAAACAATTCGTTGTGGAACGTTTCTCCTGAAAAATTTTTGTTGATGAAGAACATAAATTGTGAATTCAGTCAAAATTCATTTTAGCTTTAAGGAATAAACAACTGAATAATAAACTACATCACATGTGTCCATTTGAAGAACTAACCTAACATATAAATACTAAAAGAAAATTATATCAACAGAAAATGCAAAATTACCACATATTGGAAATAAAGAATACGAGGCGGATAAACATTGCATCCAATCTAGTAAGCTTAAGTGTGCAGAATATATCTAAAATGCAATTTAGAGACTATGTTAGAAAATTATATATGAACATGTGCAAAGGAGAAGTACAATTTTGGTCTTCTTTTGCCCTGTAAAATTACAAAAAAATAAAATAATTGAATGATACAATTCCTCGTTACATAATTAACTTGTTAAATATAATAGTAAGGCTTTTATCAATTAGATATCAGTCATATTAAAGTGACATCTCAGCTGCAATTTACCCATAATGAAACCCTCAAAAATAGGTATATCTTAGATTTTGTTCAGGTGGATCAGCTTAGAAAAATTTGAGAAGAAATAATCATGGGCACATTGCTGTCACAACTGGTTACCATTTTTTTGAAAGAGGACCATCACCTGTCTCATATGACATCTAGACCTAGATCTATAATTGCATGAAAAAATGACCACTCCTATTGTTTCACTCTAATTTCTATTTGACACAAAATCATTACACACACATGAAAAAAAAGAAGACAAAGGAAGAGCACTTTTTAAAAACCCTTATTTGCATGATGAATCAATCATAACTGAAAACAATTTGAGAAAATGTACATACCCTTTTAGTGCCTGGTTTATCAATAAACTCTGTTATAACTGGGCCAGTGAGATCTTTTTCTTTCTTCCAGTTGTTAATGATATTTTGTCTTATAGTTGGAGATGAAAACTGCCAAATGGTTGCCTTGAACAAAGTTACTTTTATAGATGTGAACAGTAAGGGTATCTCAAGTGTTATCAATACTTTCAACTTTAGTCGTATAGGTGTCATGTCAAGGTCCATAGTAATTCTGAAATATAAGCACACTGGTATTATGTAATGAATACATTTTTGCAGTTACATTGGAATTCCTTTAATGGTTTAAGAGGAATCACAGATGTGGGACGTCTACATTACCTTCTAATAAATGCCAAATAAGATTTGGACAGTTCCATAGGTACTGACAATTTAAAAAGTTTCTGATTGTTGATTGTTAGGGGTATCAAATTGGCTATAATAGCCAGTCAACACTAAGGTTGTGAGTGCAAGTCCTGCAAAGAGCAGGTGCACTTGACATCCAACCTTAATTGACTAGGATTGTCAGTTTTCCTACTGAAGGTCTGTGGTTCTCTACGGCTTCCTCCACCAAAAAAACTGACCGCCACGAAATAACACAAAAGTGTTTAAAGTGGCAATAAACCCTAATCAATCAATCATAATGAACATAAGTTTCAAAGTAGCGAGACCATCTTTGGTAAATTACGTTGAACAAAAACTCTAACCTGGTATAGGTCGACTGACAGATGGATGAACAAATAGATGCATTGACTTGAAAACATTTTGCACCCTTCTATAGTAATAAAGGCTAAAAAAAAAAAAAATTCTGACTACAGACAAGTGCATAAGCTATGAAATATAATTTAATTACTTTGGCAAGTGGAATAACTTAAGGTTCTAGGCTTTTAAATCAGTCTGGAGAACTTATTTAGCCTAATAATGTTAGTACATGTATTACAGACAACAATTATGCATCTACATGAAAAACAAATTTATATAAATCCATATCTGACTGCTAGCAGTTCATACAACTAACACTTAAACTATTATAAATTGATAGGCAATATTACCCAACATCGAGAGGAAATTTACTGAACGAGATCTCTCCTCTGGTTGGAAATTTCAGATCCATAATATGTCCCTCAAGTCTTAGTTTGGCATACAACATGGCAATTCCAATTCCTACTTCTCCGTAAACCAATATCCCAGTATATGGTGCAATCTCAGCAGCTCCATTCATTCCCAAAACATTGATTCCTACTCGGAATTTCACACCATAATATATACCAACACCAACTCCTAAAACAAATAAAAATGGTACATCCATGAACAATTCACTTGTATCTGAACTTTTGCATTTAAAGTTTGTGCAAACCAAGTCCAAAATCAAACATTATTCTAATATGACAACCTATATATTGTCAACCAGTATTGGAATTGCAGTATATCTACTTTTAGTACAAAGGCAATAATGCACAAAATTGGCTGTTCCTCGTTATGCCAACCTTATTTACCGGTATATAACCAGGCAAACTCAACTTAGGACATAAAAACCCATGTTTTACGTAGAACAAGCTTCAAATACAATATGGTTATCTCATTTTCCAATGCAAAATGAAAAAAATAGTCCATTTCATTTTTTATTTCAGTGTAAAATTTCAAAAAAAAAATTCCACGAATAGATGTTATCGTCTTTGGCAACTAAATAAGGTGATGTCATATGTATGCTTCCATCATCAAATGTAAACACTGAACATTTTCAGGATTCTTGTATGCCTCAGAATGTAATTAAATTAGATAATAAGAACATTTTTAGATGAAAAATGTGAGGTTTGTTTTATTTATTATTAAATAATATAACTCATTATATGGTGGGTGAAACAGAACAGGTAAAACAAAACAGCCAAGACAGTATTGTGTGTATAGGAGTTTCAAGATTGACAAAATTACAGTATTTGTCATATTAGAATCGAAATGATAAATGGTAGTAGTAGATTTTTTTTCATAAAAACCATGGGTTGTGCATTTATATTCTTGGGATAAAATAATCGAATATTAATACACAACCAATGGATAAATGAAACAAATTTACGGTTGCCATCAATTATTTATTAAATTTAACGCTGCATTCACATATGTTTAAGAAGAATAAGCAAAGTTTGTCATACTTATTTTGCCATGATACCAGTTTCAATCTTAAATACTGGTTGCTGTCATATTGACATTTACAATTTTAGCACTCCACAGAATTCTATCATTAGAATAAATAAACATAAACAACATTACAATAGAAGGTTTTGCAGAAGGTTCGACATGAAACATGCCAACCATGACTGCAGTAGAGCAATTTTGATTGCGACGTTTATAGGAAAGACAATTTTTAATCTGACACAAAACATCACTGAAAACTGACAATAATTTTTCTTATTTATAGAGATAGAGATTACATGTAAGTGGTAATATGTTATTGAAAATATAGAAAATGAAACAAAATTGCTACAGTGTAGCAAAAGGTCCCTATCTCTGTGTAAATGAAGAATAAATTGTGTGTTCAGTTATAGAGTCGTACAACAGGAACATGGATTACATTATTAAGTACATTTTAAGCTTTTGTTTTTGTTGCTGTAATTCAATAGGCAAAACATTGTGTCATTGTGTTACAATAGTGTCGCTCACCTTGGTCTACAATAGGAAATAAAATTGTGGAAGTCCCTTATCTCTTGTAAAATAGTTCAAATCAATAGTGTGAGAAATGTGTGACAAAAATTTTAAGTTTATTCAATATTTTGAAAAAATCAGTTTCTTCAAACAGTAAGTGACTTCTGATAGATCCAAAAAAGTGCACACATGTAACAACTCATCACTGCTGAAAAAATATGAAAGGTGTGGTCACGTTTCTCCAACATTTGATATTTTTGTATACAGGTAAAAAATTTCTTGTTGGAGAAACGTGATTCATTTACATTAGGGATTATCAGAATTTACCTGTAATTTTTGTTACAGTAGATCCCGCTGAAATGAACTTTTGAATAATATTATAATAATACCAAATGAAAAAGTCAAAATTCGAAAAGTATATAAATTTATTGCACCAAAGAGCACTTATATCATAAAACAACAGAATCATTTTTTTGATAAACAATATAAGCACTATTAGACATATACTTCTTGAGTGCTTCTTGAGTTCAGCCAATAACGTTACTATCTAATTTAGGTAAAATATTTACGTCCATTTAAAGCAATAGACTATTTAATTATTTAGATTAGTTTTTTAATTTTTCAAGAAAATCATCAGGTTTCAGACTAGGATACAACACAAACTATCATATTTTTGTTCTGTATACCGTTTTTGAACTCATGAAATTGAAGAAGAAAAAGCTTTATTGTGCGATTTTTGATTTTCAGAGAGCCTTTGATTCTATCCAAAGAAATCTCTTTTTATTTAAACTTTTGAATAATAATATAGGGCAAATTACACAGATGATTAATATTGACCATTTGGTACATGGCCGTGTTCTAAGAAACACGTACATGCATAAAGTCATAAATTAGTTTCTTGAATGAAATAAAATCTTTATCTACTAATGGGTGCCGTATGAGGTCCACCAGAGTTTTGAGCGAGGATTTCTTGGCATGGCAGACCCGGAAGATGAACTAGATTTGTATATTTTGAAGATTTTCTTTCTGTTATACACTGATGACACTGTGTTATTAGCGGATAGTAACACTGAATTACAAAATATGTTAAATAAATTTGCCATATATTGTAACAAATGGCAGCTTAAGGTAAATGTTGATAAAACAAAAGTTATTGTTTTTGCAAACGGTAGAATTCCACAAAATTTTAAATTTTGTTATAAATGATACTGAAATTGAGATTGTTAAACAGTATAGATATTTAGGAATATTTTTCACAAAAAGAGGTTTAGTTTAATAATCTTAATCTAAGAAAATACTTACATATTTACGAGACCAAGGAATAAAAGCTATGTATTCTATCTAATTCTTGAAGAAGAGAAGAATTAATAATCTATTCATTGAATGTCAAATAGATATCTTTGATTAGGCTGTTGTACCTATTTTATCATGTGGGTCAGAGATTTTGGAATTTTGAAAACTTTGATTTATTAGAGCGGGTGCATGTTTATATAAAGATATATGATATTGTAGGTATATAATTCTCTTTGTAAGTATGACATGTACTTTTTGAGAATAAAGTTCATTCATTCAGTTCTGTTGTCCCATCCCTTGGCTTTGCTGCAATTATGAGATTGAAATAATTATTTCGTAAAATATGTATTAATATAGTATTAAGTAAGTGTCATGTTTAATCATTATACATTAATCTTAATTCATAAATAATTTTATTATCACAATTGACTAATTATTTCTTTAACAAATGGTTAAACAAAATATCCTCTTTTTACTTTTTAAAATACAAATGCTTTTCAAGCTGATAAATAATTTGATGAAAGATAAAACTCGGCAAAAACACTAATACGTAATATTTTTTTTTACTTAATTCCATTAATATTTATATTTTTCTGAATTTCCTTATTATTTGACATTTCTTATCAAAAATTTTATGTATGAAATTAATGTTATAAATCATAAACAGGTCTCACTATACCTTCTTAAAAAGAACAATTTTAATTGTTATATAAACACCAAGCCCATCTATTGTTTTGAACTTGTTGGACAAAAGTGAGTTGGATATTTCAAATGTTGGAGAATCATGACTAAACCATATGAAATCAGTCTAAATTTCATTACTACCCGAGAAAAATGTGACTAAATATTTGTTGGATTAATAATGGACATACAAAGTGGATGCAATACAGCTCCTATGCCTTTAGTGGTGGTGGTGGTGGTGGTGGTGGGGGGTAATATTATAGTATAAGTGCTGTGTAGTTATATCTATCTACATGAAATGAACTTATATTTGTACAAAAGAAATTTTTTATCCTTTTTTTTTTTAATAGAATAACAAATAAACATACTAAATCTCAAAACAATAATTCCAGCAATTGGTATCTGCCCAGCACCTCCAGGAGGATATTGAAACTTTTTTGAACGCCTAGGCAATGGAACTTCTCCCCACATTACAAGATCTTCTGATTTGAAAAAATCTGATTCTCCGCCTACTATTTCTGTCAAAAATTCTGATAACTGAAAGAAAAATCATATTACTTTTCTAAAAAATACCAAATTGGTGTTTGAGACATGAAATACTTACAATTTTCAGGATTTGAAAGCCAAGTGTAATGCAACCTCATTTCAGAATCTTAAAACATCAGTTGGTGACCATATGTAATGATTCAGTAGTATTATTGTCAAGATTTTATCTAAGTGGGGACTTAAAATGTTAAACATTTATTTTTTTCAATAAATCATGATTGGGGATAGTAATCAATTTTCAATGAAACAAAAACACTGCACTGATCATAAACTGTTGTCTTTTTCATTCAATTTGACAATTACTCATTTAAAGGGGCACTAGCTGTCAAATCCATGTTCACCGATTTGACTCAAATTCTCACATTTGATTTATAACATACTAAAACGTATATCCAAATTACTATACGTCTGAAATATACAGTTAACAATGCATGTACACGATAATATATATAAGAATTTCGTGTGTATTTTAGTCTAGACACCATCTAATTAACTATCGAGATGACCTCATAATACTGCCGATGGTCACATAACACATATAAACATAAACATAGATATAAATAGCCTAGCGACCTCGTGCATTTGGATTTTTATAGGTCTGTTTGATTTCATGTTATAGGTTAAAAAATAAGTTGATTAACGTTTTTACCTGTATAAGAATAATATTTTTGTGGAATGAATCAGTTAACGAAATGATTCACCTTTGTTTCACTTTCAATGTTGACATTCTTTTCCTTTTAATGGCTGAACACGACTTATGCATGTGTAACCAATCTCTATCTAATGGGTTAAATTGAAGGTCACATGAATACGGATATAATCAGGTCGAATTATTCACTTGTAAGTGAATAATTCATTAGTGATATTTCTTTGCTTATTTTGACAAATTGAACCAAATTGGCTGCTAAAAACGAATTATTATTTCATTATTTCACTTTTATTAGTGATTGAACCAAACGAAATCATATTCCAATTTTTTTCGTAGCTAGTGCCCCTTTAAAGAAAGTTGTCTTTTTTTATAGATCTTACCAAAGCTTTAAATAAATCTCTCAGCTGATCAATCAGTTTGAATACTTCAATTGGATCTACATTTTTTATATCTAGCAGATTTTCTATATCTCCAATAGTCATGTTAGCCAGCTTCTCTCCAAGAAGTCTAACTCCTGCATTTGTCAAACCATGTCCAACAACAAATGTTTGTTTAGTCCTCCCTGGAATGTCTGATGTGGTTCCTAATATGCCTTGAATGACATCACCTGAAAGATGGTAATAATAAATCATCAAGTATTGTTATAGTTTTTATCTTTTTGAAACTTTTTGAAAATGTGAAGCATCAATCCTCTATGGAACAGAAGATTATAAGTTTTGATCTTTTTTGAACGAAAGGAAAATGTGAATCATCCATCTTCTATGGAACAAAAGATTCGTTTTGCTAAAAGGAAAATTTATTTCGAAGGAAGGATAAATCTTTTTTGAAAATCTAGGATCCACATTCTGTATGTGCCCGTAATTCATGAACCTATAATTCAGTGGTTGTCGTTTGTTGCTGTGTTACATATTTGTTTTTTGTTCATTATTTTGTACATAAATTAGGCCGTTAGATTTCTCGTATAAATTGTTTTACATTTGTCATTTCAGGGCCTTTCTTAGCTGACTATGCAGTATGGGCTTTGCTCATTGTTGAAGGCCATACAGTGACCTACAGTTGTTAATATCTGTGTCATTTGGGCTCTTGTGGAGAGTTGTCACATTGGCATTCATACCACATCTTCTTATTCTTAGCTCACTTGGCCCAATGGGCCAAGTGAGCTTTCTCATCACTTGGCGTCCGTTGTCCGTATAACTTTTACATAAATCTTCTCCTCTGAAACTACTGGGCCAAATTTAACCAAACTTGGCCACAATCATTATTGGGGTATCTAGTTTAAAGAAATGTGTCCAATGACCCTGCATGCCAACCAACATGGCCACCATGGCTAAAAATAGAACATAGAGGTAAAATGCAAGTTTAGCCTACTATTTTGAAAACAATTATAAAGAGAAAATCTGACACGGGCAGAAATGTTCATAATGTTGAGCTCTACCAATTGTCCATGTACGTCAAAACTGTCAGAAGACTTCTTATAGGAGTTATTGCCCTTAAAAAACAAATTTTACCTTTTTTTTCATTTTTGCATATTATTTTGAAAACTATAATAGATAGAGAAAAACTTTAAATTGCAAAAATGATCAGCAAGACATTTTCTACAAATAAGTCTGCATGGTCGAAATTGTCAGTTGACTCCTTATAAGAGTAATTGCCCTTTGATGACTATTTTTACCAATATTTTGCATTTTTGCCTTATATCTTAAAAATTATAATAGATAACTTAAATAAACAAAAATGACCAGTAAGACAAGAACTACAATTACGACAATTTGGAGGAAACTGTTCGACGACACCTTTTTGGAGTTATTGACCATTAATGACGATTTTCACCATTTTTTTTGCATTTTGTCTCATTTTAGAGCCTCTAGTTATATTATCCTTTGCATAAAAAGTACAAAGACACTAAGTTGTGACCAAAACATACTAGTTCTATAATAGTTTAGTATTGGGAGTGAAATTCTGCTGATCATCACAACTAAGATTATTGGATGTTTGATTCAAAAGATGTCATCTTGAACTCAAGTTTATAAAAATTGTTGTCTACTAAAAGCCTTGTGATCATGACCTTTCACCAAGCAACTTAAGAATCAAGGGAGTTCATCATCTATTTTGGAGTGTCTGACATGGCAGAACTTGGCTCTATCATAATTAATGTAGTATAACAAATTTGCTTAACCGAAAAGGTAAGTAATTCATCTACAAATATGGAAGTTGAAAACAAACCCATTCCATTTTAGAGGCAAATAAAGATGGAGAATCTTTAACATCTAAGAATACCTCTGTGACTACAGAAACTGCATTATTTGGGTCGCATCTGTGGCTTTATATCTAAGAACAACACTGTGGAAGCCTTTCGTATTGCTACTTTAGTGTAAAAAGGAATTTCAGGAAATGAATGACAGTTGAGGATTATGAAGTATAACCCTTCATCTTTGTAAACTAATACAGGTAAATATCAGCCACCATATTTGTAATATATGCATTGAATGAAGTAAATTTACCTCCTGTAACTGATTCATTTGCTTGTGAGTCAATGGCTATAGGAATTGTAGCAGGATTGTTCCTTCCAAGAGCCTTCATAGCAGACTTCATGCCTGTTTTTGTGTCAGTGTCAGGCAGCACAGCTCCTTTAAGATTTTCTTGCATCATGCTCAGCTAAATGATAAAAAGAAACTTTTAACTTTACTACTAATTATCTTACATAAAAACAAATTTTGTGTTGCTTCTGCCTCAAATTTCTGTGCTGTATTTTATGCTATCTTATTTTTCATTGTCTGCAGTTTCTTTTATCTTTTTTTTGTTTGTTCTTTATGCGAAAAACTTCAAAGTTTTTATTTTAAAGTTTCTTTATTTAAATAATTTATATGAAACATGCCAACATTTAATAAATTTGGAAGCATCTTTTGGTTAGACAACACAAATTAACCAATCCACTATTATATGATGCCTTATCACCAATTATGATTGCCTCATCCAAAAGAATTACAATATCTAAATTTCTATACATATCCTGATGCAAGTTTTACCATAAATGGTGACTAAAATTACCTTTAAAATGCATGAAAATAGTGAATTGAACTGAAAATTAAAGTTATGTCATATTTGTGTACCTAGCAACCCTGTCTGAAGCATTGAAAATATTTTATTCAAATTTCATATTTTAGAGAATTTAATGATTTAGCTTTGCAATGTTATATTAAGATTCAAAATTTAGGGCAAAGTATTGGCCCTCCTACTTCTGTTTGAATTGATTTTTTTTATGTACAGCACAGTCTTATATTTGATAATTATTTATACCTCATATTTTTCCACTTCTTCAAGATATTCTTTTATTTCGGTTGAAGAAGCCTGCCTTTGCATTAGAATTCTTATTCCCTGTTTAAAATCTGCAACCTGGGGCCTGAAAATGTCAGCGACATAAAACGAAATTATTATACATTTACATTATATAACATTAAATACTATATTTACAGTAAAAAAAATGCCTTCAAATTTTATAGAAATTCATAGAAAATCATTTTATACATCATTTGTTTGCACATCATTACTTCTAATTGTATAATCGACTACCTGATAAATTACCTGTAATAGTAAAGAGGCACTTGTATGCATAATTATTCAGTTGTATATGAAATCAAATGTTTGATGTGTAAAATACTTTTTTTTCTACATGTGAGTAAAAGGTAAACAAACATTTTGCATGACTAAATTTTTGATCGAATGAAAAAGTATGTTAATAATCACTATATTTTATCACATACTCTGTAGTAGATCTTTTACGTCTCTTCTTCCTTGTTGATGAACATGCAATATTAGTAGCATCCAATAATCTGAAGGTCCTACAAAATTCATCAGCCAGATAACAAACTTGTAGATCTACTGTAACTGCATATTTTGATGGATCAAATCCTGATGATAAGCTGTAGTTATACTGGAAAGTGTCACCTATATTCTCTGTCACTACTTTATCTGAAAGAAAATGCAAAATTAACATTCTTCTAAAAAATACAATTTTTAAATTTTATCTGTCCCTCTCAAACAATCCTTTTTCCTGTTGAAGATAAAATACAAGAATGTGTCCATAGTACACAGATGCCCCACTCACACTATCATTTTCTATGTTCAGTGGACCGTGAAATTGGGGTAAAAACTCTAATTAGGCAATGAGATTAGAAACATGTGTACTAAGTTTCAAGTTGATTGGACTTCAACTTTATCAAAAACTACCTTGACCAAAAACTTTAACCTGAAGCGGGACAGATGGACGGACATATGAACGGACAGACAAACGAAGGGACGCACAGACCAGAAAATATAATGCCCCTACTTCTATCGTAGATGGGGCATAAAAACTCCACCCTTCATTCTGGTCAATCCAAACTAATATAACGGATTATGGTCAATTTGTTCTATATATTTGTAATAATTGCCACTGGATGTTAAAAGCAAGCAACAATCAATCAATCATATTCAAAAACTCTTTCAGAAGATGTTGGTAACTCATATATTACATTTTTAATATTTTTTTATTAATACAAAAATATTATCTGAAATTTCTGCTTTAGTTTCAAACAGAAAATTTCTGAATAAGGTATAAGTCAGAGAATTCTTCACCTCCAACTTTCTACAACTTTGCATTAATGATTCAATCCAAGTTATCAATTCTTATTTATGACACAAAGAGAATGACTTAATTTAACTGTCTAATTATAAAAACTATTTAAAAAAAAAACATGAAATAAAATGTAAAAACAGTGTTAAATATGTTTGTATTTCGTTTTTGTCAAAGTATTTTTTGGATTTTCCTAACTTTATACACTTCCATTTCAATACTGTTTTGTACACATGTCATGTATCCAATGATCATATGATTTTATTCCCAAGGGTAACAGTTCTATTTTTGGCACAGTGGATCAATGTAAGCATTTAATGATATGGCCTAAACCATATAAACATAGCTAATCTGAATAATGATTGATTCGGCTATGGTCTAAAAAGTTAAAATTCTGCTCATTGGAACTAAATTTAACTAATTCAACAAACCTGCTTCAAGACTTTTCTGCCAAACTTTTCTTTCAATGCTGTATTCTAATTTGTTGCAAGAAATGAAGTGAAATGTAACGTTGGTCATCCGTTGTCCATTGATAAATTTGAACGGAAGGCAACATGTAATACCATGACAGTCAGGAGTAACTGAACATACATCTAACACACTACTAGATAAATTTACACTGCAGCCTAGCAAAATAGAAAAAAGAATAAATTTCTGGAGTGTTAATCAAATATTTTAACTGAAAATTTTCCTGATTGAATTTGTCCTTTTCAATATGAGTGCAATTTTGAAATTCCTGTTTCATGAGACCATAAATGTATTCTATATTTCTGCGGAATCATTTATTTTCACAGGTACAAATTTTCGTGGATTGGACAAAATGTATTTTCCTGGATATATTTGATTTCATGGTTTTGCCAAAGTCTGCATATAATACAATATAGAATTTAGAATGGAAATGGGGAATGTGTCAAAGAGACAACAACCCGACCATAAAACAGACAACAGCAGAAGGTCACCAACAGGTCTTCAATGCAGCAAGAAATTCCCGCACCCAGAGGCGTCCTTCAGCTGGCCCCTAAACAAATATATATACTAGTTCAGTGATAATGAATGCCATACTAAACTCCAAATTGTACACAAGAAACTAAAATTAAAAATAACACAAGACTGACAAAGGCTAGAGGCTCCTGACTTGGGACAGGCGCAAAAATGCGGCTGGGTTAAACATGTTTATGAGATCTCAACCCTCTATATAAAATTAGAACTATTAGGCTATATAAAATTAGAACTTCGTTGAACATCTACATTTGTGGTTTACCTATACCCATGAATTCCACGAAAATTGGTATCTTACAAATATTAATGAATCAACAGTATGTATCAGTAACTTTTGATTGAAACAATTTAGAGCTTGCACCGGGGGTTGAAAGATTTTGTATCAAAGCAATGACAATCAGATGCTGAACACCAGTTTAGAGCTTTTATTTTCAATTTCATGAATTATATCCTGGTAGTTTATTTGTCCAGTATTGTAAGTGGCACAACTCCTGTAATATTAGTTGGTCTGCACCAAGGGTCTGGAAACGGTCATATTTGCCAGTCATGTCCTAAGATGAAACTATTTGTCCTAAACGAGTAATTGGGATTTAGGACAAATTTTATTTTCTTAAAGAAGTAATTTCGGTCATTTCATTGACTCAATGTTTGAAATCAGATTTCTTAATCGCCATTTTTCACTTGTGATCACTTGTTTTTGTTTATAATCCCTTTCCTGTAATAAAACTGCCACTACAGTAGTTTGATAATCCTGAGTGCCCTCCTAATATCTATATCAATGCCTCCTGGAAACATTGGCTAATGATCGCTAATCACTTTTTACCTGTGGTTTTAATTCACACCTGACAGTGATCACAAGCTCAGAATAATATCTTTAAAACATTAAAGTTCCCTGACAAGTGTATTCATTATTTATTTACTTTTCATCAAAGACAGTCATCAATTCTGATTTAAAAATTAAATCTAAATTAACGTAGAAAAAAGTATTTTTTCATGAGTAACACATGTGCTTTATTTACTATGTAATACGCATGCATGAAATTGTCTTCAGCAAATTTAATATTTAATCGTAAAATGCAAATTGATTTCATGCTAAATTAAACGAGTGCAACTATTATCTGTTATATTCAAACACTTTTAAAGGTAATAAAATAAAAAAGCCATAAAAAGCCGGTGATTTCCTGTCAGTTTGATAAACAAAACAAATCCCGGAAATGAATCTGGAATTATTCGTACTTTAAAATATCGCAAACTTCCGGTTTTAACTTTTGTCAAATCGAAAGAAACGTAAGCAATGTCTGAGAAATTAACCATTTTGAGTCATTAATATCATTTCAATTTTAGATTGTTGCCTTCCCTAAACTGTCCTTCATGGTAATGGTAAGTTATTTACTTAGTAAATGCGATGAAACAGCAATACAAGTTCGTCATGTTCGTTGATGCTATGAATATAGTCAAGTTGATATCGACAATTTGAAAAGGGGCACCAACTTTTCAAACATCTCAAAATGACCGAAATTGTCTGGAAAAATTTCCGGATTCTTGGTCTGCACTCTTCAAAGACCTTCTGATATATGCATCATTCAAAACATTGCTGATATAAATCTATGATATCAATCTTATAAATATCTGGCAAGAATTGTACACCTGAGAGAAGTGTATTCAATGAAATTTTCTAGAGAATTCACCAAGGGACATAACTCCTGTATAAATAAATTGTAACATAAAATAATGTCCCCAATGATATATTGTCCGTTGGATAGAATTTCACATAAAATATTGTCCGTGGACAATATTTCATCATGAAATACTGTCCATGACAATATTTCACTGTGAAAACTGTCCATGAACATATTTCATAATCTTGTATTTTCACTGAGAAATCCTCTGCCATGAAATTGTGACCATTTCTGGAATTTATTTGAAACATTTTTCATAAAAAGTATGTGTATAACCATAAATTGATGTTTGTTATCATCAATCAAATAAAATACTTTAGTTATACTTTTATCAAAAATACTAAATGTTTATAACCTCCCTTTCATGAGACAAAATTTCATGACTATTCATCTATGAAATATTGTCTCAATATACAAAATATATAACCTTGGATAATGTCCCTTTAACAAGACAAAATTTCATACTACTTATCTATGAAAAATTGACTGAATATGGACAAAATTTCTGAAAATTTTTCCTTTCCTGGACATTATTTCATAGATAGGGACAACATTTCATGATACAAAGTTATGAAATATTGTCCAATATTGTCCCCAAGACAATATTTCATAGGACAATATTTTGCTTTACAACTTGATCAGTAGTGACAGTCATTCAAATATAAAAGCTGTTTAACCACTTGTATCAAATTTTATATTCTAATCCATACTATACTTACCACTTGGTGGTTTTTGTAATGAACATTCTGTCTGCTGCCACAGATCAAAAGAAATTCCTAAATTAAAAAGAAACATTTTAAGACAAGAAATGATTGTAACAGGATGCTGTTACGAAGTCTCCCAAACGAAGCTCCCATAATTCGTAATTCCCAGGGTCGCCTGACATTGGGCAAAGTCTAGTGAAAATTGGTTTGGTCCAGGAAAGTTATATGCATTAGTGATGCCTGGGGACTAACCCTGTATATCATTCAAATCATCTTGGCATGACAAACAAGAATATATATGGTTTAGGGGTGGGGATCTCGACCATTTACAAGATACAAGAACATTGTGGGTGGGGGAACCCCTGGCGCCTAACCCTGTACGTCATTCAAATGTTCGAGACATGACGAACAGGAATATATATGGTTTAGTGGTGGGGATCTCAACCATTTACAAGATATTAGAACATTGGGGTGGGGGAACCCCTGGGGCCTAACCCTATACGTCATTCAAATGTTTGAGACATGACAAACAGGAATATATATGGTTAAGGGGTGGGGATCTTGACCACTTACAAGATATTAGAACTTTCTTAAATGGCAGGGGGTGGGGGTGACCCCTGGGGACTAACCCTGTATTTCATTTGATTTCCATTCTCAATTGTATTTATCATGACAAACCAGAATATATATGGTTTAGGGGTGGGGATCTCAACCATTTACAAGATATTAGAACTTTCTCAAATGGCAGGGGGTCAGGATGACCCCTTGGGACTAACCCTGTATATCATTCAAACTATCTTAGCATGACAAACCAGAATATATATGGTTTAGGGGTGGGGATCTTGACCACTTACAAGATATTAGAACTTTCTTAAATGGCAGGGGGTGGGGGTGACCCCTGGGGACTAACCCTGTATTTCATTTGATGTGCTTTATCATGACAAACCAGAATATATATGGTTTAGGGGTGGGGATCTCGACCATTTACAAGATATTAGAACTTTCTCAAATGGCAGGGCGTTGGGATGACCACTGGGGACTAACCCTGTATATCATTCAAACCATCTTAGCATGACAAACCAGAATATATATGGTTTAGGGGTGGGGATCTTGACCACTTACAAGGTATTAGAACTTTCTTAAATGGCAGGGGGTGGGTGACCCCTGGGGACTAACCCTGTATTTCATTTAATGTGCTTTATCATTTAGAACATTTTCAATTAAAAAGATTGTGTTCATCACAAACGGTATTCAATTTATAATCATTTGAAAGTTTTAAAAAATAAAATCTCTTAGGGTTCTATAGTTAAACCCTCCTTTCTTTTTGCCCCTCAAAGTACCCCTTTATAAACCCTATTGCACAAACAAAACCCTGATTGCACCACTAGACATGTTAGTCTAACATATTGTGAAACCCTAAGTTAATCTGACAAGCGGTTTTGGAGAAGGGGTGCGGACAAGTTCAAATTTAAAAGCGGGGGAAGAGGAATAAGAAGAAGAACTGAGCAAAACCAATAAGTCCTCCCAAACTTAACTTCGTTTGGGAGACTTAATAAAATAATTTCCTGGTGTCAACCACATAAATAGAATTTGCATGAACTAACCTAAGTGTGGATTTATTTTTTATTGTGAAAAATGCGACAGGGTTATACTCGCAATAATTTAAACTCGCATTTTTATATGAATTAAATAGGATTTTTCTGAATATCGCCAAAAATTAAAATTTTAGTCTAAAATGACAAAATCGCAATAATAAATGCACGCAATAATTTCTGAATTTACAGTAGTAAAAATATAATAACAGTCACCAGTTAGGGATCTCCCAATTATCAATACTATAAAGTTTCTAAACATTTTGCCAAATGAACATAGTTTGTAGAGTTCCTCCTCTACATCATTCCTGGTTTCACAAAAGAAGATGACAAGGTTCAGTGGGAACTGTGCCACCAATGCCAAACCATTTGTAAAAAAGAGTATTTTAAATTCATACCTTTGAATGGAGCTCTTTCTACATTCAGATCACACTGCGAGTACAGCAGCTTGGAATTCTCCATAACTGTGTAGTCATACAAGCAAACAGTCCCATTCTCTTCAAAACATGCCTTGATTTTCACATCCAATGAGAATAACTTTTCAGAAGGAATATGATGGATAGCATATCTAAAATAAAGTATGTAGTCATATACAAGTTTATCAGAAAACAGTAATCATAACAATGCTCATTTTTCTATGATGAGTTTATTTAGCCATGTTATTTGAAAGGAATTCTGTGATAATTATGGTAGTTTTTTATTTTATTATTTTTTGCCTATAAAAGGTATATCAATCTACTTACACAAGCTGTAACACTCCATGAATCTGTATACTCTCTTGTTTACCTAAAATATATTCATTAATGAGAAAACACAAAACTATCTTCAAAATTAAACTAAGCAAAGAAGCTTATAAATGAATTAATCTAACATCATATCACATCTTCTTATTTTTATATTATTCAGTTTCCAACTCAATATCTTGGGTTATTCAATACATCTACAGCATGAAATGTAAAATTATAATTTTCAGCAACTGGTATAGGCATTGAGTTTGCCTAAATTGAACCATAATTCTATTTGTCCAATATATTCTGGAAATTCAGGACAAAATATGATCCATGTCTATTTCATATTAGCAAAATGGGTGAATTATTTTGAAACAAGAAATTAGTTGTTAAATTGACAGCAAACAAGGTTTTATGTATTTTGAAGGTAAGCATTGTTGAACTACAAAGGGCAGCTAGTGTGATTGAAATTGAGGTATTCTAATGTATGGCGCTTTCAGGCTTGTTTGAACTGCCACGTTCTGTGCCTATTTTCCAATCTATCAAGAATCATATGTCCTGAAAGCTAAAAGTAAAAATGCCATAATCTAACTTGATCTCCATTTTGTCATCAGTAGCAACATATCAAAATTTGAACCACATTGGGTGAACAGTTCATAAGCTATAGGAAGGAAGCAACATAAAGTGCTATTTTCCAATCTATCAAGAACTCCTGAACGGTAAAAGTGAAAATTGTCAATATTGATCTTGACCTCTATTTTGTCATCAGTAACAACATATAAAACATTTAAAAAGCATTTATTGAATGGTTCATAAGTTATTGCACAAACACTGTTGGAAGCCTCCCACCTCAGTTCTTCACTATTTTAAGAGTTGAATTTTTCTTTTGGAAAACCAGTTTAAAAAGGGATAACAAATATAAGTTTCAAATTTTTAGAACTACAACTTAAAATCGTCTCAAATCAGAATAAGAGATCTAAATGTTAAAACCATAATGTACCCTTAATCAGTTATTAGTTTTGATAGAACTTTAACATTCTCTGTTGATACAATTTTTCTAGATTCAATTTAAAGATAGACACTGGTCTACTGTTGATTATGTCGACTGACCTAGAACTAGTTTTTTATTGTTGTGTTGATGTCTCATTGAAGTATATCTCACATCGCTTTTTAGAATTAACTACTGAGTATTACTTGAAGAAACTTAATTAAAACCAACCCCATTTATAATTAATCAAGCTGAATTCATAGTGATTTTCCTCAAGGTCTATTTCAAGTATATAATCACAAGTTCTGAGATTGACAGATGAATAGATGTATCTTTTAAGAACAGGAACTTCAGCACAACAGGTAACTTTATCACAAGTCTCAGTAATGTAGCAAGCAACACTATGATTTAGCTTGATAGATGGTGCCGTTATATTAGTACATTCTGAAGAAAAGAACATGTCATGTAACAATCAAAAGAACAATAAGTGTACAGTTAAAATTGAGTCTATACAATTTTCCAGGCAGCTTAGCAATCACTCTTCTTGTAATTTGAACCTTCAGTGACTGTGGATAAAAGTAATTTCAATTTAAGCTATTGAAAAAAATGAACAGATTCTGTTTTGAGTTAAGGTAAGGGATTCTGCTAAATAAATAGGGGTAAACAGTAGAATTCGTCAATGTTTAAGAAGATTTGTATTTTTGTTCTGTCTAATTGAATGTGGACAAAAGTATTTCCAATTTAAACAATTGAAAACAAGACATACAGAAGAATCCATATTGTTTTTAGTTAAGGTAAGGAATCCTGCTAAATAAATTGGGGTCAACAGGAGAAAACATCAATATTTCAGATGGGTTTAAGTATTTGTTTCAGTCTATGGAAAAATTATTTATTGAACATATCACTTCTGGTGTAATGTCAGTTAAGATTTGAGATAAAGTAACCACACAAATTTACCATTCTTCCATCCATTCACAGATCCATTATAAGGCATCATGTTGACATCACAAATATTTGACCACCCAATATAATCAGAGAGACCAAGTTCTGTCATCAAATCATTGGCTGTAATAACTGTTGTATTCTCCACGGTCATATTTCTACTTGTTAACCAGTCCTCTAGTGAAAATGCTACAAAAAAAAAAACAAAAAAAATTAAAGAACCTTAGTGAGCGCGCTCACATACCCCACGTCCCCACATTGTCACTGGAGAAATAAAATAACTGTCAGAAAAAAAAATTGTATAAGAAAAAAAATTGAATCATAATTTCCTGTCGATATGCGCATCTACATAGTATGTCCTTATTATCTACAAAGTTTCATGAAATTCTGTTGTGTGGTTTCAGAGGAGTTGCGATGACAAACTGTTGCAGAGGTATATTGAAGCAAATAAGTTCAAAGGGGCGTAACTCCTAGAAAAAAAATTGAATCATAATTTCCTGTCGAAATGCACATCTACCTAGTATGTCCTTATTATCTACAAAGTTTCATGAAATTCTGTTGTGTGGTTTCAGAGGAGTTGCGATGACAAACTGTTGCAGGGGTATATTGAAGCAAATAAGTTCAAAGGGGCGTAACTCCTAGAAAAAAAATTTAATCGTTATTTCCTGTCGATATGCACATCTACGTAGTATGTCCTTATTATCTGAAAAGGTTTAATGAAATTCTGTTGTGTGGTTTGAGAGGAGTTGCGATGACAAAAGGTTGCAGTAGTATATTGGGCAAATAAGTTCAAAGGGGGCGTAACTCCTGGAAAAAAAATTGAATCGTAATTTCCTGTCGATATGCACATCTACGTAGTATGTCCTAATTATCTACAAAGTTTCATGAAATTTTGTTGTGTGGTTTCAGAGGAGTTGAGATGACAAACTGTTGCAGTAGTACATTAAAGTAAATAAGTTCAAAGGGGTGTAACTCCTAGAAAAAAAATTGAATCATAATTTCCTGTCGATATGCACAACTACATAGTATGTCCTTATTATCTTAAAAGGTTTCGTGAAATTCTGTTGGTGGTTTGGGAGGAGTTGCGATGACAAGAAACAGGACTGACGGACTGACGGACAGATGGACAGACGGACAGACGGGTCTAAAACATTATACCCTCCGCAACTCGTTGCGTGGGGTATAATAAAACATAAAAATGACCAACTATATATTCCAAACAAAATATTCAATATGAAAAAAAAAACCCAAACAATTTGTACTATAAATAAATCCGTGCTTATAAGATGCTTTAATTTACCAATATTGGTGATGTGTCACCATGTAAACAGATGGATGCATGACTGAATCCAAGATGATTTCTATGACTCAGCATTAGTCTATTAGGTCTTGTAAGCAAATAAGAAAACCAAAACATTTATAAAAGCTGGTGGTTTTTAATATATCATGTCTTGTAAAAAATATTTTCCTTAGTCTGACAATAAATTTCTTATAAAGTGTACAGCTTGATTGGGTAATGGAAGAGTGAAATACTTGCAGTCACAGTAAAAATTCTGTTTCCACAAACAGATGCTAAAAAGGCATTAACCTAAAATACTCTTTTTTATTGCATTTTGACTGTAAACTACTTTTGAAATTTTGGAAGTTACAAGCCAAATACTTTATAAAAAGTTGTATTCTTCCATGAAAACTACTACTTACATGGGTTCAAGAATCCAGGGGCTTGGTCACAATTTTGCCGATTAACAACTGTATCATTGAAGATCACAATCTCAAACTCACAATCATTATTTGGTTCCATGCAAACAGATATATTTAGGTTGAGGCTGAATGTATCTGGAGAGGGTGTATCTATAATGTAGCTGAAATAATAAAAGAGATTTGTTTTATCAAACATTAAAATCTGCTGAATTAATGTGTCTTACAAATTGAAATCAAAAGATTCTAGAATTTTAAACAGATCTCAAGTAAAGAATAAGGCATTTGCTACAGAGTGGTCTGACCAAATGGCATTGTACTAGGATGACAATGTCAACATAATACAAACAACCCTTATAAAATGCAACTAAACTATTTAAATATATTTTTCTGATATGAATACATGGAAATGACTCTACTTACTCTAGTTTTACTATTCCCAGTAATCCAAAGGTGTAATGGTTACCTAAAAATATAAGCAATAAGCCTATTTTTAGTATCATAATTAGATATCTTTGAGATATACATACAAAAGTTTTTTCAAAATAAAAAAAATAAGTTGTACAACTTAGTCTATGGTATGTTTCTCTCAAGTATATTCATTTGAAGAAACATGAAAAGACACAAAGCTTTCAAATGGGTGTTTGACAGAAATATAAACGTTATACAAGGATTTTATGTATTTTGTCTCTGGTCCAAGCTTTAACACTGTCAAGTCAACATCCAGTATAACGAAAACATGTGCCAGTGGACTTTCTTGTCAGAATGTTATTGCATTAATAAAGTAAAGCACTCAGTTAAGTCCTGAAAGGATTTGCACTCCAAAGGTATCGTCATACCTAAACCCAACTAATATAAATGTTCAATTTACTGCCAGTAAAAGGGAACGAACATCAAAATATGTAATAACTGTTTTCAGGTGTTGTGTGCATAAATGCCTTACCCTTAATCCCTTTTTGTGGTTGCCTTAATTGCCCTGACTGCCTTTAGATACAAAAGCAAAAGACATTTAAACAGGGTGAAAAAAATTGTATGATTGGCTTAAATTTTTTTTAAGCCCTGATTCCACCCCAACATGATATACAATTCAAGTGTGATAACATTTTCAAACTTAAACACAACAAATCTGCCCTTTTGCACAAAATACAAAAATCAAGGTATCTGTGTATAAAACATAAGAAATGAAACTGACAAACCTGTTGCACTAATATAACCCTTTTAAACTCTGGAAAATTATCATCTTATAAAAACTTACCATATAAAATTTCTGACAATTTTAAATTATGAACTAAATTGTCAATTTCTAGTATTAAGATGTTTCTACATTCCTCAATACTGAACACAGGTGTAACTGATGTGTTTAAGACTGGAAGATTGACACAACATTCCACACTCTTGCAATCTTTAGATACAATGCATGAAAAACTACTATTTTTGTCCTCTGGTAATACTTTCATATCTGCAGACTGACATTCTGTAATAGAATAAGGAAATCAGTCAAAATAATAATTTCAAAAAGAGTAAAATACATGAACATGTAGCACTTTTTCTCTCTCTTACTTCCTTCCACCAATAATTCATTTCATGGGTAGAAAATAAAAGGAGTTGAAATAATGCAAAGCTAACAGAAAGATAATTAATTTAACAACAGAATAATTTTTTTTTTTTTTTCAAATTTGAGCTGTAACAGCGAGTATTCTATAATAACATTGAGCATAACAGTCATCTTGTCTTCAAACAACACAAATTATGTATTCTCTATAAAATTGTTTTAAAAATTCTTTAAAAATAACTTTAACTGAATTGTGATAATCTGTAAACCACCATGAACATGTTAAAATTAAATAGCATTGTAAAAGTTATGTATAACCATATTAATATATAATCTGTACAACCTTTTTTGATACAGGAATTCTGGAAAAGATACATGACAAAATTCAGTAATATTACAGCTCTTCTACAAAAGCATGCAAAACAAAACTTTGATTAATTTGCTTGCTTTGTTTGTTTGGATGTTTGCAAACAATAGGTAGGCTGAGTTTCAGTCTGTTTACTATATACTGGGATTTGATTGGACAATAAAAATTAACATACAATGTGGAACTTAACCTTGAAATGAAGTTAATGTTTATTGCCCAATCAAATTCCAGTATATAGTAAACAGACTGAAACAGACTGCCTAACCTATTGTTTGCAAATATCCAAACAAACATAGCAAGCAAGTTGATCAAAGGTTTGCTTTGCATGCTTTTATAGAAAAGCTGTAACTATATTTCTGATTATGAATTGACACTAGAATTTCAGATAAGTCCTGGTGACCTGTAAAATCTTGGTGGTTAGAAAATAATTAACAAATACATTACTCTTACAAACCATTCTCATTGTAACTTTTAAGATTGCAAGGGTTCTCTTTGAGAAACTGATCTATTTTCAGATCCTGTTTTAGTTGAAATTCTGCCCACACAGGCAAGCTCTCTGAAGATTTTGGCAAGCTCTTCCCTTCAAGCCAAGCAGCCAGAGAAACTTCTAAAACAAATAAAAGATGAAATCAGAGTGGCTGCCAAAATGCATCAATCATATCTAAGGAAGACAAGTAGTATTTTGCCAAAGATGACCAAAGTTTTGTCTCCAATTGTTACATTAATTTTTACATGCAGTTAGTTAGCATTTTTATCCTGTTCAGGTTTAAATAAAATGTATATTCTAAAAAATTTATGGCAATTCATTGTGTTATGTACAAATAAAGTTCAAGCCTTTGAAAACAAGGCAATATAATAAACGATTAAATTAACTTTCTAGGTTACTGAAACCACCCATAGTATTTTTAGGTTTCGGATGCAGACATTTAAATAACATTCTTCCTTACAAAGACTTATCTCACATAACAATATATAAACATTGGAAAATTTAACTGAACATGCAAAAGACAAGAGAAGAGCAATTTAGATATTGCACTTCAGATAGGAACCCCTAAATTTGACAAATATTCAAATCTTCTCAGAGGAACCGTTAAAGGTTTAACTTTTCTAAACATGGTTTTGTGATTGAAGAAATGTCACCCCATGTGGCTCATCAGACACTGTATAGAAACACATGATGTAATTTTTTGTAAAATCATACAACATGGTCACCTATTTTTTATGTTGCCCAACTGGCAAAGCGTTGAAACCACTTTTACACAAATGAAGAACTGAGAACAACTAAATCCAGTTAGTAATCAATTATTCCAAAAAAAATATAATACATCATTGAATTAGGAAAGGAAGAAACTTTTTCACTGAAATGTACTTTTAATACACAAAATCCTTGGTCATTTCTGAAATTGGTATGTCACTTTATTCCTAGCTTATTCTATAAATGTCTATAAAGGATTGCTTTACCATTTTCCTTTGATCTGTCACAGACTTCTTTGATTATTTTTCTCCCATCTAGGATGACTTCATTTACTGAGCAGGTACCATTTGCTTCCAGACACACCAAAATGTTAAAGTATACCATATAACTGTTTTCTGCTGCCAAGTTGTAAACGACAATTCTATAAAAATTAAAGTATTGACATAGCAATTACCTTGATATAACTTCTTGTATAATTTCAATGGGCTGTAAAAAGCTGTGAAATTAACAAACTTTTTTTTATGAATTGAAAATATAATTTTTCAATTTCCACAGTAAAATAATACATGGCTCTCATACAAAAGAGATATGCACAAGTTTTCAAACACACTGATGACTGTTCATTTTTTTATGTAAATGAACATTTGTTTATATTACTTTTCTTATAATTGATGCCAATGCTAAATCTTATTTATTTTCAACTCAAAAGAAGTATGTCATAAATAGTAATAACATTTACAAAAAGAAAATCACTCTAAATCTAAATTACCTGTTATAATCTTTAACTAAAAAAAACTTACTCAGTTCTCAACACACCAACAAGTCCATGCTTTATCAAAGTACCTAAAATTACAAAGGAAGTTATTTTCAAACCGAACTTTACAATCTGTTTTATGTTGTGCTGTTACACAACTCTCCCAGGTTCGAGCAGAGTTCTCAAAATATTTTTTTCCCTGGTGGTCCTCACTATTATTTCTATTGCAAAGTATAAAAATTGTATTGGTCCGTTGCAAAATGTTGGTGGTCAATACCTTCAGACCACCACTTTTTGAGAACTCTGGTTTGAGGGACAGTTCAGAGCTCACAAACCTGTGTAACCCCACCACATTCTATATATACCTGTCCAAAGTCCTTGTCCTGAACATGCATGAAATATTTGCCACTGGATGTAAAGCATACAACAATCAACCCAAGTCAGGAGCCTGTAATTCAGTGCCTTTTGTTGGTTTCTGTTTGTAATATTTTTTTTGTTTTTTGTTTTGTCACATATCAGGCTTTCGTTTGTTTGCTTGAATTGTTTCATATTTAGTTATGTTGGGGCCTTTTAAAGCTGACTATACATATTGGTTTTGATAAGTTTGGAGTGCCGTGTGTTTACCTACAGTTGCTAATTTCCACTTCATAAGAACTCTATTGGATAATTGTCTTATTGGCAATCATACCTCATCTCTTATTTTATATTCAAACCCATGTAAGACAAAATAGATCAGACCATTTATCTTTTTTAAATTTGTGTCCTTTCAAAATGTGACTGTACACTAGAATAAGAATATTTCGAAATTAAATTACTCTTTACTTTAGCGGAAATAATTATGGCAAATTTTTACCACATCAACTTAGCAAGTTTATTAATGTCATTTCTCATGGTATTCTTAATTTATATATGACTAAATATTGATTTATTCAACAAAAAATCAACTGAAAACAAAATCTTGAGCACAAATGTGCACATCACATAATATTTTCTTTATTTCAGACTTACCCCATTTGTAATCCATCAATGATATTTCCTCTGACAATCTTTCAAGTTGTAAAGTTAGTTTCCTATTGCAGTGGTCTATTGATAATGATACTTCCATTGTTCTATCCAGATCTACTATATCAACACAACAGCTGACTGTGTCACAAGTATAACCCATGTTACACCTCACTTCTCCAGACATAGATGGCAGTTCTTCATTTTCTGTACATACTATATCATGTATATTAAATGGCCGTGTTAATATTTAATAAATGAATTTGCATCAATTTATATTCACATCATTATTAAAATATCTATTAGTTAAATTACTGTAAAGGTAGCATTCCTAAACTAACTGCAGCCATTTCAAACAAAGTTTTCCAATTTATTTATGTGCATATCTTCTATAAATGTACTCAAATGAAAAAAATGTGACTTTCAAAATACCAAGATTAAAATATATATATTTATGAAATTCCTTTCTGAAAAAACCCAAAATAAATTCCACCTAAAATTGAAATAAATACAGTTCAAATGAATCAGCCTGTGCAATACTGATAATGTTGTTCTGCTTTCTAATACAATACACTGTATTGGATCAATTGCCATTAAGCTGGCTGTTTCTGTATTTGCTCTTGATCAGATGTATTAGGTCATTATGTTCCTAGCCTTTTTAAGTCCTGGGGCCAATACAGCTAACCTTGAACCTAAATAAGGGCCAATAATTAAGAAACAGCCAGTTAATAATTCAATATTGTGTATGTTTGTACTTACATGACTTCCATCCATTGGTAGATGGACTGTACGAATTACTGAAGTGGTTACATCTCATAGAAAGAAGATAGTAAGACAAACCAAGATGTTCAAACAACTCAGATACTGCAATACTGGTCAAATTCTCATTCTTAGCAAGTCCTCTTTCACTTTTCCAATTTGATAGTGAAAAATCTATATAAAAATAGTTAATGTGAATTATGTTAAAGATAAATCCTTCAAAGTCCTACAAACTATGAAAAGCATAAAAGAAATGTTTAATTATCTTCTGAAAGTCTTCTAACATGAGTTGTTCTATTGTGCTTCCTTATTAAACAAATGTGTCAAGGCAGAGAGAACTTATTACAGAATACCCTTTTTTTTTATCAAATATACCTTCTTTGACAAATCCACCATTATGACTACACTGCAAGATGGGTAGCATTATATTCTCCAGTATCACATAGCCTTGTTCACATGTATCTCGACTCTCTGTACATATACTTATATTCTTTGATACCAGATATGAATGTTTCCTTTCTAGGTAGTAGATGACCAATCTAAAAGTATTTACAAAGAACAGTAAAGAAGTTTTGTGCTTTTCATATTAGCAAGTCAGACAATTAGGAGTTTGACAATCCAAACTTCTCATGAAACAGGAAGTCAACCACTGGAATTGGACAGGGAGAATACTTTCATTAAACTGTACTTGCTTCATACTTATAATCTGTCTCTAGCAATTGTCATTAAATAAGCAGTAAAATGTACCACATTCAACTATCACAACAGGGTCTCATCTTTCTTTCTCGTATATGTAGCAGTGTGTACTAAACTTGAAGGAATTTATAAAAAACTGAAATCAATTTAATGTGAAAAAACTCAATTCAGATTTTAAAACTGGCTGAAATCTAGACAAAAAATCTATGTTAATGCATACATACTCAATATTCACAATTCCTGCTAATGAGAACTTCTTTACAGCACCTAAAATTTATAAAGTAATTATAAAAATCAATTTGTACAAATTTTAAAACATACTGTAAGGTTTTATGTTTTTGTGAAAGTAGCTAAATTATCCAAAGGAAAGTTATATTCTTCATTGATTTGAAAAATGAAAAGACTACAACCAAAAATTAAAAGTTGTAAAACCAATTTACCAAATATAATCTACAAATCATAAATAAGCTATAAACACAGAAATTATTTTAACTTGTTTGCTGTAATTACTCTCAAAGAAAAGTTTGATATTGTGACCCACAACTATATATTACAAGAAATGATAAAAATTGGTAAAATTTGATCTCACCAAAGGAAAACTCTGTTATTGAAGTGTTATATACAAAATCTTCAATGCCAACAGTAACGACATAAGAACATGGATCAACCAGAACTATGGTATGGAAGTCTCTGTTTAACTTGTTGGCATGGATACAACACTCTATACCAGTGCATAATGCTGATAGATGACATGGAATCTCTATGGAAAGCATTACTGGTGTTACCAATGGACATGCTGCAAAATAGTCATAAAAACAATATAAAAATAAGGAGATGTAGCATGATTATCCAAGAGAGAACATCCATCAAAACCAAAATGACAAAAAATCTAGGATTATGAAAAAAATAAAAATTGTAAAAAAAAAAGACAATTACGATGCAGTCCCGTAAATCCGCCCACATAAGGCTTTGATCGTATGTATTTCTGCTTAACTGTATACAAATTGTATCAAATTTAATATATATCAATTCACTGACAAATCAATATTGAGTAGTTTATCTCATTTCCCCAAAAATATCTGAAATAAATTTAAAAACCAACAAAACCAGTGGTTCACCTGTGCATTTATCGGAAATGTGTTTGTCCGGTAAATTCGCCCATCCGCAGTAAATATGTATGAGGGCCAGTTTATCACATATTTATGAAAGGAAAATGGTGATCTATTAATAGACCACTTATAAAGGGGTTCCAGACAATAAAAAAAAAAAAATTTAAAGTCAGAAATGAGTTTTGTAAGCAATAATATGATTATTGTTAGCTTTAGGAACTGTATTATATATATCACTAGATATTTTCGTAATAAAGGATTTTTCTTTAAAAACATGCAGTGATGATAAGTACAGTTTCTTTGAATAAAATAGCAGATGAAATATTCACAGAAGTGACAATTATGGAAGTAAATGGGAGTGGGCGGGTTTACTGGATGGGCGGAATTACCGGACACTACTGTAAAAACCTCTTGAACATATAGTTAAAGAAAATCAGCTGCTGGGAGAAATTTTTTTTCACAGGTATATTCGTTGCTTCATTGGATGGTAGAAAATATGTATATGACCATTGCCTAATGGTTGAAGCAAAATGATGAAACTGTCTCTAAATCATACTTTTACCAACCATTGGTAAAGAATAATTTGTTGAACTTGGAAATATCTTCCCCACATTGATCACCATGTAAATATGGAGCTATGCCAGTATCTTCAAACAATAAGAGCTGTCCATAATTTGGCAGTGGTAGTGACATCTCTTTTGTCTGTAGCCAGTCTGCCAAGGAAAAATCTAAAAAAGGAGGAAACTGTATTTGTAAAATGAATAGTGTACATGTGTTACAGTGCAACTGTCATTTATCATTTAAATATATTTATATTGTATATAAATGACAAAAAAAAACGTACTCCTAACACATTTTAAGGACATATAAACAAATATTGCATCATAAGCTCTAACCACATCAAAACATTGAAATATGTGATTGACAAGTGCAGTACACTGTGCCTACCCCCACATTCTTTATGAGTCTGTTTTGAGACAGGAGGTTTTTGAGCCTGTATGAAGAACAGTGGTTGTTGTCTGCCATTATTGTTTTTCATTTAATGTTATTTGTTTAAATCAGGCAATTGGTAAAAGTTTTGAATTGTTTGAAATCTTGTTTCTCTTTGCATTTTCTAGCTTCTTGTGTATGGGTTTAACTCATGGTTGAAGGTCATACTGTGTGTGTTGTTCACATTCTTGTCCTTTAGGGAATAGTTGTCCCTTTAATCTAGCAAGATGAGCCAAAGTATCACTATCTTCTGTTGATTCTTTCTTAAGGCTGAGAATTAAAAGAAATGAGCATCTTTATATGCTGTAGCATAACCAGAGCTTCAGGCATTTTTTTGTTTGTTTCGATAATGGAACTTTATTAAGGATATACCTGTGTTATGATCTAACAGTCAACTTGGACCTATCATTAGGTCTGAGCCAATATTTACATCACATCACCTCTTTTCAATTTTAGCCAATTTTTGTTCCTTTGTCATATACTTATCTTTTAATTAAAATAGCTAGTAAAATGAACTTAAGATAAATCTACTTTAATAGAAGAACATGATGAAACTAATGATTTTAGAGTAAATGAAGGTTCCACCCTTACAATTGTGTCAAGTGGAGAGATGCAAAACTTTTGTACTTGTTTTATGCCAAAAAGTTATATTTTCAAGTATTCTTCAAATCAGAGCAATGAATGTTTCAGAACAGAGAATGGATGTTTCTGTTGGACTATACATGATAAGTAATACATTACTTGACTGATAATAGTGGGTATCCCATGCACACAAGGCCTTAGTCAGCCAGGTCTGACTGAGTATCTGGGCAGACATGTGACAAGGCTTGAAACTTTCAAAGCAAACACTTATATTCAGGCTAACTAAGTACAGGCTTTCACCACTAAAATCCTCTATGCTGTAAGACAGACGCAATACACCAGCAAGCCAAAAACTTTCCTGTTCTCCTTCAAAAGTAAGAAAAAAGGACATTCAGATTTACATCATACAAGTATATTGTTACAGCAATTGTATTTACAATGCAGGAATGATTTTAAAATCATTTGGTGTGCAAAAGCAAGAATGAAACTACAAAACATAGATTTTCATTTAAAACAGTTCAATATGTAATAAAACATTTCATTTATTAAGGCAGTAACAAACCTTTGACCTTGAATATTGATAAGCTTAACATTTTTAGACATAAAAAAACTTATAGAAAATATACCCCATTGGTAGTTTGTAAGTGAAATGTTTCTGTGGAATCTTTCAATGCCAACAGTTATCATCTGTTTACATGGATCTATATTCAGGTAAGTATGGAAGGAGTATGGAATAAAGTCTACATCTACACAGCATTCTACTTTGGTACAACTGGTATCTATATAGCAGGTTTTTGGTTCTGAAATCTGTGGAAGGTTGAGTGTTTTCATGCAACCTGGAAATAAAAAAAAAAATATAATCAAAGAAATTATACCAGATATTGATAATGATGACTGTTTGCTGAAATCTCAAATTTCGATCTAATTGTTCTTTTTTTATTTTAAGAAATTCATTACAACATGTGCAATGAAAAAAAAAAGTTTATAAATATCTAACTATTGTTTCCTACCTTTATTCCAACCAAGAGAACTTGGGTAAAAAGGTGGTAAATGTCTTGAGCATTGTTCAACATGTAGATATGGTGATATCCCAAGATCATCGAGTAGTTCAGAAATCATCCAATCTTCCAATTTTGAGCCAGATGACAATGAATGCTGATTATACCAAGTGTCCAAGGAGAATCCTAAAAAGTATGTAAAAAAATCAATTAGCATTCTTTCTTTTAGAAAAAAATATCAAAAAGGTTAAGATAAATAAAGCTGCATTCCAACTAGATGTATCAGTAGATTTTCCAAAATGAAATTTAACGAATGTAAGTAAGCAGATGAGATGAAATAAGATCTTATCACCAAAAGTCAAGATTTCAAAGCTATAAAAGGTTTGACATTTCAAAAATTAAGAGCAGTTCATTGTTTCACAAACCCCTTCGTCCATTCAAGTTACTGGTATACATTTAATCTGGACATAATATTTTGAATTTCAGCCATGCAAAATTCTACCTACAATCATATCTATACATTGTCAAATAATTTGAAAATAAATAGTTTTCAGTTGGTTTTTTTTTTTTTTCTTATTAGTTATGACTACTTTAGTGCTAGTAAAATCCTAAAATTGATTTACCTGGGGTATTGAATCCACTATTCCAATCACACTGCCTTTTGGGAAGTTTTGTATTTTGTAGAATGGTAAACTGATGGTCACATTGAGGCTCTGTACTTTCATAGCAAAACATAATTTTCATATTAATTAAGTAATACCTCTCAGTAGACAAGTCTTCTATACTGTATCTGAAATAGTGTTAAAAGTTTAAAATTTGCATCATTTTTTTTTAAATGTATACTTTTCCAATTTTTGTCTATCTGAATTGACAGATGCTCTATTTTTATCCAAAGGGTCACCCGTGTCCAGGACTGGGGGTAAGTAGGTACTGCTTTAACATTGACAATAAACTAATAACAGTCAATTAATTTCAAATGCAGATGGCTTAACATATCACTTTAACTCAAGTTTAAAATGTATTGAATATACACCCTTATTGATACATTTTTTCCTCAACCGACTAAAAAGACTCAAATAAATAGGTCTTAGAATTTACTTACAGAACTTGAATTATTCCTTGTAAGCTGAAGGAGTAGTAAGTCCCTAAAATAAATAAAACAAAAGACTTGAACAGCAAATACTTTACAGATGTTTACAAACAGATTCGTTTTAACTTTTACTACACAAATACAACAGCACACTTCCTATGGTATCTTTAAGTTTGTTGTAAAATTGGTAAATTTCTTCTTTTTCCTCATTTGCAAAGAAATGTATGCAGCAGTTTAAGTAATTCTCATTTGAATATACTGTATTCCTCATAAGTTATCTTTCTTACAGCTTGTATCCAGTTAGAATTCTTAAACTCTTGGGTGGATAGATGGACGGGGGGAAGAATTGATGGAGGTAGGAATGGATGAATGAATGACTGCTTAAATTCCAGTGGCAATTATTACAACATACTCAGAACATGTTAGCGAGTAATTATGAATATGAATTTTGTACAAGACTGACAGGATGGATTGATTTTCACCATACTAGTTTTAAAATTTTCTACACGCATTGAGGGTACAGTTGGTAAGTTTGACTAGTTAGTGGATATATTTATAAGTGGAAGTAACTCATGAATTTATATTAAAGATTAATACTTTTGCACATACTATTTACATCTTACCAAATTTAAAATCCAATAATGTGTTATTGTACTGTATTTTCTCTATACTGATACTTATTCTCTTTGAACAACTGTCCAACAGAAATGAGACTTCAAATGTCTGTTGTAATAAATTGTTCATAACACAACACTGAATGCCTGTGCAGGTGTCTGTGACAAAGCAGGATACTTCTGATGGTAACATCGACAAAGACATGTTCATAGCACAATCTACAACAAATAACATAATATAAATGTATAAACAAATAATTTTATTATTATTTACAGATTAAATATTAGATTTCATGTTACTAATAGTAAATACAAATTAGTGTTTTGTTTTGTTTTAGAATGAAAATGAAAGGTTGGTCTCAAGTTTTGAATAAGTTCTTTGCGTGCTCTCTAGAATAAATTTGAAAAAAATTAAAAGCAAAACATTTTAATCAAAGTTTATGTATGCATATTTGATGGGATTAATTTAACTTTCTATACATTAATGTAATTTTTTTGGTCAAGGAAATGAGGAAACCATGGATAACTATCCATTATCAAATATTTACTGACAAATTATGCCAAGTGATAGTAGATCGAGTTAATCTTGCAAAACTCACATTGAGCCAATATTGTTAATATTTTGTGGTCAGCAAAATCACTCTATTTTCTCATAATTGTGATATTTGAAATCATATATCTGTCTAAAAATAACTGTACCTTTAGTCAAACTATTATCAAAAGGATAGAACAGTCTAGAACACTTGTTATCCAGAAAGTAATGGCCTATGTTTGTTTCCTCGTACAACTGGTATAAAATATTATTTGGTATCGAATCCCCAATCCTTAAGTTTTTCTTTTGCAGCCATCTTGTTAATGAAAAATCTAAAAAGTAAAAGATATAATTGTATGCACTGGTTGTATGATAGTAGAAACAAAAGTATATCATACTACTTGTACTTCATACTGATAATTACAGTGCAAGAAAGCTCTGTAACATGTTGTTTCCCATAATAGTCTGCAATCTGTTAATATAACCCACATCTGTGTTCTGCATTTCACTTGTTCTTTGGTGTATAGTTGTCTCATTGGTAATGATATCACATCTCATTTTTTTATACAAACGTAGATTGATTGGCATATAGCAAAAAATCATTCTAGAAAAAGGTGATAGGAATGTCTTTAACTTGCACTGAAATTGTCACTCTGAGTTAATTAACAACAATAACAGCACATTCCTTTGATTTTTTGCAGATTTTTGCCATGAATTCATTCATTATCCCTTTTCCATTTCATTAGCAAAGGAAGAGTCGTCATTTAACAGCGTTCTGTTAAAATATTATAACCAAAATCACAAATTCAACAAATTTTCCTGCAACTGATCAGTTTAAATTTTTTCAGAGGCTGCCTATAAATAGTTAGATATCAAAATCATTATTGCTCAGGTGAAAAAACTTGTTTCAAGTTATTCTATCAATTTGTCAGCATATATTTGTTCCGCCTAACAGAAGTTCCACTGGAAACTTTGTTATAAACAATGTCATAATATCTGTTCCTGTTGGAAAAATATTCTATACCATTTATTCCATGAGGAACATATACTGTAATATTTATTCCAGTGGAAATAATATTCCAGAATTTTTTTTTCCATTTGGAACTTATATTATGAAGGAAATTCTATTTCGTGACAAATTTACCCGAATGAATCTGAGCAATTTTGATTTCATCAGCTGATATTTTTTCAATAGCTCTTGCTAAAATTGAGAGTAAATCACTTGCAGCTTGAAAAATGGTGAAAATAGGGTTTTATGCTATTACATAACAAAATTTAGGCCATATAGGTGTATACAATTATAAAAAGTTATGTACACATACCTGGAATATAGAAATCGGATGACCAATCACAGACTGTTTTTGGTAGTAGGTTGTTCTCCATTATAATGTTGTATTCTGCTTCACTTTTGGCATCAAAATTAACTGATGCATTTAGGCTAATTAAATATAATTTTTCTTCATACAAGTTTTTAATTAGGAATCTGAAATAAAGATAAAAAACTTTAAATCTGTTTTTACAGTTAATGTATCACAGGTACACATTAGTCCACTGCATATTAAAAACAAAGGATTTTTGAAACTTGTATTCACCATTTTGTAGTAAGAATTTGCACTGAGTTAGCACTGAAACCTTTTGTACTAAATTAGGATCTTTTTTCGTAAACTTATGATTGTGGTCACAATAAATAAACACATTACAGTAAAATCATACCACATTTTTTTATTCTATATAATAAAAGAAAGTCTTGATAAATTTCAGAAAAGGGATATCATAACCTTTTTAGTCTATAAAAGGTTTAGGTAGCCGAATAGGATATTTTTTATCTTTTTGACTTCCAGATTTTATGTGTATTAAATTACTTCAAACTTGCTACCCTTTTGCTTTTTATAATATCAAATTAAAAGAAAACAAACAAACTTACGAAATCTGAATGACTCCATACAAATCTAAATATTCTTGTTTTCCTGAAAAAAGGTCATATTGCAAATTATTTACAGTGTGTGCTTTCACTTGTTCACCAATTATGTTACAAGGGTTTAATCTTATTCAGATTGCTACACAAGTAGTTTTGACAAGAAAGGCTGAAATTATTTTTTTCAGGCAAACATGAAAAAAATATCAGTCCTGTTACCTGATCTTAGTTGTTACATATAAGTTATTTGATTTCAAAAGCTATCAATTTCTAAAAAAATAATTCTATAACAGTTAAATTTAATCTGTCTTTATTTGGTTAACAGTTCAATTGTTTTGGGTGTAAACCATAACTTTATCGTGTATTGTGTGTATATTGTTTTATATGCTTTGTTACAATGTTCAACACATTTGCTTTCAAATAATGCATCAAGTGCTAGATATTGATAAATTGAAGTTTTCGTCCAAATTTGAAAAGGATCAGACAAAAATAGAAGGTAAAAACAACAGACTGACAGACAGGTCAAAACAGTATATCCTCCTGAACACTGTAGCTAGTGGTATAATAAATTGAAAATTTATCTAAATATTTCAGGGCCATGTTTATGTTAATAGTGACAAAATGATAAAATAAAATGCTCCACTGGGCGCAGCTTGATACGACAGCAGAGTTCGAA